ATGTTTTGAAGCGTAGTCGCCAATTTAAAATTAGTGCCGTAAAGCATGAGAAAGATGCCTTCTGATTGGCTAATGTCGACTTCTTGTCAGTCCTTTCATTGGTTGGTCCAAATTCGTGCAAGGTCGGTCTGACGTGACCCGTAATGGGATGTCCTCAGATCTTTGTTTAGCGATAGCGAGCACTAAGATCTGATTTTAATGAGATTAAGAATATGCTTACCTTTTCGCGAACCCCTGGTATCATGACTATGATGTGGTCGGAATTTTTCATATAATAATATACAATATTTAATCGACAATAAATATTTCTTGTGAATATTGAAAGGGTTTTGTTGCTTCTATTCTGATCATTGAGACACTGTTCTCATGTACTCGGCGTTTTTGGATACATTGGAAAGAGTGAGGGTGTTTGACTGCATGTTTGTGATCGAACACCCATCCCAGCAACAGAATAAAGAATTCCACACCCACACTATTGACTCGATCTGTGCCTTGACTGACAGTCAACGGCAATCTATGAATTTCAGTTTTATTATCACACTGCTTTATTTTTGTACTTTATCGATAGGTATTAGATATCCATTATTAAATGTTATATGTTAAATCACTAAATATAAACCATTCACAATTCAATATGAAATCATCTCATTCGGATGGGAATACATAACCCTCATCCATCACAACAGTTTATCAAACAAAATTGGATACTTACACTTGCCATCAGACTAGCAAGAACAGGAGGCATGTCGTGTCATAACTGTATTTATATAACATGCCATTAGCATTCATTTGCAAACATGTTTCGTAACATGATTCGCTATCCTTATATAACATCAATTACATATCAGTATTGCATTCTCATGAAATTATCTTCCAACTGATATACGAGAAATCATATATTTATCCTGAAGGCATAATTCAACTCATCTGCTTTGGTTATCCTAATGAGTTCGTGCAGCCCATGACACAGAATGTCTCCTTCTCCCATACCCCCAGACATAACACAGCAATGGTATGTGTCTGCAGAAATATGTTTCATGAAAAGCCTAACACCAGAGGTCATATATACATTATATGTTTTGCAGGAAAAGTATATATTTTTATTTAGATCATATTATGATTGCAGGAATACAAGTATATTTCATGTGGTAAATTATGTACAAAATATTCGAAGGTTGGTCCAAGGCTGACTAACTAAAAGTGAATTAGTCAATGTAGTACATTGTTTGAGTAGTTCATTGCAAGTGTATTTGGTCTGTGAAGGCCGTTTGTATATTTGTGAGAGCCAGTTGAACGTGATAGGGGTCCAAATGGACACAGAAATGGTAAACAACTAGCACCGAGCAGTCAAAATGTTTTTGACTTCAGAGAAAGGTACTCCCCAAGAAATTCATAACCACATGTCACAAGTGTATGGGGATAAGTGCCCTAGTTATTCCACTGTTACACGTTGGGCAGCCATGTTTGAGGCTGGGAGAAGATGCCTTGGGGATGACACTAGGTCCGGAAGTTCCTCAACCTCCCTGCCCGGAGAGTTGAAGGTCGTGGGTTCGATCCCCGGCCGCGTCTTACCAAAAGGTAAAAGGTGGTACTTGTTGTTACCCTGCCTGGGTGCTAAATTTAGGACTGGTGAGCTCAGAGTAGGGACACTGTGTCTGAGTTGGGTATCCATGTCAGACTGCGCCATGGTATCTCAATGGGCTAGCACTATAAAATCTGCATTAGTCCGGACTAGTACAAGCAGCCACACACACACACACACACACACACACACACACACGTGCATGTACGTCGCTATATAAGTGCAATAATCTTGATCGCGAAGTTAAACTTCATTTTAGCTCATCTGATGAATTGTTTGATAGGCATTACTTAAAGGTGACGGATGACAAAGTAGAGATAATTTATGCTTGACAACGGTATAAGTATCTACACTGGAACGTCGCCTTTATAGTAACTATAGAGACCCGTGAAGATTCTGGGGTAGAATAGGTCTTCAGCAACCCATGCTTGCCGTAAAAGGCGACTATGCTTGTCGTAAAAGGCGACTAACGGGATCGGGTGGTCAGGCTCGCTGACTTGGTTGATACATGTCATCGATCCCCATTGCGTGGATCGATGCTCATGATGTCAATCACTGGATTGTCTGGTCCAGACTCGATTATTTACAGACCGCCGTCATATAGCTGGAATATTGCTAGTGCTTTGTTAAACAACAAACCAACCAACCAACAAGTAAATAAAGAAGTTGTTATCCATAAGTTACCTCTACTCTAGCTTACCAGATGGTCTCGGAGTCTGAGTGAGTTAGGTTGAACGCCGCTTTAAGCATTATTTCAGTTACATCGCGGCGTGTCTGCTTAATGCCCCCCTTTCACTACGACAACGAATATCCCGAATCGGAAACTTTTGAAATTCGTGATGATTCGGACAATAATGCAAACTTTCGTGCCTAATCGGGTTGAAAAATATGAAGAATGCCAGGAATGGGTTAAGAAACATGTACGAATTACAAGATTCATGTACAGATCATGTACGAATTGTAAGAATCACCTACGACTAGGTTACGAATTTACCGAATGTTGTTCTTACTTAATTCTTATATGATTCGTAGTTGACTCGGGACATTCGTGGATGTTTCGGGATATTTTCGGGTTGAGGACAACACATTTTGGGAGCCACGAATCGCTAAGAATAGCCAAGAATGCAAAAGAATCGATTACGAAGCTGTTACTGAACATAAGAATTAATTACGAATGGATTACGATACAGCCACGAAATTGCAATTCGGGGACCCTTCCACGAAAGTTTTTGACGAACAAAAACTTTCTCGCCGATTCGACGAACTCCCGAGAACTGTATTTTATTTTGAACGTGTTGAAACAAAACATATTTTTTTCAACTTCGAAATAAACAATAAATATGTACAGAAGAAACATAACATGTGATACTGATGATTTTTGACTTTGTACTTTTCATTAAGGTGATAAGGACAACTCAATATTATAGGCTGTTGTTTGTTTGTGGCGATGCTCATGATATCAAGCACTGATTTGTCTGGCCCCATGTGAAGATCATAATAGGAAACAGATTAAATACAGTGAATAATCAAGGATGGTTATTTGGTAGAAGTAGGGAGTATATTTATATTTATTTGTGTGCGTGTGTGCGTGCGTGTGTGTGCGTGTGTGTGCGTGTGCGTGTGTGTGTAGAACTGAGGACAGCAGCTCCAAATTGACCATTTAAACAAATTGAAGAATACTAAATGTTTGGTACTTATGATACCAGTAACATACCCTGTAAGTATATAACCATGGTTGTGGGTCAGCCTTACCCTCACAGCGTTCGCTACATGCCGAAGGTCCTAGTCTCGTTCCGAACATGGATACAAAATACGTGACGCCCATTTATGGCCTCTGATCCCTCGTGATATTGCTGGACTGTTGCTCAAAGCGGCATTATAATAACTACTGACAAATCAAAGAAATGGCCGACAGGTTATCTCTATAGAATGAACAATTGTACATTTCGGTTGTAGCAAATGATTTTAACCAACATTGCTTTGTGCAAGTGCGGATGTTAGCAAGCTGGCAAATGCCAGTGTCATTGGATCCAAAACTTTATCGTCAACGGTTAACTGAAGCTACACTATCGGCATTTATCACGTCATGTGTTTAGTCCATGAATGTGGTTTACCTGTAAAGCGATACAACTCTGCAAACACCAAAGAAAACGACCCTGTCTTAACTGAGAAAACACACATGAACATACTCTTTCCATAAACTATTAATACATGGTACCGCGGCATTCGTCGTATCGCGGCATTTGTTATTTCCGGTAGTTCACGCGGGACACGCCTCTTAGCGGCTGTCCATTAATGCAAATCAGTAACCAGGAAGTGCTCACTTCGTAAACAATTTCAATTTCCTTGGAATGTTCCGTCTTCTGTTAGTAAGGAGTTATTAATGCGTTGATACTTACTTCTGGCATCTTTTTTAATATTGCCTTTTCGCTATCTATCAATGGACAACGATATAACCCCCAGTTTCCCAAGTAAACATTCTCTATCGACCTGAACTAGATCATCTGCATATTCATGGCGACTAATAAGGTAACGGAAGTTACGTACGTAGTCCGCACATTTTTTCCCGCTCCGTGGCTGGAATCTATTAGGAGATCATAATTATTAAGGGCCATTATGCCATACTTAGAAATACGTTCTTCACTAGTAGCCAAATCATAAATACATACTTTGGGCATACTAGGAGTGCTTTTTTAATATATTAAATGTTAACTTTTAACATTTTTTCATTTGTTGGACAAATTGATGTCATCCAATTTAAAAAAAATAAATCTTTAATATCATTTCTGATATTTTGTGGTAATATTTTAAAAATATTTTTTCTTACTTTTCGGTAAATATGCTTTGGATAACGCATTCAGAATTTTACTTGTGCTGTCTTTGCACTTGTCTGGACAAATCACAGAAGACTGGCATCATCATACTTAGTGGTTGGTAGAATTATGTCCTGCTTTTGTCCAATTCGGACCTTCATCACCTTGTTCATACACAACTTTTCCCTGTACCGCGATACTATGGAGTTCTCTCCCTTGTCAAACTGAGCGCCAAGCTCCTTCCCACCGCGTGACACCTTCGTTACACTCTCGGTAACATAATATAGATAGCTCCGCGAACGGGCTATCGCTATGAGGAGCTTGACTGAGCGCCAGGCCCGGCTTTTACTCGGCGAGACTAATGTAAATAATGAACTGTTATCAGTAAAATATGCATATCTAGATAAAATAAATGACACCTGATAAAGAGAACGCGAATAATCATAAAGGCTAGTGAGTCCATTTTGTTCCGTTTAGCGTACATGACAAGTACTGCGATACCCTGAGGTTGCAGGCTAATATTAGCGTAACGCTCTTCTCTGGGTATGTGAGCGATATTGGACCGGTCTTTCCCGAATGAAATCCGGGTTTATAGACGACTCCTGACAGCGTCATTTGTTGCAACGATGCGTGGAGTTGGAGATTCAGCGCGTCAACAAATGACTGGATGACCAGCTGATGACACTGACAGGAAAATGAGCTTTTCTAGTCACAGAAATGAAGCCAGCGGTGTCGGTGTTACTGAGTTGTCTATGCTTTGCACTCTGTCAAGATGACGAACCAGGTAGTGCCATGTCACTAATTGAGAGTCATGTTTCTATTTTTTGACAGATCCATTAAATGATTTTCCCAAAGAGATTCGCTCTGGCATATGTGTCATTAGATCTAGACTTACAAAGGAGAGTAGCCGTGTATTTATCTCTACATCATTCTGAATGTTGTTATTTCAGTGATAAAATTTAAATAAACGTCTACCTCAAATGAATTAACCCGGAATGCGCCACACACATTGTACCTTATATTTACCTTTTTTCAATATAAACATCTCAAATTATTTCAACAATGGTAATGTTTTATGCTATGGAAATGTATGCATAGCAAAATATGATGATGATGATGATGGTGATGATGATTATGATGGTGGCGGGCAAATGTTCCAGACTATGACAACCTTCTGTATGGTGGCATCTGGAGATTGCCAGCACCAAGTCCAACTCTTGGAGAAGAGGACATCTCAAAAGCTGTTGAGGTAAATCATGACCACCTGCTACTGCAATGCATGTATTTTCCCCTATTGTTGATACGTCTAGAAAATACACATTAAATAAAGTATGAAGGAAGGGGTGTAATGTATTCAAATGCAAATCAAGATTGGTAGCCTCATTTGTGTGATTATGCAAATGGAGGCTTAATTGACAATGGTGCAGTAACGCAAGATTTTGTAGGTTGCAAAAATTGAAAATACCGTATTCGACGTAATAAGCTCCCGGCTCCAATAAAAACCCACAGCGATATTTGCTAATATATTGGCTAGTGAACAATTCCAATTCCTTTCGATTGATCAATGTTCACAAGACTTATCTATTCGTGTATAGTAGTACACACTCGTGTGTAATATGCACCCTTAATTATGGGCAATTAAATTCTTGAAAAATATATATCTGTCATGTATGATACACACGCTTTTCTTTTGTATCATTTCAGGCTGTCAGCATAAACCACGAAATTCTTTCAACTCTGTTGTTTTTCACCAAAATTTAATTCTAATAAGAGCCCCCTATTTCTAATTTTGAGAGCGCCCTGGGCGCTTATTATGTCGAATACGGTATGGGATTATATCAGTTTGAACAGTTTAGATTTTGTAAGGAAAGTTTAGACAAATAATCATGGGTATTTTTGTATTTGCACCAGTACAGCTAGTACATTACATTATTAATGTACACTATATATCTTAGTGACCTGACGCAAGTAGAGGCCTGTGCATATGGTCATATCCCTATTGCGTAAATTGATGCTCAACTTGTCAATCACTGGATTGCCTGGCCCAGATTTTATTATTTGCCGACTGCCGTCATAGAACTGGTATATTGCTAGATGTGGCATTAAACAACAAACAAAATAGTTGTAATGTCAATGGATTATTTCATTAAGCAAGTGATAGGCAACTGGTTGGACCAAATATATATCTTTTCCTCTTCTTTGCACAAAGTTGAGTTGTAAATATTTTCTTTGTGCTTTGATAAGATAATGCGATCATTTGAAGCAAACATAAAATCCCTGCATCCAACGGTTGATGTACATCAGGTAACACTTCACTCAGTTGCCAGAAATTATGAAATGTTATTTTGTTTGTTTGTTGTTTAACACCACACTCAGTTATATTCCAGCTTTATGGCGGCAGTCTGTAAACAATCGAGTCTGGGCCAGACAATCCAGTGATTGACATCATGAACATCGATCCACGCAATGGGGATATGATGACATGCATCAACCAAGTCAGCAAGCCTGACCACCCAATCCTGTTAGTCGCCTATTACAACAAGCATGACTTGCTGAAGATCTATTCTACCCCGGATCTTCATGGGTCAATTGAATTATGAAATGAGTCCTGTAACTATGTAACTGTAACTATGATTACACATTGAAGCAATCACCCCAACATGTTTATATATTTGAATGAACAGTTTAATATATGCATGCACATTAAACCAGTTATATTTATAAGAATATTAAGTTTTGTTTTAAAAAACAATTATGTAAAAAAGACATGACTGGACGACTGGTGTTGATGATAACCTGCTGGTCTCATGCAAGGATAATCTTGGGGATTCAAACAAATAAAAAATAAAATAAGCTTCCTACATTAAAATATTTAGCCCTGGTTTTCTTTACAAAGTATTCACACAAGATTTAAAATTCCTTGTATTAGAGTGCCAATGGTGCAATTAGAATCGTAATAGCACAGTTAAAATAAGTTTAAAATTGGCCGCGTTACACAAAGTGACCCTAACGCTAAGACTTATGACAATCATAGCGCTATGATCGGTTCTTGTAACAGGGACCTGGTGCCTTAAGAGACACTTAGAGCTTATATATTTATTTATTGTTTATTATTTTGAGCCAGTGCTGACTGAACTTTCACAAACTAAGACTGTAGAAAGACGTGAAAACTGAAACCTAAATGCTTAGCGTGATGTATACATGCACTGGGAATTTAGAAATTGAACATGGCACAATGAAAGGGAAGAGGATAGTCTGTATAAACAAATCCTCAACAAATGAGTCCCAACTTAAAGGTTAACCCTATAATTTCAAAATAGCTGTATCCCCGTGAAGATCCAGGATGTAATTGGTCTTCAGCCTCCCGTGTTTGTCATAAGAGGCGACTAACGGGATCGGGTGGTCAGGCTGGCTGACTTGGTTGATGCATGTCATCGTATCCTAATTGTGAAGGTCGATGCTTGTGATCTCAGGACTGTCTGGTCCAGACTAAATTAATATAGACCTCTGTCATGAGGTTGGAATATTGCTTAGTGTGGTGTTAAACAAACCAACAAGTATAACAGCTGTCAGCCCAACAAGACAGTTGGTTAGGTGACCCAAAGTGTTGCCTGCCTATCTTCAAAATTACCTGCCCGCACTCAGGCGTTATAAATATTGAAAAAATCACACAAAATAAGTGATAAATCAAGTCTTGATTCATATGAAATAATGCAAAAAAACACTTGAGAATCTACAAGGAGTTATTATAAAACTGTATTTAAGTAGTCTTTTCTGCCAGACAGTTGGGCAGGTGGAGGGAAATTTCATGCAGCTGGACAGACTTGTGGAAACTGTCAAGGTTGACTGACTTGTGGAAACTGTCAAGGTTGACAGACTTGTGGAAACTGTCAAGGTTGACTGACTTGTGGAAACTGTCTAGGTTGACAGACTTGTGGAAACTGTCTAGGTTGACAGACTTGTGGAAACTGTAAAGGTTGACTGACTTGTGGAAACTGTCAAGGTTGACTGACTTGTGGAAACTGTCAAGGTTGACTGACTTGTGGAAACTGTCAAGGTTGACTGACTTGTGGAAACTGTCATAGTTGACTGACTTTGATGAAACTTTCAAGGTTGACTGACTTGTGGAAACTGTAAAGGTTGACTGACTTGTGGAAACTAAAGGTTGACTGACTTGTGGAAACTGTCAAGGTTGACTGACTTGTGGAAACTGTCAAGGTTGACTGACTTGTGGAAACTGTCATAGTTGACTGACTTTGATGAAACTGTCAAGGTTGACTGACTTGTTGAAACTGTCAAGGTTGACTGACTTGTGGAAACTGTAAAGGTTGACTGACTTGTGGAAACTAAAGGTTGACTGACTTGTGGAAACTGTCAAGGTTGACTGACTTGTGGAAACTGTCAAGGTTGACTGACTTGTGGAAACTGTCAAGGTTGACTGACTTGTGGAAACTGTCATAGTTGACTGACTTTGATGAAACTGTCAAGGTTGACTGACTTGTGGAAACTGTAAAGGTTGACTGACTTGTGGAAACTGTCAAGGTTGACTGACTTGTGGAAACTGTCAAGGTTGACTGACTTGTGGAAACTGTCAAGGTTGACTGACTTGTGGAAACTGTCATAGTTGACTGACCTTGATGAAACTGTCAAGGTTGACTGACTTGTGGAAACTGTCAAGGTTGACTGACTTGTGGAAACTGTCAAGGTTGACTGACTTGTGGAAACTGTCATAGTTGACTGACTTTGATGAAACTGTCAAGGTTGACTGACTTGTGGAAACTGATAAGGTTGACTGACTTGTGGAAACTGTCATAGTTGACTGACTTTGATGAAACTGTCAAGGTTGACTGACTTGTGGAAACTGTCAAGGTTGACTGACTGGTGGAAACTGTCAAGGTTGACCGACTTGTGGAAACTGTCAAGGTTGACCGACTTGTGGAAACTGTCAAGGTTGACTGACTTGTGGAAACTGTCAAGGTTGACTGACTTTGATGAAACTGTCATAGTTGACTGACTTGTTGAAACTGTCAAGGTTGACTGACTTGTGGAAACTGTCAAGGTTGACTGACTTGTGGAAACTGTCAAGGTTGACTGACTTGTGGAAACTGTCATAGTTGACTGACTTTGATGAAACTGTCAAGGTTGACTGACTTGTGGAAACTGTCAAGGTTGACTGACTTGTGGAAACTGTCAAGGTTGACTGACTTGTGGAAACTGTCAAGGTTGACTGACTTGTGGAAACTGTCAAGGTTGACTGACTTGTAACTCCATGTTGACTACATTGGGTGCAACACAAACATTGAATACAATAACTGAAGACAAACATCTTAGATAACATATTTTACTTGAATCTAAAGTATTATTCCTGTTGGCAGACCTACATTCCAAAGGGAAAACCTAAATATCTTAATGAGTACTATGTGCCACACCCGAAACAACAAACATTTCAGTCTCTGGTATCTGCTGAAGGTTTTGTGGGGTTGAGCTTGTTTTCAGTTATTATGGCGACACTTTTGAACTGACTCCACCTCTCTTTCAGACCGCCATAGCATTCCTGGAACAAAGAACGCGGCGTAATTTAAGGAAGCCTGATGGAAGTCTGCGTCCATACACCGTTCGAAACCTTCTCAAAATGGTGAGGCACATCATATTCAATGTTTATCATATACAGAGGGTCTTGAATTACAACTGTGTGTTTGTTTACTCATAGAATACTACTTGTATAATGTTGAACCCCGTTGTCTCCAACTCAGATGGGCCGAGTCCGTGGTTGTGTCAAACTTGCAGTCTGCTCCGATACCCTTATACCATATTTAGCACTGTTAACCCAAATGTGTCAAATTCGCTGTTGTCTGAAATGCAATTCATAATCCCAAGAGATAAAAATAAGCTAAAACTTACCCTGTGAGATGAACCACATTGACAGGATGGAGTTTTTTCCACAATTCATCTGTTTATGTAGCAGAGGCAACCTTACCTTGTCAGCTTGGTGACTGGTTTGTTTGTTTGTTTGTTGTTTAACGCCGCTCTCAGCAATATTGCAGATGTATGACGGCGGTCTGTAAATAATCGAGTCTGGACCAGACAATCCAGTGATTGATATCATGACCATCGATCTACGCAATTGAGATACGATGACACGCATCAACCAGGTCAGCGAGCCTGACCACCCGATACTTGGTGACTGGCTTAACATCTTTGGTCAACGAAGCACCTGACCTTGGGTCTGTTGTTTGAATTCGATCCTGAGAATTTGAAATTGTATGGCCGTTGCATTGGCGTCGAACACAGTGTTGAGCATTATTTTAGCATGATAAGTCACAGTTCCCTCCTTTGCGGTCTGGCACATACCATCTGTTGACAGGGGAGTATGTACGAGGTTCACCTCTTTGGTCATGTGGACAAGGTGTCCGACCTCGGATCAAAAGGTCCGGGGTATGAATCCTATTATTGGAATCGGAAATATTATGGAATATTTACATGAGTATAAATATAGTATAAATATAGTATAAACAATATTATTTAGATACAATGTGTGAAGCCCATCCTGGTGGGGTTTGTTGTAATGTTGAATCAGTAAATAATTCTGATAGCAGCCTCTCTCAAATAACAAGTGCGGTTGGGTTGCTTTGTGGTTAAAGTGTTCGCTTGTCATGCTGAAGACTTGGGTTCAATTCCCCACATGGATGCAATGTGTGAAGTCCATTTCTGGTGTTCCCCGCCATGATATTGATGTAATATAGCTAAAAGCGGCGTATGACCATGCTCATTCACTCTCACATAATATCATTTTTTTGTTAAGAGTTTGTTTTTTTGTTTTTTTCAGAAACTTGTATTTACAAGTGACGACCGAGAACCCTACCTTCACAGCGTCATGTCCCAAAGCGACAAACCCCAGCCGATGTCCACGTTACTTGTCTTCGGATCCACATACACATTCCACATTACTTGGACATCCAAGGATTTTGTCTTTGGGCACAATTTTATTGTTACCATGTATCCCAAAGGGAACTTTCACATATTTGCTCACACATCCACAAATGAGGAGTTTTCTCCTCATCGGAGGAAAAATCAAACCACAGTGCCATTCCATGAGGAGTCAAGCTCATCAGTGTGTTCCTTGTTGTCTAGTGGTGGATCTCAAGACGCTGCGCTGTTTGCGACGAGATCCTGCACGCTGAGGAGGGCGGACGTTTTGAGGGATCTACATTCTTGTGATAACAGCCCCCAGGGGAGTTTGTATACAGACTTTGGTGCTCAGACTGTTACAAAGTCCTGTGTTAAAAGATCTGATATTTATTTGAATTTTACAGTGATGACTTACAATACGTGGAACTTCAACTCCCGACCAGAGAAAGGGAGCCATCATTATGTGGACAGGATCAAAAGGCTTGGACAGGTAATTCTAAACTTTGTTAATGATTTTTGTTTGTTTGTTGTTAACACCGGACTCAGCAATATTCCAGATATATGACGGCGGTCTGTAAATAATCAAGACAATAATACCAGACAATCAATGATTTACATCATGAACATCGATCCACACAATTGGAATACGATGACATGCATCAGCCAAGTCAGCGAGCCTGAACCATCTGATTCCATTAGTCGCCACTTACAACAAGCACAATCGCCTTTTACAGCAAGCATGGGTTGCTGAAGATCTCTTCTAACCCGGATATTCACGGGTCACCATGTTAAGGATGTGATTGCTATCATTAAATAATCATGAGGAAAACCAGCATTTTTACCAATTAAAGTGTCCAAATTTGCTGTAAAATATTATTAAAAATGATATTTTTGATTGCATTTTTTGAATATTTTCTGAAGGAAATTGAGCTCAATATGCTCCTATCTAACTGACCAAGACTTTCATATATATAAAGAATGCAAACTGTTGTGGCCATCTGCTATTTGTCCCCATTAATATTTTCAGGCACATATTATGAATACCTGTGTATAGTACAGGCGACTGAACTGGTGATTGGCTGGACACAATGGCGTAGCGATGGTGCCAGGGTGGTTGTCCACTGGCAACTGCTATTAGCTGCAGGGCGTGTTCCTCATAGGGTTCATAGTAGGAGTGTCTTGACTGATCAAACAATCGATATCCATTCAGAAATCCTACCATTAATTTATGATTATTCAATTCTGATTGGTCGATCAAAGGTATCAAATCACAACCAGCTGATTGAAACCTGCAAATTGACAGCAACATCTCCTTTGGAAGCTAATACTTGTAGAAAAGTATTTTTTTCTCAGTCTTTGTAGGTAGGTATTATTGTTAATAATCATATGTACAACTATAGGTTTAAATATGACTATTTGTAGTTCTGTAATATTCATACTATATGATTATATATTTGGGGCAGAAAGCATGACAGAAGTTGACAAAGAAGTGTTTTTCAGGTTTTATGTATCCAGAGCTTGAAATCTGGATCCTACAGCCAACAGTGACAACCTTTCTTTTGCATCACAATGGTCGCCGTGACTTCAATATAGTGACATGGAGTATTGAAGTTAACCTTGCAAGGCTTAATTAAATTTCTTTGGGGTTGCCCACTGTTGCATTATGAAATTGACCGTGTGTTTCGTTACAGGTAACCTAATTCTTCTGAACAAAAAGTATGTTACTTCCTAAATGTGCCTGTCCCCATGATCTGGTGTATAGGATGTATGCTCAGAGAGCGGAAGGTTGGTGGTTCCATCCTAGGCCAGGTCAGACCAAAACATGTGAAAACGTGGTACTTGGTTTTAACGGTGCCTGGCACTTGGTATAAGGGGATTAATCAAGAATCGGACAAGTGCTGGCAGCTACTCACACTTGCATGCACATGGCTATATTAGTGCAATGATCTTGAATGCAACATTAAACACCATTTCACTTCACCTTACCTGAGCCGTCCACCAACATTATACTGGTGTCTCATCATATAACTGAAACAATGATTAAAGCAAATTCTTTCTCACTACATTTCATGGCAAGCAAGGATTAAGATTTATTTCCTTTGGCTAGATAGCAATAGATGTATTTAATTGTCAACACTGAAATAGATTTATCTTTGGTGTCTTTTAAGGTGATAAATGCCCATAAGCCAGACATCATAGCATTCCAGGAGGTGAGGTTCGAGTACCAGAAGGGAGGAGAGCTGGGACCAAACCAAGCTCAACACCTGGCTGACATGCTGCAGGGCTACCAGGTGAGGTTTGTGTACAGAAGGGAGATCTGGCTGACATGCTGCAGGGGTACCAGGTGAGGTTTGTGTAGAGAAGGGAGATCTGGCTGACATGCTGTGGGGGTACCAGGTGAGGTTTGTGTAGAGAAGGGAGATCTGGCTGACATGCTGTGGGGGTACCAGGTGAGGTTTGTGTACAGAAGGGAGATCTGGCTGACATGCTGCAGGGCTACCAGGTGAGGTTTGTGTAGAGAAGGGAGATCTGGCTGACATGCTGTGGGGGTACCAGGTGAGGTGTGTGTAGAGAAGGGAGATCTGGCTGACATGCTGTGGGGGTACCAGGTGAGGTTTGTGTACAGAAGGGAGATCTGGCTGACATGCTGCAGGGGTACCAGGTGAGGTGTGTGTAGAGAAGGGAGATCTGGCTGACATGCTGTGGGGGTACCAGGTGAGGTTTGTGTACAGAAGGGAGATCTGGCTGACATGCTGCAGGGCTACCAGGTGAGGTGTGTGTAGAGAAGGGAGATCTGGCTGACATGCTGTGGGGGTACCAGGTGAGGTTTGTGTACAGAAGGGAGATCTGGCTGACATGCTGTGGGGGTACCAGGTGCAGTTTGTGTGTTTCTCACATTTGTTTATAGTTTCATTGAATGAGCTTTGTCACAAGATATGTTGTTCAGGTACTGGGAGCTTATTTTAAGGAATTTTGAACCCAGGATTATTTAAACCCAGTTTAAGTGGCCATCTCCTGACTCTCGTGTTGCAGTTCGTGTATCAGCCTGCACAGCTCCAGCCTAACAGTGTAAAGGATGGGCGGACAGAGGAGGGTGTGGCCGTGTTCTCGCGCTACCCTATCACATCTCATCACTCGCTGCCTCTGTTCAGGTTGGTCTCATTAAAGCATTTGAAGTGGAATTTTCATCTTATTTGCGTCATTGTTTGGACCAGGATGTTACGTAACGGACAGGGACGGGGGGTCGGTATAGCCTAGAATATTGCTAAAACCATACTCACTTAACGGACAGGGACGGGGTGGTGGTATAGCCTAGAATATTGCTAAAACCATACTCACTTAACGGACGGGGACGGGGTGGTGGTATAGCCTAGAATATTGCTAAAACCAAAAGCACTTAACGGACAGGGACGGGGTGGTGGTATAGCCTAGAATATTGCTAAAACCATACTCACGTAACGGACATGGACGGGGTGGTGGTATAGCCTAGAATATTGCTAAAACCATACTCACTTAACGGACAGGGACGGGGTGGTGGTATAGCCTAGAATATTGCTAAAACCAAAAGCACTTAACGGACATGGACGGGGTGGTGGTATAGCCTAGAATATTGCTAAAACCATACTCACTTAACGGACATGGACGGGGTGGTGGTATAGCCTAGAATATTGCTAAAACCATACCCCCTTAACGGACGGGGACGGGGTGGTGGTATAGCCTAGAATATTGCTAAAACCATACTCACTTAACGGACATGGACGGGGTGGTGGTATAGCCTAGAATATTGCTAAAACCATACTCACTTAACGGACATGGACGGGGTGGTGGTATAGCCTAGAATATTGCTTAAACCAAAAGCACTTAACGGACGGGGACGGGGTGGTGGTATAGCCTAGAATATTGCTAAAACCATACCCCCTTAACGGACAGGGACGGGGTGGTGGTATAGCCTAGAATATTGCTAAAACCAAAAGCACTTAACGGACGGGGACGGGGTGGTGGTATAGCCTAGAATATTGCTAAAACCATACCCCCTTAACGGACAGGGACGGGGTGGTGGTATAGCCTAGAATATTGCTAAAACCATACCCCCTTAACGGACGGGGACGGGGTGGTGGTATAGCCTAGAATATTGCTAAAACCATACTCACTTAACAGACAGGGATTGGGTGGTGGTATAGCCTAGAATATTGCTAAAACCATACCCCCTTAACGGACGGGGACGGGGTGGTGGTATAGCCTAGAATATTGCTAAAACCATACTCACTTAACGGACAGGGACGGGGTGGTGGTATAGCCTAGAATATTGCTAAAACCATACCCCCTTAACGGACGGGGACGGGGTGGTGGTATAGCCTAGAATATTGCTAAAACCATACTCACTTAAAGGACAGGGACGGGGTGGTGGTATAGCCTAGAATATTGCTAAAACCATACTCACTTAACGGACATGGACGGGGTGGTGGTATTGCCTAGAATATTGCTAAAACCATACTCACTTAACGGACAGGGACGGGGTGGTGGTATAGCCTAGAATATTGCTAAAACCATACTCACTTAACAGACAGGGACGGGGCGGTGGTATAGCCTAGAATATTGCTAAAACCATACTCACTTAACGGACAGGGACGGGGTGGTGGTATAGCCTAGAATATTGCTAAAACCATACTCACTTTACAGAAATGCAGAAATTTGAACATTTCTACACACACCTGCTTTGAAGCTTTCCTAACGTTCAAACATTTGAAAGTCATTATTAGGTTTTCTGTGCATTACAATCTTACAACCCTAACTAACTCAACTGATGGGATTCCTAGGGACATTCCAGGTCAGAATAGGTTCCCAGGGCCCCATTCCATGAAGCTAGGATTGTCATGAGTCATATGTTAATGTATAGGAGTTACAGTTGTGTCTGTGCTGAGATGGAACAGGGTCCAGTGTCTCATGCATGTCGTAAGAGCTCACTTTAACTGAGACTGGATACAAATGATAGTGGTTTTCCTCATCCAAACAACTACGATTAATATTGCAGGCACAGGACAAAAAGTAATTGTAAATCAGTCAGCGGTATAAAAAACAATTTCAAATATCTTCTTTTTTTATCTACCCCCCCCCCGCCCCTCCCAAGTTATATGGGGGGATATAGTAATCACCCTGTCTGTCTGTCTGCCCATCTGTATTCATTTTTGTCCGGACCGTATCTCTCAGCCTAATAGGTATTCTTTCTTGAAACTTTGCACACACAAAGACTAGGTTGTCAAGTTAATGCTATTTAGGGAATTTTTATTTTCATTTTGACTCTGTTCATAGTGATGTGATGTGTGATATCTCTAAAACTAATAAGTACTCTTTCATGACATATTGCGTCACAAAGACCAGGTTGTCAACTGGTGCCCTTTGCTATTTAGGGACTTTTAGAATATCTTTTTTTGTTTCCACGGCAACAAGTTTGAATTTGAGTCTGTAAAGTCTACAAAATTGCCCAGATAGCTGTTCCTCAATGAAGGTAACCAAAGTAACAGAAGGGAAATGTTTTGTTAAATGTGAAAGGTGAGCTTAAGTAACTGTTGATAACTACAGTTGGTAATGCAACAGATTACAGCATAAGGCTTGTACCAGTTGTGTGACTCATACTGTTGCAAAAAAGCACATGGCATACAAATACAAAGTTCCGAATCCCAATTCCATGGTATTCTTTTGATATCTCAAGAGCTACTCTTGTATACAGACAGACAGATTAGACGGGAATACTCTCATCAAGTTGGACAGATCACTCTTTTGGGACTTGTTGTTTCAATCAAATGATTTGTTCTTTCCAATTTGTGGGGGCTTGGGGCATTTCTCATCTTATGATGACACTTGTGATGTCAGTGTTTATATTGGTTGGTTTTGTTAATTATCCTTTAAAAAAATGAAAGGCCTAACTGTACTTTGATCCCATTCAAAACCCAATGTGAAATTGTCATCCCAATCATGACAACTTGTGGTCACGATACATGATTATTTGCACCAATGTATTGTGATGCATATGTGTCACAACTCACTTGCCTGTATTGGGCAGTGGCTCTGAGAAGACACATTCTTGGTTTCTATTTACAACACTCTTGTCTGTGAGTAGTAAGGAGTGTGTGTGTCGTCCATGTTTCAGGAACCAGAGTAACAGTGCAGACCTTCATCAGAGGATGTGTCAACATGTCGAGGTTCAACTACCCAATCAGAAAACTGTAAGTCGGCTGTCCTCTTAATGTAGGTGGGGAACACATGGCCCAGTCGTGCAGAGTAGCCTCCCTTGTGCAGAGTAGCCTCCCTTGCACAACACTATACCAAGCTCTTTCACATAGCAATTACGCAATTACGTTGTAGTTGAAATGAAATGGAAATTCAAATTGACAAACAAAAAAACAAAATTAGCTGGTGGAAGAGTATTTCGCATCACGACAGTCATCACTTGTGTGTAAACGTACAGGTCAATTGGTTCAACTCCTTGCATGGTTGTAGACTGCCTAGCACAGTCAGGAGCTGTGACTGGTGAGAGCTCAGTGAATGGGCTATATCGCCGTGAGGAGCTTGGCACTATGAACAGTTTCTGTGCACATGAGGTGCTTCTTAATATGTTGAATTTGATAGTGGAGTTTTTATCCTAGTCAAATATTTCCTGAACTCCAGAATCAGATAATTGGGCACTTGAGCATTATTCATAAGTATTCAGAATATTCTGGAACTCTGTTTGACTCCTGTTGGACTGGTGTTGATGATGGAAAGAGAGGGTAAGACAGGGCTCCAGATAGATTTCTGAGGTATTGAGTATATACTGAAATGTTATCATTCACATTGGGTATTGATTGTTTTCTTTGGGTATTCAATATATTTGGAGAATTGGTCCCTGCCTAGCAACCTACGCTGGCCGTAAGAGATGACTGGATCTGGTGGTCTAAAACATGGTATTGGTTGATGGCACTTCAACATATCCCGACTGTGTGGATTCTTGCTCATATCAATCACTGGTTTAACTAATCCCGATTCAAGTAGTTTTATGTTGCTGTCATAAAGCTGGAATATTGCTGAGTGAGGTGTTAAAAGACAAACAAACAGTAAACTGGAATCAGTAAGTACCTCTGATACTGATACACTCGTCGATAAAAGTTTAAAACTCCTTGGAAAGCCTCGGAGTTTTAAACTATTATCGACGAGTGTTGATATATTTGATATCAAAAGACACAAGGTTGAGATTCTATTTATCATCCAACATCATTCTTCCAACTTTTTGAGTTTGTAGACAGTAAGAAGCAGTGTTCGTGTAAAAAACATTGCTAACAGCTTCAGTAGCAGAGCCATAAATGATGTCATTTGACTGTGATGTCACAATGGTCTGCATTGTGATGCAATTTCATTCTACAATGTAGATATCGCTTGACCCCGTCGTGATTTTGCTGGAATATTGCTAAAAGCGGCGGAATATTGCTAAAAGCAGCATGAAACCACACTTGCTCACTAGATACCACTTGATCTCACCAAAGCGATATGTCCTGTGGGAGCCAGTTTTGGACGATAAATGATCTTATACCATGCCACATTCCTGCTTCCAGGTCCACATCTTCAACACCCACCTGTCTTTGAGTCACGAGGCCAGGGAGCAGTCAGTGATGGAAATGTGGAACTACATGCGCATGTTTGAGGGAGCAGCCATTTTGACAGGAGACTTAAATGCTGAACCACAAGAAAATGCAATCAGGTTTGTCATGGCAACTTTGTAATACTTTCCTCTCTTGAAAATGAAGATTTCTTCACTGAAGTTGCCAGACTTAGGTTTTACTTGTATGTTTTTCCTTGATATGTCAAAGTTTTGTTCCATTAAACTTTCAGTCATTAGTGTTTATACAGAAACATGTGAAGGTCAATGCTGACAGCCATGTGTCTGTCCGTGTTCACATTTATAACTGTTGACTATATATCCAGGTGAGTCTCTGTGCTGGGGCACTATGTTTGTGTCAATACTGAATTCATTATCTAAAATTAAGAATTACTTTTGTATCCCTATATTAAAAGGAAGACTTTTTTCACTATAGATATCTGCGAGAGAAAACCTCTCTGATAGACACGTGGCAGCATCTCCATGGCAACAGAGGCGGATACACATTCAACACTTTAAATAAGGCCCTCACCAAAAGGGTAAATTATTATTGCTGTCATTCCTATTCATATGTCAAGTGGATACTACTAAAAGGAGGCAAAGGACCACCCTATTCTTTATTGTTACTCAAATTAATATGCCGTGCCATGAGGAGCTGTCGACAGCAGTGTGTGGAGTTCCAGAATTGATTTGTACAGTTATCTGCCCTTGTTGTACACATGACCAGGCAGACTTGATCATTCTAGACGTTTATGGATGGGACAGTTTCTAGAAGCCTGTTTGTACCTAATAAGAGTGACAAGACCCCCCAATTTTCATCCACAAATACATTTACGCTTTTTATTGTCATTGCCTTGCTGTACTGCCATACCACAACACTATGACAATGAAGGTCTGCATATAATATAGTATGTGTCGTTTCTGAGCATCATGGCATCGACACTCAAAAGAGGGTGCTGTCAAGGGTATGTTCGTGTTCTGGGGAAGATTAAAATCCTAAGATAAAAATTCCAAACTGAAGCCGAATCTGATTGGCTCAAGAACCCTTTCATCCTTCATTATATCTGAGTGGTCAAACAGGGATCCATCTAGGATTCCAAACTTCTTTAATGGTCCTGTTATCAGTGAAATACAAGCCATAACATCTGTGGAGGCTTTTTCAACATGAATTGGGAAACTTTTAATTGTAATTTAGGATTTTTGACTGCCATTTGCTGCAGGCTTGGAGCCAAATATCGGCCAACGAGCAGGTCTTAATAGATCCCTGTCAAGGTGTCTCAGATATTCATGCAGAGAGGTATCGTGTCGGAATAAAGGATCTGATTATTATTGTTGTTCCCTGATTTGTGAAACTGGTCCTTACTTGCAGATTGATTACATCTTTGTGAGAAGGCAGAACAATGTCCACATCTTGGACACGGAGGTGCTTGATGATGGAAAGAGAGGGTAAGACAGGGCTCCGGATAATTTTCTGAGCCATTGAGTATTACTCAAATGTTATCTTTCACTTCTTGTATTAGTTTTCTTTGGGTATTCAATATATTTTACTACCTTGGCTTGAGTCTATTGGGTATTTATAAACCATAAACCAATCATTTTTAGAATAATTTTGCTTAACATGCTGTTTCTGGTGAGAATTTGTGCATTATTCACTGCAGCAGAATTCATGCAGATGTGATAAATGAATTTGATGGGCAAATAAAAAACTGAAATAAAGAAATTTAGAGACCCAAACTGAAAAGGCTACATTGGGTACTAATGCACAATGTTGTTTAACTATTGGGTTTTCGAGTTTTATTTGTGTATTTGTAGGCAACTCAAAATTAACTGAGTAATGACAATTTATTTATAGATAACATATGGATAGTTTTCTGTAGGTATTCGATATATTTTAACTCACTTGGGTCCAGTCTGTTTGATATTTTTACACCAATGAGTAGATATTTAAAAAAAAATTCTGCTTGAAATGTTGTTCCAGATGACTTCTAATTTGTATCTGGTTATTAATCCCTAGCAACTTGGGCTGGTACTGGTAACTCATGTATTTGTGGGGTCCTTAGTAGGACCCGAGTACCCACAGGACTACCCGAAACCGTGATTAGTCATGTGATATACTGTTTAAACTTCATGGTAACATTACAAGTCGCTTATGTCTTTCTGGGGGCATGGGTGCCCCGTCGTCTAGGGCACCACAATTCGCTGTTCAGAGTTGCATCCCTTTGGCATACCAGAAACGTATGATTGTGGGTTCGAATCCCGGTTCGCCCCGATTATGTTTCTAGGTTTGTCAGCACCATACCCATGCTCGTGGGTTTCACCGAAGTGGTAAACGTCTGAGACCTGCATCACTTCGGGCTTTCCTCTCACATTAAGCTGACATGCCGCGATATAACTGGAACACTGTTAAAAGCGGCGTTAAACCCAACTCACTCACTCTTTCTGACTATGCCCACATTCTTTCTGACTTTTGAGTAAAGCCTAAATCAACTCCAGATTGTTTTATATGTGTATCTAAATTGTTTTTGCCAGGGATCTGGTAAAACATTTCCCAATCAGATATTTTGTACCCAACTCTGGAGACCTAAAGCGGGTACCTTGATAGGGACAGGTAATAGGGCTCTGGTACCAGGGAAGTAAATTTGGACCCGTCCCAGCCATTATACCTTGGGACACTGACAACAACAAGGGTAGAAAATGTAATAATGATTGTTGGATAATATGAAATTTGGTTGCCCCCAAAATAAGAGTCTGATTGCTGATGTAAGTATTACCTTCACGTCCTGTCAATCAGAGAGTCTGGCGCGAGAGCTACCAATCAGAAAGTCTGACATTTATACGTAACCTCATGATCGGCCAATCAGACAATTTGACGTGATACTTTAAAGGGCCAAATTAAACAGCAGGTCATGACCTAGTGAGACTTTTAATTTGATTTTACATTTATGTTTAGGATTTAGTTGTTAATATTGCCTTGTTAGTGTTCAAAGAAAGATGGAAGATCATAATTTGATGAGGCAACTCCAGTCTTACTTGACTCCACAAACTTGTGGAGATTCTGTGTTAGATTTAGAATTGGTCCCGAGCATATTAAGCTTCTCATTCGTGAGTGAGTAAGTATGTTTTTACGCCGCTTTTAGCAATATTCCAGCAATATCACGGCAGGGGACACCAGAAATGGGCTTCACACATTGTACCCATGTCGGGAATTGAACCCAGGTCGTGAAAAGCATATTCAATATCTTGAATGGACTGTGAAAGATGTGAGGAATCGTCACATGGCACTGGCCTGTGGCAGAGGTACTATGCCACTCTCCTACCCAGAGTTCCATGCGGCCTGCAGCCAGCCAGCATAGTACCTCTGCCACAGGCAAGCGCCATGTGACGATTCCTCACATCTTTCACAGTCCATTCAAGATATTGAATATGCTTTTCATCCGTTTCATGTTTGACAAATCTACCCATTTTCATAAACAAATGTCAAAGAATGATTACGGTTCATAAAGAAAGTAACCTTATATGTGAAAATCTACTTGTTTTTGCGTAGTTTTCCTTTGTTCACATTGGTTGTACGGCTCCACGTGCTGTCATCGAAGCCCAACAGAGAGCTAGCGATACGGTCACTTTGATGTATAAATATATATTGTCATGAAATTCACTGTCGCAGTTCTAGTGGCATATCTATATAATTATGCAAAACAATATGTTAAGCACCCCAAAATACTTGCATTAGTCCGTTCTATACTGATTTCTGAAAAACCGCGTTTATTTACAAAGAAGAGAAAAGTCTGGTCACGCGATATGCAAATTAGCCTGTGGCACACACTCCGGCGCAGTGGTGACTCAGCCTTCTTTGACATTTGTTTATGAAAATGTTTAGACTTGTCAAACATGAAACGGATGAAAAGCATATGCAATATCTTGAATGGACTGTGAAAGATGTGACGAATCGTCACATGGCACTGGCCTGTGGCAGAGGTACTATGCTGGCTGCCGGCCGCATGGAACGCTGGGTAGGAGAGTGCGTGTGGCAGTGGTGTTATGCTGAGTCACCACTGCGCCGGAGTGTGGTACTATCCTGGCTGGCTGCCGGCCGCACGGAACTCTGGGTAAGAGAGTGAATATCGTCGTCCAATATATGACGAATCTCCAGACGTGACGTCATGATAGAACGTTTTATCGTGAAATAAATCCCGCTTCCTTCTTTATTCTTCTTTGCGATTGCGTAGCTATCTTATATTATTATATTTTACCATGATTACACTGGTGTTTGTCCGATCACACAACACAGCCACACTTTCCTTACTTGGGTGGTTGTTGATTTCACTATGTTTATATAACATTTATATTCTGTGTTTTCTGTTTCAGAGAGAAGGCGGCTTCAGACCATGTTCCACTAGTTGCAAACTTTGGTTTTTCATAAATCAAAATAAAACAATTAGTACATGAAACATGTTATTCTTTCATTTGTTGGTGTTGATTCTGTGGTCATTAGAGGCAACTAAATAGCCTTGGCTGGTTAGATTTAGTGACTTGGTGGATGGCATGTCATTGTTTGTTTGTTTGTTGTTTATCGCCACACTCAAACGGCGGTCTGTAAATAACAGGTTTTTCGACTTTGACAAATAATACCCCACAAAGACCACCCATTTTCCATTGATTGTACTCCCTATTGGATGTAAAAGCCAAAGCACACAGTAACATGTTTGCTTTTTTTAGACATCACCAAACAGTTTTGTGCACCTAAGCAAACGTTTCTTACGTTCACATGACACAAAGTATACACTATGTAAAAATACTTATGAGTAAAAATCCTTTTGCATGACATCTTGAGGTCATGGGAATACACCCCAGGAGCAATGTTGCATGTGTAAGTAAATGCGTTCACATGGCCCATTTGCACACCAGGAGTAAATGTACTCACATATGTATAGATACTCACATGAGTATCAGCTTGCATGTGAACGAGGTATTAGTCAATAGCGTGTCTTCGTACCCAGACGTGTGCTCAAAATATCAATCACACATATAAGCGGTCGACTTATCAGCCTGGTAGGAGTGCTGATGACAATGGCTTGACATCTATTTGTTTGTTTGACTATTCAGTGACTGACATCATGAAAATCGATCCACGCAGTTGGGGTAGGCTGACATGCATCAACCAGCCGATCCCGTTAGTCGCCTCTTAGGACAGGCATGGGTCACTGAAGACCTATTCTATCCCAGATCTTCACGGTGTTACGCTTGAGAATGAGAATGTTCTGGAACATTCGCTTGTAAATTCTGTCTTGAATTGTAAGAAGGCAGATAACGACATGAGAATTGTATAGGTGTGCATCGTATCACGCTGAAACCTCAGTCACCGAAGACAAAGTGTAACATGGAACAGCTGGCTAGTGCCATACAACAGGCATTAGTCCGGACTAGCACGAGCACACACACACACACACACACACGTCTATTGGTAAAACGAAATAAAACATTTTCTAGTATCCATCTAACTTAATAATTACAAGTGTATGATTATGTCCTGTCCATAGACCGCTGTGCACACTCGGTGTAAGTTCTGGTACGTATTAACGATCCCCACAGTTTTCAGGAAAGAACTGCTTTTGAAATGAATCCAATACGAATTGTCCGTCTTGTTCCGAAATGACACGAGTGGTCACTATTGAACGGTTTTGTGACGTATATTAATTGTGTGTCTGACAACATGGCGGAAGGCGGTGCAGGTAGGCATACTTTACCTGGTATTTTCTTTTCTGTCATTTACACCCACTGAATAAATATATTCCTGTATCACTTGTTAAACTGCATTGGGAATTTGCTGAATTCATTTTCAGTAACGTCAGTGGGAAGCTTTTGTATATGTCAGATAAGCTAAGAATTCTAGACTAGGAGGGTATACAATTGTTATTGACGAGTAAACACGTTTATAAGTGTTCGATACATGACGGCAACCTTAGTTACTGCAGGAACATATTCCCATGGCTCCGATTCGCAACACTATGAACAGTGTTATAGGTTATACAATTATGGCAGTATATGTGACCTATTTCGCGTATACACCAAGGACATCGGGACGCATACCAGTTTATCAAACAGAAAGTAGGAAATTTCCGCTGAAGAAGCCTCACTTTCAAACCGGAAGTGGTGATCCCGCCCCTTACCGTAACCTACCAAAAGACACAAATGTTCGAAAATTGATCCCGTAAATTATTTGTTTACACAGTTATGCCCTCGATCTATGTTAATTTACTTCGTGCATAGTGTGTGCAATGGAGCCAAGTGTTCACAGCAGCTACTGATGTTAGCCTCATCTAAGAGACACTTATCAAGACAGAGTTATTTTCTCCAAAGAAGGGTCCTTTTGTGCGTATTAATTTAACATTTAATAAATGTTTCTGATGACATAACGCGGAACAAGTGGCTATCTCCTTTTAAGGCTTTGTGGGACTTTTATATAATTTGTATTCACTACTACATGAACAATTCTAATGTGCCCTATGGCGGCGGGTAGTTGGTTATATTCTTGTGGAGGACGGAAGGGGACGAGTGGTGATGTATTGGAGAAAACACGCTCACTAGGTTTTGGTAGACAGAGCATGCCCTTTGGAGAGGGAAAAACCAAGGGGGCGAAGCCCCCGCGGTTTTTCCCGACCACTAGGGCATGCTCTGTCTACCAAAACCGAGGAAAAGTGTTTTTCCATGCTTATAATCCGAAAAAAGAAACTTAAAACAACATTATCAACATTTTTATGTTTCGAACATACTTTCCATGAACCTTAGGAAACGCGCGAAAATATCTGTTGCTGGCGTACGGTTCTTGAAAAGGACATTCTAAAAACCATAGAGGTTATCAACACCTCTGTAGCCTCGTGGTACACTCACTGGGGTACAAATGTGAAGGTTGCGAGTTCGATCCTCGGGAATATAAAGAAAACATTGGTGATTTGATTTTACATTTCATTACATGTTACAATCTGAACGGAACTTATATTAATAAAATACCCGGGACATTATATAAAATCCCAGGGACATTACAACGTCCCTGTTTATGAGATTTAACCCGACTGGAAAGTAAAACCTCACAATAGGTTTTAATGCCTATCGAAAGAAGTCTCTTAATAGCGATCCCAATGAATAGGTTTATAAGAGTGGGTGAAAGGAGATATAGGAATGGGTCCTGATTTCCGGATCACAATTAAAGAAATATCTTTCTAGTTCAGGTGGGTAAATCAGTAGAGGGGAATCGGCTATTTGATGGTTATTGAACTTCCTGAAACTTAAGTTAACTTCTTGGCCATATTACCTTGTTTAGATTTGGTCATCCGAGCACTGGCGAGCAGAAATTCATAGTCATATGCATAGAGAAACAAGCAAGAAGGATGCACAATCGGTTCCCACAGCCATCTTTGATTTAAGTTACTGAAGTCTACTTTTTGGTTCTCCAATCATAACCTTTGGTGATAGAATTTGGCACCTTACCTTGACAAGTTTTTAGACATTGTATTGCGATACGGCTGTAATATTGAAATACATTGCTGCATTAAACAACAAACAAACAATGATATATCACATGCACATGCATGGTAAGAATTTCTTGTTTTCTTTTATTCTTTATGAAAAGTGTAATCAATTATTCTAGCTGAATACCAAATGAGCGTATGACATGGTTTTGTATATCCATTATCGGGCAGCGACATCATCCTCATAGCTCACAGAACTAAATAAAAAACTGAAATATTGCGCCAGTTTGTATATAAAAGGTCCGAAATGGATTTCCCAATGGCTGAAAATATAATGACACACCTATGTTGCAAAATATAATGATATTTGGTATATGAATAGTCTGGCGATATATTGATATTTGACATTAACGCGTTGACAGTGCCTTCTAATTTACCCCCAATTGAAGTCTTGACTCTGTAAATATCGTCTCCAACACTGCAATTAGTTTCAAATACAAATCTGTTATGTGGTGCTGTCTTTTGTCAGCAGTTGTTGATATACTTATTATTTACATGTTTTACTTTACCTAGGCTGAAATACAATAATACCTCAAACTTTCACACTCAAACACTACTGTACTGATGACGCTGAACTTCGTTTGACAGTCGCGTTGCTTCTTATGACGACCGGCTCCGAGGTCTAATGGATTGAGCCTCTACCCGGAGAGTCGAAGGTTGGGGGTTCAAAGCCCGACCGCGTCACTCCTAAAGACGTTAAAAGATGGTACTTTTTGATACCCTGTCTAGGAGCTCGGCTTGAAGGGACTTAAACATGGACTGGTCGTCTCGGAGTCAGCAGACTGTGTCTGAGTGGGATATTCATGTTAATCTGCGACATGGTATCTCAGTGGGCTAGCACTATAATAGCAGCAATAGTCCGGACTAGTACAAACAAGCACACACACCGCATATATGTGCAATAACCTTGAACGCGACGTTAGACTCCATTTCACCTAACCCATCCTCCTTATGACGGCATGGTGTTTTGTTCAAACATTGTGATTCAATTATTATTTTGTTATATTTTATAATACACTTGAAATATAAAGCACCCGATGTTGTGGAGGATGTTTCTTAATTCATGCTCAGTATCCATTGAACCAAATTTGCTGAGACATGCATCAAAAGATTGACTTGTCATAAATTTAACAAAACTAATAATTTCCTCACTTTTTGTTAAAAAAGAGGAAAATATCAACAATTAACTTTAAGCGTTGTGCATTGCATCGGTGTTGTGCAATCTATAGTCATATAAGTTGAATGACGTGGCGTTAAACAAACAAACAAACAAACATTACATTTATTAGTTTGAATAAACATGCAGTTACTAGCTTTGGGTTTGTTGACATTCGGAACATTTTACTGCATATCCAGGTGAACTACAGTGCTGTGGCACTATTTTTAATTCTTTTAATGTCTTTTTAGTACACGTATGTCAAAAAGCAAACATATCTGTTTTACATCAATAGCGAGGCACGTCCATGGTCAACTTGACGTCGCAGATTTCAAGGATACCTTCTTGGAATGCCCTGTTTGCGTTGAACACTTCAACCAGACAGGCCGACGTCCCCGTCTTCTCAATTCCTGTCTACATGCGTTCTGTACATCTTGTCTGCAGACCCTGCTTTCAAAAGAGGGGGGGAGCAAAATCACATGTCCATTGTGTCGACACGTTCAAGCCGTCAAAGGAAATGCTAACACCTTGCCGATTGATCCAGTGAGGGATAAACTGACAGAATATCTACAGATCAAGCTTGAAAAGAAAACCCTTTGCACGGATTGTCCAGATGGAAATGAAGCTGAATTTAGATGTCAGGAATGCTTGTCTTTCATCTGTACAGCATGTCTTTCGGCACATAGACGTCACCGCTTGACCAAGAACCATAAAGTCATCACTTTAGATGAATTATTAAGAGATCCCCAGGCACACTTTCAGAGAGGTCACTTCTGTCAAAGTCACCCAACTCATCAGATTGAGTTCTACTGCAACACTGATGAGCATCTCTGCTGTGTGTCTTGCTGCATTGTGGATCATAAAGACCATGATATCAAGAAACTTGAAAATGCAGCAGAAGCTAAAAGAGGTCAGATCGAAAGAAACCTTCAGCTTATTTCAAAGACGTCAGTGTCAACAAAACAAGCACTACAAAAAGGCGCTGAACAGAAGCGGACTATACTCGACATTACAAAACAGAGTGAAGACGACATAAACACCATATACAATAGCTTGAAGGATGCATTGGAATATCACAGAAAACGACAATTAGCAAATCTTCAAGAGGAAAGACAGCAGGCATTGACCAGCGTACAAACTAGAACAAAAGCTCAAGAACAGACCATCGCTATGATTGAAACAACACAGGGATATTTCACAAAATGGAAGGAGTCTGCAGATGCTGTCGAGATGATACAGATGTATCCTACGATAATGAGGAGTCTGGAGGGGATCAGGGAAGTTCCTGATCAAGATATTGAGTACACAAAACTCAGATTTAAAGCCGACGTACCCGCTTTAAATAAATGTCTATCGGGATTTGTAGATAGTGCAATCTTTGAAGGTATGTATCGCCATGCAAATTGACATTATTGATGCCCATGTCTACCTGTCGAATTTAATATTCCTGTTGCTATTTCGAGAGTTTCTTCAGATCTTGTTGTTTTCATTTTTAGCATTAACATTGAATTAAGTTTGATCCTACAAAACCGAATGCAATATTTCTTCAAAGACAATTTCTCGATTTTGTTGAGATGATTTAGGAAATTGTAATAATGAATGGTTCCCCAACTCATCTCAGAACTGGAATGATTGGTTTGCCTTCTGATTGAAGACTTCATCAAGGATCTGAGGAAAAAGCCCTCTGTAAAGAAACTGTTTGGATATTGCTTAAAGCTGTGTAAAACTATCTATACACAGTCTCCATTTCTGCATGAAACTTACTTAAGAGAGAAATGCAATCGTTTTTATATATCTGTACTTCAGTTGAAAAATACATCGTAAGGGTTACTAAATGTTCTCCTACTGGAATTCGTCCTGAAGACATCGTGGATAACTTTAACAGTAAACTGGAAAAACAAGAATGAATGAGACGGGGCAAAAACTGCTTTCTTCATTATTTGTAACATACATTATTTTGTTTCTGTTGTCATAGCACAATTATTGTTGAGTGCATGGATTAGAGACAATTGTCGACATGTTCTTTACTTTATTTTTCAACCACGAGAGCAGCTTTAAAGAATTCATTTCTAGTGATCAGTAAATCACCTGCGGAAGTTACAATAGTCACTGAACATGAGATGGAACTTACTCAGTATGTAGTGACTTTTATAAATATTTTGAACATATGGCCATGGCCATGAGAATACAATTGGTTACCATTTGGTTACCCACGAGTGCAGATATAGTGGCCGTAAAAGGCGACTATGCTTGTCGTAAGAGGCGACCAACAGGATCGGATGGTCAGGCTTGCTGCCATGATTGATGCATGTCATCCATCCCAATTGCGTTGATCGATGCTCATGATATTAATCACTGGATTGTCTGGTCAAGACTCGATTATTTACAGACCGCCGTCATGTAGCTGGAATATTGCTGAGTGCGGCGTTAAACAACAAACAAACCAAGCAACCAAAAGACATAGTTCCAAGCTCCTCACAGCTATATAGCCCGTTTACAGAGCTCGCACCAGCTCCTGACTGTGCTAGGTAGTCTGCAACTATGCATGGAGTTGAACCAATTGACCTGTACGTTTACACACAAGTGATGACTGTCGTGACGCCAAATACTCTTTCGTTTTTGTTTGTTTGTCAATTTGAATTTCTATTTCATTTCAAATGTAATGTAATTGGTATCATGAGAATGTAAGGGGGAGTTACGTGAAAGAGCTTGGTATAGTGTTGTGCAAGGGAGGCTACTCTGCACAAGGGAGGCTACTCTGCACCCGTGACTTGGTCACCTGTACCCCACCTACATTAAGAGGACAGCCGACTTACAGTTTTCTGATTGGGTAGTTGAACCTCGACATGTTGACACATCCTCTGATGAAGGTCTGCACTGTTACTCTGGTTCCTGAAACATGGGAGACACACGCACAGAAAAGTGACGTGAGCTTATACATGTCTAAAATGATTTATTTTCAGCTTTTCATTCCCACCCGCCTCACCTCGCTTTTTATTTCATTCCAATGCCCTCAAGTACCTACGGACGGTAGAAACTAGCTACGTGTGTTGCTTTGTTACTACACTTGCCATGATTGACACCTGCATGGAACCCAGTCATACTAAGCATTCATGCTTCAAAGGCATTGCCAGTTAATGTCAACAGGTGCCCTGTATATAGATATAGATGTAACAAATGCCTTCTGCTGCACATATGTACAATAAACTAAATGAACATGTAATAATTCATTTATTGAGGCCTAATACTTTATTCTTGCAGCTATGACTAAAAGCCGGGCACGAACTGAAGGATGGACAGCATTGGTGAAAAAGATTGCTCGATAAGGTCACATGCCAGTGTCACAAGCAGAGCCTAAAGCTAAGGCCACTATATTTTGATTCTATGATTTATGTCCAGTGGTTTTGGTCAGTCGAAACAATAATCAAAAATCAAAAATAAATAAAATAAATAATTTGTGTGGCTGAATAAAAGTGCAGAGATTTTGCATTTTTACAATAACACGTATATGTAGTTACTTTTGTGAAGGCTTATGAAGTTAAATAATAATAAATGTATTTTGCTTTGATTTTGTTTTTCATCGTGACTGTTTCCAGCTGTTGGTGGAATCCGTAAGCAAACAATAAGAAAGTGTCACTATTAGTCTTTCACAGGTATCAGTGTTGTAAATATAAACAGCAAAACTCTGATATTTTGTTGGTCAAACCTTTAGGAGCCTATTCACCACTTTTATGTGCCTATTCACTACTATTATGTGCCTATTCACCACTAATATGTTCCTGTTCTCCACGAATATGTGCCTATTCACCACTAGTATCTGCCTATTCACCACTAACATCTGCCTATTCATCACTAGTGTCTGCCTATTCACCACTAGTATCTGCCTATTCACCACTAGTATCTGCCTATTTACCACTAGTATCTGCCTTTTCACCACTAGTATCTGCCTATTCACCACTAGTATCTGCCTATTCACCGCTATTATCTGCCTATTCACCACTATTATCTGCCTATTCACCACTAGTATCTGCCTATTCACCACTAGTATCTGCCTATTCACCACTAGTATCTGCCTATTCACCACTTGTATCTGCCTATTCACCGCTAGTATCTGCCTATTCACCGCTATTATCTGCCTATTCACCACTATTATCTGCCTATTCACCACTAGTATCTGCCTATTCACCACTAGTATCTGCCTATTTACCACTAGTATCTGCCTATTCACCACTTTTTTGCCTTTTACGCCTTATGGAATCTGTTGCGGCAGATAATCGAGACTGATAATTCTCTGGCGTTGATGTTGTATGTTTAGCCTACATGTTTTAAGTTCTCGTTGAATAGGGTTAAATGTTCTATTTCAGTTATTGAATAACAATAACTGTACACAATACAATGATACACACCATGTGTACACACCAACGATACATTAATGCGGACACCGTGCGTCGACGATTGACGAGCAGACACTTCCACTGTCACAGGCCACACCGAGGACCCATTCTGACACCACGTCATCGCCGGGACCGTCTTCAGTGGGCAACACAGCACCAGCATTGGCGCCACCAGCAGTGGAGAAGAGTCCTCTTCTCAGACGAGAGCCGTTACTGTATCTCAACAGCAGAAGAGAGAGAGAGAGAGAGAGAGAGAGAGAGAGAGAGAGAGAGAGAGAGAGAGAGAGAGAGAGAGAGAAAGAGTCTAGCGACGCCGCGGGGAACGTTATTCGGATGCTTGTGTTGTTGAGAGAGACTCGTGGGGTTGTCCGAGCATCATGGTGTGAGGTGGAATTGGTCTTGCACAAAGGTTCGGCCCTGTGGTCTTCCAGAACATCGGTCCAGGGAGAGGCAATGGTGTCACAGCAGCTCTGTAAATTGATCAAGTCTTGAGACCACATACCATACCTCATTTGGCAAGTCGCCGCAACCACGAGTTTCACCGTTATAACGCCCGTGCCCGCACTGCGAGAGCAACAAGAGACTTCCTCCAGCAGGATGACATCAGAACCATGCAGTGGCCTGCCCTCAGTCCCGATTTAAATCCCATTGAGCACCTGTGGGACGAGATTCAAAGACGGCTGAATGACGTCCGACCAAGGCCGACAACTGCAGCAGAACTGCGTAAGGCGTTCCTCAGAGTGTGGGCTCAAGTGCCTATGGCCTTCATCAACCGCCTCATCCATTCCATGTATCGACGATGCACGGCAGTCATCGATGCACATGGCGGACACACGAGATACTGACTTGTGATGCCATTTTCTCAGAGACTAGTGTTGCGTTTCACTTTAAGAACATTTGACACTTTAATTTCAACCTTGATGATCAGTTTTTGCCAAGTTTCATCTTTTTAATATGTCTCAAAGTATATTTACAATGTTTGGACAAATAAGGTTTCTCATATATCTATCGATGGTGACGTTTCTTTTGCGGTTCAGTATACTTTTCAATGTTCTTGACTTCTGGTTTTGTAATACATGAGAGTTGCCACCTAGAAGTTAGTCATTTTCCTGACTTCAGGGCTTAGTGTGATTTCTCCTACTCGCGATCCCATCTCGGACATTTATCACGGACCTTTAAATTGGACACCTGAACATGTGTAATAAGGACATTTGAATGTTATGACAGAATTCTATTTTAGTGTGGAATGTTATATTCATATTTGGACCCTGTAGGAACAGTGTTTGTATGACTATACTGCTTTTCTGTGTAAAACAAGGAACTCTCAACACTATTATCTTTTGTAATATAATGTCATTTAATCTGATGTGAAATATTGCTGAGTGTAATAAATGTAATCAGCCTAAAGTATTTGTATTTTCGTTTGTAATAATGTGTGCTGTATATCCTTAGTTCTGCTTTTTATATGTGACAATCCATATAAGGTTGAATTGTATCCTACACCAACCTCATAATAATAATCATAATCCTCATCATAATAATAGTGCATATGTATAATGCTTTAACTCCACGCCCTAATAACATGCTCAAGGCTCTTCTTCATTACTGCAGTCAATGGATCAGTACTAGTGTGTACTCGATTTACATTCTCAGCTTCCTTGGGAGTATACCACTTGAGCTACCTGTGAGGCGCTAGAAGGTTGCAGCCACATTCCCATCTCATCCTACCAGGTACTCATTCACTAATGGGTGAACAAAGCCACTTGACTGAAGAGACACCACATGTGTTACATGTGCTTCAGTGTGGGACATGACCGAAGCCCACATTCCCATCTCATCCTACCAGATACTCATTCACTAATGGATGAACAAAGCCACTTGACTGAAGAGACACCACATGTGTTACATGTGCTTCAGTGTGGGACATGACCGAAGCCCACATTCCCATCTCATCCTACCAGATACTCATTCACTAATGGATGAACAAAGCCACTTGACTGAAGAGACACCACATGTGTTACATGTGCTTCAGTGTGGGACATGACCGAAGCCCACATTCCCATCTCATCCTACCAGAAACTCATTCACTAATGGATGAACAAAGCCACTTGACTGAAGAGACACCACATGTGTTACATGTGCTTCAGTGTGGGACATGACCGAAGCCCACATTCCCATCTCATCCTACCAGATACTCATTCACTAATGGATGAACAAAGCCACTTGACTGAAGAGACACCACATGTGTTACATGTGCTTCAGTGTGGGACATGACCGAAGCCCACATTCCCATCTCATCCTACCAGATACTCATTCACTAATGGGTGAACAAAGCCACTTGACTGAAGAGACACCACATGTGCTACATGTGCTTCAGTGTGGGACATGACCGAAGCCCACATTCCCATCTCATCCTACCAGATACTCATTCACTAATGGATGAACAAAGCCACTTGACTGAAGAGACACCACATGTGTTACATGTGCTTCAGTGTGGGACATGACCGAAGCCCACATTCCCATCTCATCCTACCAGATACTCATTCACTAATGGATGAACAAAGCCACTTGACTGAAGAGACACCACATGTGTTACATGTGCTTCAGTGTGGGACATGACCGAAGCCCACATTCCCATCTCATCCTACCAGATACTCATTCACTAATGGATGAACAAAGGCACTTGACTGAAGAGACACCACATGTGTTACATGTGCTTCAGTGTGGGACATGACCGAAACCCACATTCCCATCTCATCCTACCAGATACTCGTTCACTAATGGATGAACAAAGCCACTTGACTGAAGAGACACCACATGTGTTACATGTGCTTCAGTGTGGGACATGACCGAAGCCCACATTCCCATCTCATCCTACCAGATACTCATTCACTAATGGGTGAACAAAGCCACTTGACTGAAGAGACACCACATGTGTTACATGTGCTTCAGTGTGGGACATGACCGAAGCCCACATTCCCATCTCATCCTACCAGATACTCATTCACTAATGGATGAACAAAGCCACTTGACTGAAGAGACACCACATGTGTTAAATGTGCTTCAGTGTGGGACATGACCGAAGCCCACATTCCCATCTCATCCTACCAGATACTCATTCACTAATGGATGAACAAAGGCACTTGACTGAAGAGACACCACATGTGTTACATGTGCTTCAGTGTGGGACATGACCGAAGCCCACATTCCCATCTCATCCTACCAGATACTCATTCACTAATGGATGAACAAAGCCACTTGACTGAAGAGACACCACATGTGTTACATGTGCTTCAGTGTGGGACATGACCGAAGCCCACATTCCCATCTCATCCTACCAGATACTCATTCACTAATGGATGAACAAAGCCACTTGACTGAAGAGACACCACATGTGTTACATGTGCTTCAGTGTGGGACATTACCGAAGCCCACATTCCCATCTCATCCTACCAGGTACCCATTCACTAATGGATGAACAAAGCCACTTGACTGAAGAGACACCACATGTGCTACATGTGCTTCAGTGTGGGACATGACCGAAGCCCTAGAAACTCTCGGAAGTCAAACTGGCGAACACGGTCACCCAACTACTCTCCGAGGTCGATGATGCTAAACCTCACCTGATCGGTGACCCGTGGTCTATCACAAGTTCACGTGCTACCACGTAGGTCGTATTACGTGTATGGTGCCATTTGTATTACTACTCGTTATGTAGTGCTCGAATAGGTGACAGTCACAATTGAACGTGCCGGGGTTCATATACCAACTCAAGTAGGATTTAAATGCTCTTCTCCCTGGGCCGAGGACCGAGAAACAGGGGCATCATGTTTAATGTTATACTATATGCTGTTCACAGGCAAGAGCATTATTGTATTTCACTTAATCTCTCAAACGAAATACAATTCAGCCTCAGTATTACATGATGGACGTACGCATCGGTCAGTGACTCCTATGTAAATATTTCAGGCGATTATGCTTGTAAGCGGCGACTAACAGGATCAGGTAGTCAAGCTCGCTGACTTGGTTCATACATGTCCTCGTATCCCAAATGCGTAGATCGATGCTCATGGAGTCAATCACTGGATTGTCTTTTATCAGACTTGATTATTTACAGACAGCCGTCATATTGCTGAGAGTGGCGTTATACAACAAACAAACAACTCCTATGTAAATCATAGCTTGGTGTTAACAAATATCTGTCAACGAAAGTAAATAGTTTAACATGTTTCTGCCTCAGAGGGACAAGTTGATAGTAACTGTACGCATATCTTTTATTGATGTACATAAGACAATGAAATGCTTACAACACGAGAATTAGAGAATGTTTTGATTTGTTTTGTGATTTCAAAAAATATTTGCTTAAATTTTCATCCATACTTTTAATGTGAAATGTTATGGGTTTTTTGGTTCACAAAAACTAGCAAAGAAACACGGTGGAAACTCATGTTGAACCGCATACTTCCATCCATCGCAGTTGACGAACAGAGTTTGTAGCCATCGGATCGCGGGTTAGGATGTCTCTACGTGGTATTTTTCATTTGATTTCGAGAATAAATAATAATGTATAATGAGCGGAACATTTGTACAATATTGTAAACATATGGAAGATTAATTCATTTGGGACAAAAAAGTTCCTTTCGTTGGAGTTACAAGTAAGGTTTTCTATTCATTTACTTATAAGGAGCGGTCGGGTAGCCTAGTGGTTCGCGTTCGCTCGTCACACCGAAGACCCGGGTTCAATTCCAAATATTGGTACAATGTGTGAAGCTCATTTCTGGTGTTACCCGCCGAGATATTGCTGGGATATTGGTAAAAGTGGCGAAACATTACATTGCTGCGTCACACTGTATCAAACAAACAAACAAACAAACAAAAAGGATATGGTATAGGTATCAGCACCTATAAAGAAAGAAAGAAACAAGTTGAAATCCATTGTTTAATAGGCATTACTTTAAAGTTGACGGATGGGCTTGCTTGACAACAATATAAGGATCTTTATACAAACGTCGCCTTTACAGTAAATAAAGAAGTTGTTGTCCATAGAATATCTCTACTTAATCAAGTTGAAATCCATACGTCGCATGTCTACTCAACATGTACTTTCGAAACGATACGTACCTTTCTTATGATTACTACCCTACGACACAATCTCCATTCAAGTACCCTTCAGTGTACCTACAAGTGCCGCTTGTGGAGTGATGGGTCACCTCGGTCCTTCAACCCTGTTTATCGCATGCTAAATACGTTATATTCCCACCGTATCATTCACATCCGCGACGACACGTTAAAGACACGTGCTACACACATGATCAGGATTTATTTAGTAGGTCATACACTATCGCTTACCCGTACTGTCATTGCCGTCGGTCAGCGTCTCCTTTCAACCAGAAGCTAACCTGTTAACGCTATGGCCGAACACACCCCCATGACCATGTCACTAAATAATGGCCTTTCTATGCCTGCAGTGGGATTTGGGACATTCAACAAGCTGGTGGTATGGTATTTACGTGTTCCTTTAAAACTTGTACTATAAAGTGTTCTAGGAAACGCCTGACCCGTGAAGATCCGGGCTAGAATTTTCCGTCGACAACCCATTCATGTGGTAATAGGCGACTAACGGGATCGGGTGGTCTGACTTGCTGACTTGGTTGATGCATGTCATTATTTCAAAGTTGTGGAGATCAATGGTCTTGTCATCACTGGATTGTCTGGTCCAGACTCTGGTGCGATTATATACAGACCGCCTTCATAAAACTGGAATATCGACAAACGAAGGAATACTCCTGCCAAATGAGGGCGGACAGTAAACAATCAAGACTCCAGTGATTGTTGACCAGACGGTCTACCGACACGATAGTGCGTTTACTGATTTTATTGAAACTGGAAGAGATACGATAATTTTGAAATGCGTCTGCTGAATTCGCTTGGGTTGACTCAATATTTCAGCAACATCACGGTGAGGAACTCCAGAAACGGGCTTCATAAATTGTGCCCGTGTGGGAATCGAACCCGAGCCATCGGTGTAATGAGCGAACTCTTTTACCACTACGTTGTCCACTTAAGTTGTATGTTATACGCATTCCTCCACCACCAATGGCCTCCTCGGTTAGAATTGGTCCTCGGGGCGGTCGGGTAGCCTAGTGGTTAAAGCGTTCGCTCGTCACGCCGAAGACCCGGGTTCGATTCCCGACATGGGTACAATGTGTGAAGCCCATTTCCGGTGTCCCCCCGCCGTGATATTGCTGGAATATTGCTAAATGCGGCGTAAAACCATACTCACTCACTCACTAGAATTGGTCCCAGCACTCTGTTGCTTGCCGTCAGAGGCGACTAAGTTTAATCAGGCTGTCGCGGTGTGTCATCATACCCTGACGGCGTAGATCGTTGTTCGTGCTATCAGCCACTGAGAATCATGCCCACTATATGCAAACCTCCGGCATATACATATAGCTGGTATGTCTTACTACGACGTAAAACAACATTAGCTTACTCGTTCATTTGCTATCAGATAAGGGTGGTAAGGGCTTAGTGGTTAAGGTGTTCGCTCGTCACGCCGAAGAGCTTGAAGCGGCGTAAAACTATACTCAATTACTCCCGCTAATCGGATTGTTGCTTGAAAGAAATAATATATAATGTACCCGTGAAGATCCGGGGTAGAATACGTCTTCAGCAACCCATGCTGGCCGTGAAAGGCGACTATACTTGTCTTAAAAGGCGACTAACGGGATCGGGTGGTCAGGCTCGCTGACTTGGTTGATGCATGTCATCGTATCCCAATTGCGTGGATCTATGCTCATGATGTCAATCACTGAATTGTCTGGTCCAGACTCGTTTATTTACAGACCACCGTCATATAGCTGGAATATTGCTGAGTGCAGCGTTAAACAACAAACATAATGATGTCTACACTGTAGGTCAATGACAGGGTCATGATAGACGCTGTGAAGACAGCCATTGACGTCGGCTTCCGTCATTTGGATGCAGCGTGGTATTACAACAACGAGACAGACGTAGGTCAGGCCATCAAGGAGAAGATACAAGACAAAACAGTGACGAGAGAGGAGCTCTTCATTACGTCAAAAGTAAGTCACATTATTACACGAACTATGCACTGGATCACAAACTGTTGTTGCGAGTTGATTCCCAAGTTTGACCCAGAAATCTGTTCGTTAAGAACTCAAACAGGGTTACGTTGACCATCACAAGAGGCAATACAACTGGTCAAAGCTGTGACTGCAATGAGTAACAAACCCGATAACAAATGTTAATAAACTCACGAATGTCCATAAATTGACACTGTACATGTCGATTGTGTTGAGAGATTTAATAATCTCGTAACAGTAGCTGTTGACATTCATTCACTTGCCGTCACAAACTCTCATCACTATCTTCTACAATATATACTGCTACATAACACCAGCCTCAAAGCCAAAATTAACCATGTTCTTATGTATAAGAGATAAACGATACAGGTTAAATACGTATATGGTTTTAAACCCAGCTCACGCACTCGTTAAGGTTTGTTTGTTAGACACAGAGCTAATTACGTTACATAAACAGTTTTTAGGAAGCAAAGCAATGGATATACCCATGTTTCAAAAACATTTCTGGTGATAGATAAGAAAACATTATCTGTTGACATACACAGATACACACAGTGGAAACCCTAGTCAGAACTCCGTTAAACCGGGAACCCAATATTCGGACGATTACTATTTGAGTTGTACGCCGCTATTATCAATATTCAAACAATTCCACGGCGGGCGTCACCAGAAATAGGTTTCACACAGTGCACCCATGTGGGGATCCGAACCCGGTTCTTCGGCGAGACGAATGAAAGCTTTAACCACTAGGCTACCCCGCCGCCCGATTACTATTTCAAACACAGTTCAAGGGTCAATACTATGTACCCAAGACGCATTAATTCAGATAATTTCATTTGGAAGATAAATCCCGGGGATTTCATGCTGATCAATTATGAAGTCAAAAACTGATATACGAGATTTGAAACGCCGTCGTAATGTTGCCTGATGCAACGTTAAACAAACAAACGCTATTTTGAGTCGCCGTCGTGATGTTGCTTATTGCAGCGTTAAGCTTCTAAAGAGATTTTACCATTGGACTGACACTTTTGCGTTGTTTCAGCTGTGGTCCAACTTCATGGCACCGGGGAGAGTTGAGGAAGCGGTGAGGCTGTCTCTGGAAGACCTTGGTGTAGCCTATCTGGATCTGTACCTGGTACACTGGCCTACACCCACAGAGGTGAGATAGTCATAGCACATGCTGACTGGAAACCACCATCAGGATTGTGGTTAGAATTTATCTCATTCAACCGATACTGGTAGTAAGATGCGACTGACTGAAGTGGGTAGTCAGGCCCAGTGACTTTCTTGACTGCATATCTTGAAGGCGTGGGATGAGCGGCGCTGAACCAAGGCACTCACTCACTCACTCACTACGGATCATGAAGTTGAATGATTATTTGTCCTGAGTGAGTGAGTATGGTAATACACCGCTTTTAGCAATATTCCAGCAATATCACGGCGGGGGGTACCAGAAATGGGCTTCACACATTGTACCCATGTCGGGAATCGAACCCGGGTCTTCGGCATGACGAGCGAACGCTTTAACCACTAGGCTACCCCACCGCCCGTTTGTCCTTAGTGTTCTGTCAAAATGCTGAGCACGATATTCCATAGATAAAACTACGAGCATTACAACTTTATTCCCTTGAGCCGCCGAGGTTTACCGAAAAGAGGGGGCACGGGTAGCCCAGTCGTCTAATGCGTCGCGATTCGCTGTGCAGAGTTGCGTCCCATGGGCCCGCCAGAAACCTATGATTGTGGGTTCGAATCCCGGTTCTCCCCGATTATGTTTCTAGGTTTGTCAGCACCATACCCGTGCTCGTGGGTTTCACCGAAGTGGTAAACGTCTGAGACCTGCATCACTTCGGGCTTTCCTCCCACATTAAGCTGACACGCTGCGATATAACTGGAATATTGTTAAAAGCGGCGTTAAACCTAACTCACTCACACACTCACTGAAAACCGAAAAGAACAGTACCCCAGTATTCCGCGCTTATCTTAGAGTCGACTTCAATAGGGTTTGAAAACTTTTAGATCAGTCCGATAAGCCAGAAAACCAATTAACAAACGAGTTTGTCTCAATAGTTATCTGGCTATATCGTGTGGCTAAATGAGGAATAAACAACATTAACTTCTTTGTCATCAGACTGGAAGCAGTTCCTTCTTCCAATGTCAATTTGGATAAATGGTATTAAATATCCTTACGTATATTTTAATCCCCGTCAATAGTGTGTTCCGAATGGACAACCTCTGTAAACATGAATTTGGAAAATAATTAAAACAATTTGTTTCAAATTATTGCTTTGGTTACATTTTGTTTGTGTGATTGGTTACGGTAACATAAAATGTCAATTGCACTTTATTATGATAAGTTTGAGACTGAGCATTTGAACTGTACCATTTTTTTAATGAAATATCAATACTCAGATTTACCGTTTTCAAGGACAGCCCCGATGACCGGACCTTCAGTGCTCCGGTTCATGACCACAAGATCGATTACCTGGACACGTGGAAGGTATGACCAGAGGTTGTAGACCGGTCCGATTAGGGGGCAGGTCCCTAATAATCCCTTATGGCATGACCTCTCAAGCATAAGTCTGTTACAGAGATCCAATAATTATGCCCCAATACCTATCCTATATGCACCGTCGAAATAATGATATGTCTCAAAAAACGTAGTCCAAATACATATATGAACACACAATGCCATTTAGAAAGAGGTCAAATGTAACAAATGTTATATTGGGGATAACACTTACTTTGTAAAGTACAGATTCTCGTTCTTGTTTTGGTTGAGTCCCGTGCTGGCGATTAGGTGCCTCACTCTGGCAGTGTGGGTTCGAAAAACCCGGACAGGTCTCAACCCAAAAAAATACGAGAATCTGTACTTTACAAAGAAAGTGTTATCCCAAATATATCAATTGTTACAAATACATATAGTTGTAATAGTAATTTCTCATTTCGCTTATTCAGTGTATCAAATCTCCATTCTTTTATTGTTATTGCCGACATAACGCCAAATTAGACATAACGTCGGGAGATGGTGATGTCACTTGTATCAGAATAGATTGGAGGTATAATACATTGGATAATCAAAGATTCTTTATTGTGACGAGTCATACAGCTGTCAGACTGACCATAAATCCCAAAAGCATATTCTTAAATAATGTGTTCAGGTGAATGCTTGACTTGCCTTTGCGTGTGTTTTTGATTGGAGACATTGGTTGAGCATGATACGCTCACCTCTGTGTCATCACTATTTGGTAGTGATACATAAACACATGCTAATGATGTCGGAATCGTACAAAGTACTCTGCTTTGAGAGGAGATTTCTTGTGATCAAAAGGCACAAAGGCACTCAGACTGTTGTTATTCCATATTCAGAAATCTGCCTCAACATAGATATGTCTGGTAAAAGAAAACATACACTATGAGGAATTCTGTTCGTCAAGCTTGGGTCCGATTCCCAGCATCCGTACAAAGACCTACACTGTCTGTGTTACCGCTCAGATATCGCTGAAGACCTTCTCAAACTGTCAAACGCTCAGTGAGAAAGTGAGTTTGGTGAAACGTTGCTTTCAGCAGTATTTCAGTTATATCACAGCGTGTCATCTTCATGTGGGAGGAAAGTGATGCGGGTCTTAGATCTTTACCACATTGATGAAACCCACGATCACGGGTATGGTACTGAAACCCCACAAACTTAATTAGCACGAACCGGGACTTTGAACCCACAATCATAGGAATTTGGTATCCTTAAGGGTCGCAACTTTGCACAGCGATTGCGATGCCTTAAACGAGTGGGCGACCAATGTTTTACCTGTTGATGCTTCCCGTGTGTATGCGTGTGTAAACGCTGTTTTATACTTTGACTTAAAGCTTCAATGTATCTGTTTAAGGCAATGGAGAAACTTGTGGAGAAGGGACTTGTTCGCAGTATCGGAATTAGCAATTTTAATTTAAGCCAGGTTGAAAGACTACTGAACATGGATGGGCTGAAAATCACACCTTCAAACCACCAAGTAAGTTACTATTGAATCGCAGCCTGGAACTCAGTGGATGTCATAGTCAATTATATGTTCTACCTATTGAAGAAATGTATGGACCGTACAATTACACAGAAACTAATACATCAGAATGCAGTGCAAAGGGTGAGGTGAGGTGAAATGGGGATTAACGGCGCGTCCAAGATTATTGCATTTACGTGCATGTACGTGTATGTGTGGCTGCTTGTACTGGTCCGGACCAAAGCCGATGTTATAGTGCTAGCCCACTGAGATATCATGCCGCAGTTTAACACGAACACAACACTCAGACACAGTATACTGACTCCGAGCCGACCATTCCTTGTATTTGCCCCTTACTGCCAAGCGCCAGGCAGGGTATCAACAAGTACCATATTTCAACGTATTTTGGTATGACGCGACTGGGGATCGAACCCCGGATCTTTCGCTCTTCAGGCGGTCCAGTACGAAGCGAGCCCATGTGACTGAGTGTATAAAGGGGGAACGTTCTGGTTAATTGGTAGTCCGGGCAAGTTATATAAAAACATTTCAACACCATAGTATACGGTATGCATCAATCTAACGATTCGCCTGTTATGATTCCGTGATAGTACTTGGTCCCGAGCAACCTATGCTTGACGCAAGAGCAGGTGATCAAGTTCGAGGACTTGCAAATGGTTCGGTGATGGAATATTGCTGAGTGCCATCTAAGCAACAAACAGTCAAACATTACATCATAAACACCATATCATAGGATAGCATAAAGTGACATGTAACAATTGTGTTACACCCGATAATAGGGCCGTGAAGATCCGGGATAGAATATGTCTTCAGCAAGCCATGCGTGCCGTAAAAGGCGACTAACGGGATCGGATGGTCAGGCCCGCTGACTTGGTTTATGCCTGTCAGCGATTCCAATTGCGTGGATCGATGCTCATGTTGTCAATCACTGGATTGTCTGGACCAGACTTTACTTGAGTGGCGTTAAAGAACAAACCAAACCAAACCAAACCAAAACGACCGACAATAAATCGCATTCCCCATATCGATGGCTGAAGGAACACGAAGATGGCTCACACGTGCAGCGTACCTTGTATTAGCTGGAACAAACTATTTTCATATAGTATTTTTCATAACTGTCAGTTTCATTTTCATGTATATTGTTTCACACGAGCACACCCATGGATGGGCAGACAATGGTGTGTACAGGGACTGACTTTACCTTTCAGATTGAGATCCACCCGCTTCTGAACAACAAAGACCTTGTACAATACTGTCAGAGTAAGGGAATATCCGTCACGGCATACTGCCCTCTCGGGGGTATGTCGGGAAATGTAGGGTGAGTGTCAGATGAAGTCACGGCATACTGCCCCCTCGGGGGTATGTCGGGAAATGTAGGGTGAGTGTCAGATGAAGTCACGGCATACTGCCCTCTCGGGGGTATGTCGGGAAATGTAGGGTGAGTGTCAGATGAAGTCACGGCATACTGCCCCCTCGGGGGTATGTCGGGAAATGTAGGGTGAGTGTCAGATGAAGTCACGGCATACTGCCCCCTCGGGGGTATGTCGGGAAATGTAGGGTGAGTGTCAGATGAAGTCACGGCATACTGCCCCCTCGGGGGTATGTCGGGAAATGTAGGGTGAGTGTCAGATGAAGTCACGGCGATGAAGCGATGTTAATTTTATGTATAACTGATGCCACAAATCATGCCGATGACCTCCCTAAACGCGGACGCTATTGGAGTTTTACACCTTATATTTCGCAATCTTGCCATCATTTGGTTATCAGTGGTTTTTTCCCTTTTATTTTATTTTATATAAATTTAAATTGTCAAATTAAATGAAATTATTATTAAAACTAATTTCATCAACCCTCTTTGTTTTATTAGGATGGGTTTTTATGTGTTTTTTTTTTTCAATCCGTAGTAATTAGTATATTAAAATATGTAATGAATATGGTATTATTAATATAATTATTTTCATTTAAGAATTCACTGTAGCGTTCGCTCGTCAAGCCGGAGGCTCGGGTTCGATTCCCTACATATATGCAATGTGTGAAGCCCATTTCTGGTGTCCCCCGCCATGATATTGCTGGAATGTTGCTCGATCGCTCACTCACTCAGCAACAACTGATGTATTAGTGTATGTGATATTCTACCAGTCTATACTTACCTGTTGCTCGGTTTCTCGTAGGATTGTCAACAACCCGACACTGGCAGCAGTGGGCAAGAAGTATGGAAGGTCTGCAGCTCAGGTACATGAGTGGCTACGAAGAAAACATAAGACCCGTGAAGATCCGGCGTAGAATAGGTCCTCAGATTGCCGTAACCATACACGAGTAACTGTGAAGTGTGTGAGTGAGTTGTGTTTAACGCCGCTTTTAACCGTATTCCAGTTATATCGCGGCGTGTCAGCTTCATGTGTGAGGAAAGCCCGAAGTGATGCAGGTCTCAGACGTTTACCACTTCGGTGAAACCCACGAGCACGGGTATGGTGCTGACAATCCTAGAAACATAATCGGGGCGAACCGGGATTCGAACCCACAATCATAGGTTTCTGGCGTGCCCAGGGGACGCAACTCTGCACAGCGAATTGCGGCGCCTTAGGCTACTGGGCCACCCGTGCCCCGATCAACTATGAAGTGAGATTGATAATAATAACGAGAAATTGTTTTTCGTTCATTTGACCCATGGACGCGCTAAGGTGTTGCCCCAAATTCACCGTTACATATTCGTGCTGTAATACCTCCACAGAGTGCTGTCGTTGGTCTGTCAGCATTAAACTTGCATTGATGGGTTGCAGCAACGTAGTAAACGTCGCCGACCTGCGTCAAGTTTGATTTCCACACATATTTAGCTGGCAAGCTATGTTATAACTGAAATGGAGTTTCAAGGGGTGTTTATCCCCCAATAGCGACGCCACATAAGGACCTCCGTAGGGGTGGAGGAGAAGTGGGATCTTTTTGTGAGAAATACAATTTTTCCTGAAATGATGGTTTTTTTCCCCAAAGTAATTTTTCACTGGTCCTGTTGGATGTACAGGGAGCAAATGTGTTGTGTTTCTCCCTAAATGTAGAGGCCCGGCGAAAAAGGCGGTATGTCTTGAAGCAGTGACCAAACAACTGTCCTCGAACGTCACCCGATTACCTTTGCCGCACCTGTGCCACAACTTTTACAGCACCTATGCCACAACTTTTACAGCACCTGTGCCACAACTTTTACAGCACCTGTGCCACACCTTTTACAGCACCTGTGCCACACCTTTTACAGCACCTGTGCCACAACTTTTACAGTACCTGTGCCACACCTTTTACAGCACCTGTGCCACACCTTTTACAGCACCCGTGCCACACCTTTTACAGCACCTGTGCCACACCTTTTACAGCACCTGTGCCACACCTTTTACAGCACCTGTGCCACAACTTTTACAGTACCTGTGCCACAACTTTTACAGCACCTGTGCCACAACTTTTACAGCACCTGTGCCACAACTTTTACAGCACCTGTGCCACAACTTTTACAGCACTTGTGCAACAACTTTTACAGCACCTATGCCGAAACTTTTACAGCACCTATGCCACACCTCATCTTTTCGCGAACACCTGGAGTCATACCTATTTGGTCATGGTTCATGAACACATGCTTATGATATAGTCGGAATCGTACAATTGTATCTGCTTTCAGCAGTGATATATATGATTATAGAAATGTTTTTGTCACTTTTATTAGCAGAATATGGTATATTTGTTTCCCCGCAGGTAGCCCTGAGATGGGGGCTACAGAGAGGATATGCAGTTCTGACGAAGAGTATGAAAGCGGAGCGGATAAAGCATAATTTCCAGGTAAGATGTGTCGTTTTTACTGTACACCGAGTCGTTTTGCTGAGTTGCTTCCCTTGGGCGTGACATGATCCTACTATCGTGGCATCGAATCTCAGATTCGTCTGTACTTGATCTTTAGGTTCCAACAAAGAACTTCTTCGACCTATTCGTGAAATCATTTCGAGCTTTCCTGACACCAAACAAATAACTGAAATACGTGGCGTTAAACACGTCTCACCCTAGCAACATTGTCATTTCATTGTTTGTTTGTCTGTTGTTTAACGCCGCACTCAGCAATGTTCCAGCTAGATGACGGCGGTCCGTAAATTGTAGAGTCTGGACCAGACAATCCATGTGATTGAGATCATGAGCATCGATCTACGCAATTGGGATACGATGACATGCTTCAACCAAGTCAGCGAGCCTGACCACCCGATCCCGTTAGTCGCCTTTTACGACAAGCATGGGTTGCTGTACTCGCCGCGATAGCTGCAAGTTTGTTGATGCGGCGTTGAGCACAAATCACTCACTAAGTCAAATTTGTCCAAATGAGTCCAAATATCGGCTGTGGCTGATGTAATGCTATTTTATCAATCTGTTATTTTGAACCCATTGTTACCATCAAGTCCTTTCTCCACCCTTCAAAGTGGCATTCTTCCTGTCTTCCTCCTCCTCCTCATCATCCGCCACCTCCTACTCTTCTTCTTCTTACCCACCTTCTCATCATCATCATCTACCTCCTCCCCCTCCCCCGTCACCTGGCGGCACGGGTGGCCCAGTCGTCTAAGGCGCCGCGATTCGCTGTGCAGAGTTGAGTCCCTTGGACACGCCAGAAACCTATGATTGTGGGTTCGAATCCCGGTTCGCCCCGATTATGTTTCTAGCTTTGTCAGCACCATACCCGTGCTCATGGGTTTCACCGAAGTGGAAAACGTCTTGGACCTGCATCACTTCGGGCTTTCCTCCCACATTAAGCTGACACGCCGTGATATAACTGGAATAATGTTAAAAGCGGCGTTAAAACCTAACTCACTCACTCCCCCGTCACCTCCTCCTCACACGAACATGTATTCCTGACACTGTTTTTATTTCCTACAGTTGTCTGACTTTGAATTAAGTGACGAGGATATGGACGTGGTCTATTCTGTCAATAGTGACACACGCATGGTGGTACCAGCCATGTAAGTTTTGTTCAGTTCCTGCCGTAAGTGTATAGGAGCTGTTTCAGCACAGTCAAATACTTTCAAATATACTTGCGCTCCTCAATACTGTTAATGTGGCAAGGCAAACTTTAAGAAAAAGGTACAAAATTCTATAGTAAAGCTCAAGTTGGGACCGAATCCAAAGTTCGAAATAGCGCTTTGTATAGTTATCTCGAATTCGAGATAAGCGGGCAAATAGGGACCAAAGAATAGGTTCGAGATTTGGGTACATTCGAGATAACGGGGTTCGAGATAAAGAGGTCCGACGGTATATGGTATGGTATACGCTAAGAAGAATGTCCCTCATATTTCATGTTTATTTGCAGGTTCAAGGGTCATCGGTTCTGTCCTTTCTAGATCGCAGGTAAGAGGGGTTGTTGTGCATTATGCTAATACATGTAGGTTGAGTGTAATACTTTGAGTGGGCTGTCACTTAAAATATAGGTAACACTAATATAAGTGATGTATGGGGCTGTAGACTCAAACATTGTATATTTTATCCTTATTCTTTGTTTCATATATTACAGGCTTTGGAAGCGTATACTACAGCTAAAAGGAAATAAAACAAGGCTTGCAAGGTTCTACCTCACACGTCATTAGTATGACGTCACACCACTCAGTGACGCAAACCATATGACGTCACAGTCGGATATAGAAAATCGCCAAGTCTCAAGACCTCTGTCTCTCCTCAAACCTGAAATACAAATTCTTTGTCGATATCTATCGCGAGTTCTGCTCAAAATGCTTTGCCACAATTACGTTGAATATTATTTAACCGCAAATATATGTTTGTACAATATAACGGAAGCCTTCAAATCTTTCGTATGAATCAGTAGTGGTTATTGTGCTTTGAAACCTCTGTCTGAACAATTAGTATCTTGTAGTTTCTAACTAAGTTGTAGAATCTAGGATATCCTGCATACAATGAACATTCAATTACTATCAAGGAGTTCTGAAGGAAACGTATGGTGTATTTACCTATCCAGCAACGAAGCAATACCATGTCATACTTCCTGTTGCTATTGTTTGCATGTATGCGCATTTATTACCCACAGGGTAAGATATAACAGAGTTCATAAAAAGTGTATGTGCACTAGTGCAAATACCTGTTCACGCCTTCACGCGCACCAGTGCATTGTTTACTTCATCCGGATTCAAATCGTAAGGTCGGAATGACGTCACACTAGAAACGACGTCATCGCTGAAGATGACGTCATTCGACAATTTATGTTTTTCTGAGGCGGAGGTGCATTTTCTTCTAAAGGGGAGCTCAAAATGAATAGGAAATAACGGGTAAAAATCAATTATAACACTCTCATATGCGTCGAACGGATTTTACGAAACTCATGTAAGAATTCATGCATTATTTCCGCTCTCGCTTGTGAAATACAAGAATTCTGACACTCGTAAAATCCGTATTACACAAATGCTCGTCTAATAATCTCTATGTATATGTCACAATTACGTGTGTGGTTGATATTTTCAAATCAGTGTTCCCACATTCACTTACAGAACCAGCGTTTTGACAAGCCTTAGAAGCACATCAATGTATGACAGAATAATATCTGATATTTAATTATGAGGACAACGCATGTATTACAAAATGTTTTTTTACATTAAAATTATATACATTGGTATTGTGTATTATAGCTCGTGTGCCTACGTTTGTTAATTTGTGTTATGTATGAGGTACAAATGTAGCATTCGCGAACCATGAATCAGTCCTTTTAAACTTGGTGTGCAAGTATGCAATGAAAATAAAATAAAGTATGTGCCCCCATCATGTAGTGAAATGACGCCTACACATAAGCATAATTGTTGGCGTATGAACAAGCGAGTATGGCACTTCATGCATGTTGAAGGGGAATTTTCCTTCCAAAGTGAAGGTGATCCTTGAGTTGCATGATGCGCTTGTCCAGTTAGATAGACTCTTGTTCTTAGGCGAAACATAGCACCATGATCCAATTGCAGCCTCTTGGCCCTGCCTGTAGCCTCAATCTTCTTGATTTGCGACAGGAACTCGTGAATGCTCGGGTGTGCTTTAGATATTCAATTTTTAGATGTCCGTGAAAGCCTTCAGGATGGTTGTTGCTTTGAGGACCAACAATGCCATGATGATTCCACATCCGAGCTGAGAAGTGGGTATCATAGTCTACCAAAGTGGTTGCCAAGTAATCGTTGACGAAGGGATCTGCTTGTGTTCTCGATCAAGTTATACTGAACTTGGTTGATAGAGAGAAGAGGAAGGATACAGGTCGTCGGACATGGAATTGAATCTGGGCTCCGTTTTGGAGACAACCACTAATCCTTTAGCTACTACCTGTCGCCAAACCCTGTGTCCAGCGGAAGAGGCAACCACGAATCTCAAGCGTCCGGATGCTTTCTGGAGCTGGAGAACTCTCCTTTCAAGCAACGTATTGTGTATTCCTCCTGTACGCTAGTACAGTCAATATTTAAAATGGGTGCCTTGTGTCATTTCCGCCCTTTATGCGGAGGCCATCTTATACACAAGCGTGCGCTCACGTCTACAAGTCTCTCCCCGTGGCTCGGCATGCGTAGAGCCCTCTCCCTCACATGTTTCCTCCATGATATAACTGACCAGACGATATCGCTGGAAGTCGTCCTGCAGACGCTTCATTTCAAATCCGATAAATGTTTCACGGATAATGTTTTCTCATAACATCAACTCAAACAATCTTCTAGAGGCCAATGGTAGCATGAAATACAGTGGTTCTGGTCGGTCACAACCGTACCCATATTTTCCTACAAAATTATGTCGTGTTTTAACATTTTCATATATCGTCATTCAAATGCATTCTACAAGACAAGAAAGACTGAATTCCATTTGCTCGCCAGGAAACAATGATCCAATTAAATACTCCTGTGCTTGGAGCCTGTCTACTTCAATTTAGATGTCATTAGTAGGCCTGTACCTGTGTCATTACTAGTTACATGCATCAGATTCTCAGCAAAGGAATCCAATTGCCTCAAATAACCCCACCCTGTGGCAAATTTCCAGCATGGAAAAAACTGATCACATAAAATTCTTGTATATTATATATATATATATAAGTCCACGTTAGTCCATCATCTTCTTATATCAGAAATAACAAAAATATAAGGATGATGGACTAAAGTTGACTTTATTATTTTATTATATATTACATGTACACCGAGTGAACATTAACCTCATTTTTGTGTATTTTGCATAGAAAGACAGTTGCATATGCCAATATCATTTTCCTTGGGCGTATACTTCAACAATTGTAAACCTTATTCCAAACTTGAGGGTATAAATAGACATGCGTTATTTCAGTCACTCCTCAACACTGTTTGAGAAGACGGATGACTTCAACTTTCCAGTAGTCAGCCCCTTTATGTCGAGCAATTTTGCTTAAGCTCCAGCTTTTGGTGTCAATATTTCACAACTTTTGAGGTCCAATCGAGCATGCTCTTGCACTTTGTAGGAAGTTTTCAAAGAGCATGGGACAGGATACGCTCACGCTTTCGCGAAAACCTGGTATTACCACTATTTCATAGCGATTCATAAACACATGCTCATGATGTAGTCGGAATCGTACAATGGACTCTGCTTTAGCAGAGATCTCGTTTGGTTATGGAAGGAGGTTTGTCGAATATTTTCCGGGGAATCCAGCAAGTAACACACTGAGCCAACATGTACCCTTTAGATAAACCGATTTAGATAAATGAGCATAACTGTGATCTGATAAAAACATATGACGACGTCACCTTCACGATGTCAAACAACATACATGTAGCATGTTTAACCTTATGTGAATTCCAGACTTACTATTTTAGCTGACTTTAAGAAATATATAATATGTCAAAAAACTTGCATCATTAAGCAAAATAATACTTAAGAGATTGATGATATGGTCAGTGCAAATACAGATATGATGAACAGTTATATACAATTGTCCTGGACAATATTTTCAAGAATAACAATGTGAGCAATGTTAATAAATAGAGGTGGTGGTGCCAAACTTATCTAACGGTGGAATCCAACTTGATCCGATGCCTCTGTGGTCCAAAGCCCATGAAGCCAAAGCCTACATTTTAGTGAGTAAATGATGAATATCAATACTATTTACACACATAATGACATATCAATAGTACAAATGTTTAGGATGACTGACAGTACTTGAATTTCAAAATACTGATAGCAATTGAGGTGTGTATCGTTGGAAACATGAGCAAAAATGTCAACCACTTGTTTCGTATGGTTCAGGCACATATACATGCAGCGACCCTGCCCCTTGGTCGATACTGCTCTTGAGCTGACTAAAGGATAACCATTCGACCTCCAGTCGTTATCCAAGTGTGTGAAATAGATAGTGGTCATGGCTTCACCTCAAGAATGGTCTGGCATGTTCATGGATTGAAGAACCTAAGAGAGAAAATACATCTGTAAATTTATTTTGCATTATATACAAATAAATTATAGGTCTAGATGTTTTGAAACAACAGTTGAGACACTGAGATAAGTATGAGAACGAATAATAACCACTCAGGTTTAAACTTAAGAATTTAACAATTAATTTCATTTTATTGGGACGACTCAACAGTGACATCAATTAAACAAAGCAACTGATATGTTGTTTCACCAGCAAGTAAAATCACGTCATTCCTGTCATTGTATGACCATGTCATACGTCAACAAGATCTCTGTCTTAAAGATTTACCACTATTCTTTATACAATGTAGGATATACTTTCTTAATTGTCATAAAACAGTGTCTGGCACAGGCTGAATTAGTACCGCGTGGTTTCTCCAAAGCTCAGATTTGCTTGATTGTTTGCTGAATGAGAACAGAACCTATAGCTAGTTAGATTTTTCACACAAAAAACAAGATAAACCTTCATTCCATAGGTAGAGTTACATCTCTGTTTTCATAAATTGAGGACAATTTGTCCAAACTGAAAGCAAATGTTATCTGAAGTTCACTGTTTGTGACATGCTGGACTTCCTGATACATAACATCTTTGTAAAATATGTGGATAGGACATTTAAACAAGGAGTTTGCATTCCCAAGGGTACTAATTCTTGATTCATATGAATCTGAAACTTTAATCGTTAATGAATTTGTCCAATGAAGAAAAATGTTGAATCCATTACTATATTCATTTTATTAAATTTGACAACTGAAAGCTTCCAACTTACACTTAAAGAGGGTTGATCCTGTGGGTGAACAAGCACTCTGACTTCAGTCAATGTAGAACTTGTGTAGGTTTCATCGTGAACTGCAATAGCCTCGAGAATCCATTGAGTTACTTTGTCAGGTGGGTAGGAATGGCCACTGGTTCCAAGCAGTGGAAACGCTATGGTTCTCAGCTGCGATCCATTTACTTTGTCCAAACACTTCAGAATCATTTCGACGAAGGACTGAAATCGAAGTAGAATGAGGGGCGGATAATAAGTGAGTGAGTGAGTGAGTGAGTGAGTGAGTATGGTTTTACGCCGCGGATAATGAAATTACTCAAAGTAATTCGGTTTCAGAGAGTATGACAACACTTACAAGCCGTTAGTTGTTCGTTTTTTGTTCTACGCCGCACTCAGCTATATTCCAGCTATATGACGGCGGTCTGTAAATCATCCGAGTCTGGACCAGACAATCCAGTGATTGACACTATGCGCATCGATCCACACAATTGGGATACAATCACATGCATCAACCAAGTCAGATTCCCAGACCGCCAGATCCCGTTTTGACAAGCAGGGGTTGCTGAAGACCTATTCTAACCCGGATCTTCACGTGTCTCCAAGCAGTTACAAGGACAAGAACAATGTATGGCATGGGATCCTTGCCCACATAAATGTGCTTAGTTTAATAGTAAGAAAAATTAAAAACTCATTATTAACGGTATTAGATGTGTACCTTGTACTTTTCTAAGTATTGGTATTAATAAACAATACACAAAGTGTAGAGGTGTTTAAAAGGCTTTCGGTCTAAGTTGAATTGAACATGAACAAGTCTTTGACCCAAGCAGATTTTCCTGTGAGGTGTAGATATAGACAGTTTTCCAGAACTTTAAAATTCAACTTTTATAGTCAGCCCAAACGACTAAACAGTTCTTATACCTCTTTGCGGAGTTCTGACTCTTCCCACGGCCACAGTGCTGTAAAGTAGATCTGTTTCCAGCATGTCCCGCCACCCGAGGTAAATGCTATCTGCCCCTCTGATATTCCACTCGGGTAGCTTTCCTCCAACTCCTGTTGTATCTCTGCCCCTGCCTCCGCAAGGATAGCCTTTGACAAGCCACCTTTATTGAGGTCAAGTTCTCTTGTTGCAGCACACACGATTACATCCACCTGGAAGAAAATTAGTTCCTAAACAATCTAGTTCCTCAAAGAGTCCAGAGTGCTACGACAGTCGTAATGTGACAAATTATGTTGGTTGGTTGTTGGTTGGTTGGTTGTTGGTTGGTTTGTTGTTTAACGCCGCACTCAGCAATATTTCAGCTAAATGACGGCGGTCTCTAAAAAATCGAGTTTGGACCAGACAATCTAGTGTTTGATATCATGCGCATCGATCCATGCAATTGGGATCGATGACATGCATCAACCAAGTCAACGAACCTGACCCCATGCATCAACCAAGTCAACGAACCGATCCCGTTAGTCGCCTTTTACGATAAGCATAATCACCTTTTAAGGCAAGCATGGGTTGCTGAAGACCTATTCTACCCCGGAATGTCGAGAGTGCTGTGATCGGTCATGTTTTCTTCTGATGTGTATGCATACCATTGTCTTGTTTGTGTTCATGTATACTGTATCAGCAATTGGACTATGGTCCATACGACTGGATGATGAATTGTTGGGATATTGATCGCGAATATCATTGGATTGTTGTGATGGCGATATGGGCACCATTGTTTATATGTATACTGTACAGGAAATTGGACTGCGGTGTTTTGGTGTGGATGGTATGTTGTTTATTACTTTGTTCATAAATATGCATTACGTATAAGCAACTTGGGAAAACAATATTCATTTTTTTTAAAGTCCTTTCATAGTCCTTAGATAGAGCTGTGATCGGCCAATTACCTAGCAGCTTGAGGCCCGACAGCCTACTATCCAAATTAAACTAACAAATGACAATACAGGACAAGCATCCCATTAATATGAGGGTGTCTGCACTTGAAATGGTATGTGATGTAATGCTTCGCCCTATCACGGTTTTGTAATTTATATTGGAAACAGACATATATTATGTACAAACAGATACCAAGCTATGTGAACAAGTTTCGTCCTGTCATCCCTGTCAGGAATCAATATTCTGCAGGGCACTTTATATCGAGTATGCCGGTAAGTACCTGCTTGATAAGATATCGCTGGGATATGCACTGACACGCCGCACTGGCAGAACAACATTACTCACTTTCCTTTGGAAGCCATGAGTCAACCTACCTCCTGTTTCATGATGTCCCCGACACTGATGCTGATCCTAGTTCTTGGCCTTTCTGAAAAAATAAAGAATGATCGTGAGTGAGTGACTGAGTTGGGTTTAACACCGCTTTTAACATTATTCCAGTTATATCACGGCATGTCAGCCTACTGTGGGAGGAAAGCCCGAAGTAATGCAGGTCTCAGACGTTTACCACTTCGGTGAAACCCACGAGCACGGGTATGGTGCTTACAAATCTAGAAACATAATCGGGGCGAACCAGGATTCGAACCCACAATCATAGGTTTCTGGCGTGCCCAGGGGACGCAACTCTGCACAGCGAATCGCGGCGCCTTGGACGACTGGGCCACCCGTGCCCCCAAAGAGAATAATAAGTAATGCATTTGAATGAAACTGTTACAGTGCTTTCCAATATGATAATGTAATTTATGAGCCAATTTGTGAATATCATTCGAAAATTACTTGCCATATGCTTTCACTGATGTCGATTGCTTTGTTTTCGAAGGAGAATCCGACTTCGCATACAATGCTGTTTTTCTTAAATTGAGTACGTCAGTGGGATGCTGGCCAATCTAAACATATATCATGACACAAGATACTTACAATGTCAGCAGTTAATGAGTGAGTGGGTTGGGATTAGCGCCGCTTTTTTACAATATTCCAGTTATATCACGGCGTGTCAGCTTATTGTGGGAGAAAAGCCCGAAGTGATGCAGGTCTCAGACGTTTACCACTTTGGTGAAACCCACGAGCACGGGCATGGTGCTGACAAACCTAGAAACATAGCCGGGGCGAACCGGATTCGAACCCACAATCATAGGTTTCTGGCATAGCCAACGGACGCAACTCTGCACAGCGAATCGCGGCGCCTTAGACGACTTGGCCACCAGTGCCCACGATGCAGGTATGAGACGTTTACCACTTTGGTGAAACCCAAGAGCATGGGTATGGTGCTGACAAATGTAGAAACATAACCAGGGTGAACCGGTATTCAAAACCCACAATCAAAGGGTTTCTGGCGTGCCCAATGGAAGCACCTCCGCACAGTGAATTGGTTGGTTGGTTGGTTGGTTTGTAATTACCGCCGCAATCAGCAATACTCCAGCTATATGACGGCGGTCTGTAAATAATCGAGTCTGGACCAGGCAATCAAGTGATTAACATCATGAGCATCGATCCACGCAATTTGGATCGATGACATGCATCAACCAAGTCAGCGAACCTGACCACCCGATCCCGTTAGTCGCCTCTTACGACAAGCATAGTCGCCTTTTACGGTAAGCAAGCATGGGTTGCTGAAGACCTAATCTACCCCGGATCTTCACGGAGAAGGACTGAAAGCATGAGACACGACCCACGTCATTTGACAAGGTAACATCAGCCAGGGTACTCAGCCTTTATAACCAACCATCCCAATGTTAAGCAACTGACGAGCAGGTTCACTGTGAACATGATCTGATGTGAAATAAAAAAAGTGCAAATATTAATTAAAACGGGATTACCTCTCCATGTTCTTCTTGTGGAAGCGATGTGGACTCTTCACAAAAGGTAACTCCTTCCACCTTCCCCTCAGCTGAACCAGTGACATCCTTGTACAGTGAACAGAGATTGTCATCTGAGTAAGTATATAAACATGCTAGGGACTAATTCTAGTTTGACATGCTCTTCGTACAAAATTGGGGTTTATTGAAGATGTGTTGGAGCATGGACAATGACGAAAGAGATAGTAACCCTACCATATTAGTGTTGAAGTGATCTGGATGTACGAGTCGAACGGCTTGTATCGATCTTCCTCTGAAACCACTGCAAACATTGGTAAGGATGTCAGTCACCCTGCTCGGATCATAGTGAAGGTTTCCTGTACCCAGGAGTGGGAAGCTGACAGTCTTGTGGCCATCAGAATCAGCTTCATGAAGAATCTGACCAACAGTATCTCGGAGATGCTATGAACAATGGAAGAAAACTCGTACTTTTTGCTCATTTAGACAAGTGTGTGGTGGGGCATTAACACGCCAATAGGTTTTAGGTGGTTCGATAATCATTGAAATATGGTATGACTGGTCCACCCATGTTATAGCATGACAAATAGGAAATTGCATCGGACGTAATTTTTGTCAGCCCTGCATCAAGTTTGGAAATGTCCTACAAATGTGTTCACCAGACTGAATGACGAGAGCAATGACTTCAACTTTACACTAGTTTCCCTTTATGTCGAGCAGTATTCCAGCAGTTCCAGCCTTTTGTGTCTACATTTCACAACTTTTGAGGTACAATCGTAAAGTTTCAAAAAGTGTTGTGCTAGACATGTGTCAAATTTGGAAATGTCCTCCACATGTCTGTGACATTGAATAAGATTTAATGCAAAGTTATGTTATTTACCAAATCTGAAACAACTTCGGTTTGCAAAAGATAAAAGACTCCTGTAAGTGTTCAAATGGTTTAATTTGCCATACTGACTGCAGAAAATGCGTGATTTCCTAAAAAAAACATGAACATGCCAAAATGTCAATTTACAAATCAATAGCGTGTGTCCATCTCTGGTTGCGATGCAAGCAACACATCTTCGTCTCATGAAATGGACCAGGCGTCGCTAAAAGTCCCGTGGGAAAGCTGTCCATATCTGCTGGAGCATGTTTCGAAGTTCCTGGAGTGTCTGTGGAACACGTGGTTGACGTCGAAGGCGCCGATCCATATCATCCCACATGTGCTCGATTGGTGAGAGATCAGGGGAGAGAGCAGGCCTGGGGATGACATTCACGTTGTTTTATTGAAGAGAATCCTGAACAAGTCGGGCAATATGAGGCCGGGCGTTGTCATGTTGTAAGGTAATGCTTGTGCCATGACGACGGAAACTATCAAACGGTTCCCCTGTCTTGCTGTAACCCCACCCTATACCATAACGCTGCCGCCCCCGAACCGATCTTCTTCCATGACACAATGATTGACGTAACGTTCACCTCGAGGTCGGTACACTCGAATCCGTCCATCGCTGTGGCTGAGGTGAAAACAAGACTCGTCAGTGAATAGAACTTGTCCCCATTGCATGGCCGTCCAGCGTAGACGCTGTCTGCACCACTGTAGACGTGCTTAACGGTGGTTTCCTGTCAAAATGGCACGTCTAGCGGGTCTTCTGGCGACAATCCCTGCGCATATGAGGCGACGACCACGTAAGGTTTGTGAAGATATTCGTCGAAGGCCAGAGATGCTTCTTGCAGTCACTGTTGCTGACTGGAATCGATTTCGTAGGTGTGTTGTTCGAATCCAGTTGTCTTGTCGAGTTTTGGTTATGCGTGGCCTGCCACTCCGAGGATGGTCTCTGACTGCATTCGTCTGTTGCCAACGTTGCCATAACGTCTGTGGACGTTAAATTGTCTTGCAACAGGACGTTGACTCGACCCTGCTTCAAGCATATCCATGGCTCGCAGACGCTCATTTTCGGACAGACGTGGCATTTCGTAATGTTAAATAATTGCGTAATTTTGTTGTTTTTCTTAGTGGTTGTTGTCAGCACGATGCTAAACAATGCATATGGAATCCCTTTAACGCACATGTTTTTATACCGATTCTTTGGTAGTGAAATGCATGGGGCTTGCGTAAAAGTCAACTTTTGCATAGAATGCATGCTTTTCTGTAGCAGCTGCGTTTTTGTGACTTGATTCCATACATGTACTACAATATTGAAAACCAAACTTTACTTTTTTGAAAAATACACTAAAATATTGGTGTCACAGGAACTTTTGTTGTTGAGTATATAATCTTTATCTGAGACTTCCTATGATTACGGAAAGGGTTATGTAACCATTTTTGAAACTTGCTGAGGTCTTGATTCATGTTAAGCTTTTAAGCAACTCTCTTGTATATCTAAAGAAGTGTCTGATATAAAAAAAATATTTTTTGGTGTCTTGAGGATGGTCTAGGATGGTAACAGCCGCGCACTTTGTATTACTACTTTTTTAATTTGTTTTTCCTACCTGTTCTGTGTTCAATTGGTCGGTATCCCATGTGTCGGGTAGAAAAACATGATAGATGTGTCGACAGGCAAGATTTCCACCTCCTGTTTTCGCAATAATTCCCTTCTCCAAACCAGCTGGATACTTCGCTCGGCATTCGTCCTGGATCACTGGCCCTGCTGCATCGAGGATGCACTTTGAAATATCTCCCTCATCCAGTTTCAGGATCATGTTTGTTGAGTTGACGATTGCATCAGTCTGAAAGACAAACAATAACAGGCCAACTTACCATTGATAACCATCCTAAACGAAGTCCTCGTAATTATTGTCATTATAGTTTTGTAGCATGGACAATAATGTCATGTGTAATATTTTTGTTTTTTGTTGTTTAACGCCGCACTCAGTAATACTCCAGCTTTATGACGGCGGTCTGTAAATAATCGAGTCTGGGCCAGCCAATCCTGTGATTGACATCATGAGCATCGATCTACGCAATTGGGATACGATGACATGCATCAAACCAAGTGAGCGAACCTGACCACCCGATACCGTTAGTCGCCTCTTACGACAAGCATAGTCGCCTTTTACGGCAAGCATGGGTTGCTGAAGACCTATTCTACCCCGGATCTTCACGGGTCGTGTATCATGATAGGACATTTGCTAACTCAGCACTAGCACATGTTACATTTGATTATAGTTCTTGCATTTACAGAAGTGATGTTGCCGATTGTATGTTTTTATAAACAATAATAGAAGCCACACTAACGTGCTTTTATGTACACACGGGTTTTTTTAGAATGTACATAAAACAATGCAAAATGTTAAATTTAAGTGCAATGGTAAGTGTAAAATATAAATAATGATGTACCTTTTCTCGTGCGATATCGCCTGATACTGACTTGACAACTGGCGCCAAGGCTGATATGAAATCAGAAACATCTATTACACCATCAAAGATATCGTGTTGTATAACTGTTTAATATACAACAGAACGCACTTTGTATCATCTAATTTAATCTGCTTGTTATGAAAACAAAAGATTCTGTGGTGTGTTACTTTCTGACACTGATCTTAATAGTTATTCTGCATTCCAGTGTCATTTTTGGTGGAATTTTAAGTAATGAGTGATTTTCTATTGTGATCAATATTGAGACTCAGTATAATATTCAGGTTTAATGATGTCAGATGTTGATACATTGCAAAAGGCAACGTTTGATGTGTACTTACGGTTGAGTGACCTTTTCAGCTTCTCTACTTCTCTGACTTTTTGCTCATACTATAAACAGTTAATGGACGATTTAATTTGACGTTTTGTTCCTTTAAAAGCGTGATACACTAACACTTTGATTTTCAAGTTCATGTTATGATAGCTATAAACAATGTTTATCCATGTTGATTGATGTAAGCATGATTATTTTATGAAAAAAATATATCATCATCGATTATATTGCAATTTCACCTTTTCTTTGCTGACACAGTTCTTGTGAAACTCTTCCTGATTTACTGAAACTAAAATAACCTTTTAATGTATAATGTCAAATGATTATTACCACTATGACTTTGTAAAGTTTCATAAATGTTTCAACTGTAAAGTATTAACCATATGCTACTTATTACATTTCTTGGGATACTACGTTTTCATTTGTTTTACACACCTTACTCTTATGAAAAGACCAGAGATTTGATTACAGTTAATAATCATAGCATAAACATATTTAGTCCAAAGCCAATTTAATGAATGTTCACAAGTAAATGAAATTTAAAGAATACCCATCAAACCTGGTATGATCAGCTGAATAAAAGCTAAATTTCTTACGATATCTTCCCAAATCTGCCAAGGGAACAATGACGTTGCTCTCAATGTCCAATGTCAGACGATTGCCACTGGGTAAACATGCTTTCACCTTCTCCGTGAGTATGCTCTCAACCACAGCTTGTAGCCAGACTGATCCAATGTTTTGTCCAGGTTGTACCTGAATTTCTATGATGACTGAGCCCCTTTTTACAGCTACGATAGCCGCATCTTTCAGTTTTATGTTAATAACTTCAGTCTCTTGATTTATTGTATACTCAAGTCGCTCTTCCAGACCTTGGTCCCGTGGGTCGGTTGTTATCTTCACAATAACCTTTGATGTGTCTGCTCCAGCAACTGAAAATTGTTCGTTTGTCTGTGTATTAATTTATTTTATTTATTATTTTCACTACTTTTTTATGTTTACCGGCGAATTTAGCAATAGTCCAGCTGTATGACGACGGCCTAAAATAATTGAGTTTGGACCAGACAATCCATTGATTGATATCATGAGCAACGACCCAAGCCGTCTGATTGTTGGGTACAATGACATTCAATCAACCAAGTCACCGCGCCTGAACACCCATCAATTTAATGGCCTCATTCGACAGCAAATGTACGAAAGAAAACGGACTAGTTGTCATATCTTTATTTCGTAACGTTATTAAGTATTCCATAACGTTAACATCAGACATTTCCAGAGGACCCAACGGCTTCATTATCCTACTATGTCCTTTGTTTTAATGCAGAAGCCATACGTGACAGCATATGGCAGTGGGATTACACAATGATGAAACATGGGAGCAAGGGTATGATAAAATATAGTAGCTAAAGGGACACAACTCTGTATAGCCACTGCGACATCCTGCCTCGCAATATTCCGAGTGTATTCATGTCTTTGAAGATATCCCCTTTCTCTCTGTCATATACACAGTTCAATATCATAGCAACTGTTGTCCGATGACATATTAACACCAACTACATCATTTATGATTAGATACTGGGATGACGCCCTTGGATTGGGTATGTGAGTGGAAATTAAAATAATATATTCCCACAACCATCATAAAAACACATATTCAATTATGATACAAATATATACAGGATCGGTGAATACCTATCTGGAGAACGATTGTGTTCTGTGTTCCATCCTGTCTCATTATCGTCCACTTCTGGCTTGAGTTTTCTATGTACATCTTGCACTTGGAGCCAACTTGGACATAGGTGTTCCCCTCGACAGTTTCTGAAACAAATTCAGTTAGTGTTCGTGTTTGTTAACTTGTCATGGGATGTTTCCACGGACTACTGTTTTAAGTCAAACTTTAACACACTTGCAAATGGACCTTAGGTGTTTAATTGATAAGAGTAATCTAAGATTGACTGCTGCAACATGTGCCCGAGGCAAGGGAGGTTTCTCGTCAGTTAACTCCCTTGCCTCGGGAAGATGCTTCTGGAACGGTTTTTGTTTGGTTTGTTGTTTAACACCGCACTCAGTAATATTCCAGCTATATGATGGCGGTCTGTAAATAATCGAGTCTGGACCAGACAATCCAGTGATTGACATCATGAGCATCGATCCACGCAATTGGGATCGATGACATGCATCAACCAAGTCAGCGAGCCTGACCACCCGATCCCGTAAGTCGCCTCTTACGACAAGCATAGTCGCCTTTTACGGCAAGCATGGGTTGCTGAAGACCTGTTCTACCACGGATCTTCACGGAGAAGGACTGAAAGCATGAGACACGATCCCGTTAGTCGCCTTTTACGACAAGCATGGGTTGCTGAAGACCTATTCTACCTCGGATCTTCACGGGTCTCTTCTGGAACGGATATTTGCCCTCTCGTTTGTTAATAATGGACTCTGTCTCTTTCCTGCAAACTGGCGAAAACGTCAAAGAAAGCCCAAATGGGATTTTAAGAACTGCCTGATGAAGATATTTTTATATGGAAGGAGATACCCAAAGATTCGGAAAGGCATGTCTATTATTTATTATGTTATGTAGTGAACTAAAAAAATTACAATTTAGAATTGATAAATATTCCTAAAACTACGAATCATTAACTATTCAGATAATGGTGTAGGGTGTGATACGAATTTAAAATTACCATTTTCATCTCTCGGAGACAGTTCATAGTCGCCTTCAGTCATGTCGTGGACATCATGTTCGGACTCACTGTCCGCTGCATCTTGAGGCCCAGGTTCACCACCTTCAGCAAGATCTTTCTGATATTGTGAATCACCTCTGGTCATCATAAGTTCTTCTTCACTCAGTAAACCTGACGAGATTTCTACCTCTCTGTATTCTATAAGACATTCTTCTGGGAGTTGCCATCGGAAACATTGAAATCGGGAGTCATCTGTATCAGGAAGTCTGTTAATTAAGAGGACCTTGGACTGTTTAGCGAAGTCTGAAGAGAAAATCGTCAAAGAATTTCTTAAAGAAATGCCAATTACAGCACATGTATATATTACTTCACTTCTATGTTCTGTTAATTTGAGGTGAGGTTTTAATAAACATAACTATGGGTAGGGGTCTGAAAGTTTGTCAAAATGAGTCAACTCAGTCAGGATTTATCAAGTTATTGTTCATTCAACGAGTGATTTCGCAGACGTAAACCGCATTATGATTGATGGATAGTTACTCTATAATTTTGAAATATGTTTTATTCATATATGGGAGGACATAGACCCTTGTACATTTCAGTTTGTATAGTAACACACAAATGAGACAATATACATTGAAAACAATACTAAATGTATAATATTTGGTCTTTGTACGTAGTAATAGACCTTCCTTCACATACGAGCTACATTTCTCGGGTACAGTCATTTAAGAGAATGCTAAAAGTATTAACACCTGGCTTGTTATAAAATCTTACAGGAATATACTTTTGTCTTAATGATACCTAAACCGGCAGATACACACAACATGGACATACTCCATTACGGAAATGTTGACTAATGAGGAGCATGGGAAAGACCATGGAACATTACTGCAGTTAGATTAAAAGGGGAAAGACCATGGAACATTACTGCAGTTAGATTAAAAGGGGAAAGACCATGGAACATTACTGCAGTTAGATTAAAAGGGGAAAGACCATGGACTATTGCTGCAGTTAGATTAAAAGGAGAAAGACCATAGACCATTACTGCAGTTAGATTAAAAGGAGAAAGACCATGGATCATTACTGCAGTTAGATTATAAGTTGAAAGACCATGGACCATTACTGCAGTTAGATTAAAAGGGGAAAGACCATGGAACATTACTGCAGTTAGATTAAAAGGGGAAAGACCATGGAACATTACTGCAGTTAGATTAAAAGGGGAAAGACCATGGAACATTACTGCAGTTAGATTAAAAGGAGAAAGACCATGGACCATTACTGCAGTTAGATTAAAAGGAGAAAGGCCATGGACCATTACTGCAGTTAGATTAAAAGGAGAAAGACCATGGATCCTTACTGCAGTTAGATTAAAAGGAGAAAGACCATGGACCATTACTGTAGTTAGATTAAAAGGAGAAAGACCATGGGACATTACTGCAGTTAGATTAAAAGGAGAAAGGCCATGGACCATTACTGCAGTTAGATTAAAAGGAGAAAGGCCATGGACCATTACTGCAGTTAGATTAAAAGGAGAAAGGCCATGGACCATTACTGCAGTTAGATTAAAAGGAGAAAGGCCATGGACCATTACTGCAGTTAGATTAAAAGGAGAAAGACCATGGGACATTACTGCAGTTAGATTAAAAGGAGAAAGACCATGGAACATTACTGCAGTTAGATTATAAGTTGAAAGACCATGGATCCTTACTGCAGTTAGATTAAAAGGAGAAAGACCATGGACCATTACTGTAGTTAGATTAAAAGGAGAAAGACCATGGGACATTACTGCAGTTAGATTAAAAGGAGAAAGGCCATGGACCATTACTGCAGTTAGATTAAAAGGAGAAAGGCCATGGACCATTACTGCAGTTAGATTAAAAGGAGAGAGACCATGGACTATTGCTGCAGTTAGATTAAAAGGGGAAAAACCATGGAACATTACTGCAGTTAGATTAAAAGGAGAAAGACCATGGACCATTACTGCAGTTAGATTAAAAGGAGAAAGACCATGGACTATTGCTGCAGTTAGATTAAAATGGGAAAGACCATTGAACATTACTGCAGTTAGATTAAAAGGAGAAAGACCATGGACCATTACTGCAGCTAGATTAAAAGGAGAAAGACCATGGACTATTGCTGCAGTTAGATTAAAATGGGAAAGACCATGGAATATTACTGCAGTTAGATTAAAAGGAGAAAGACCATGGACCATTACTGCAGTTAGATTAAAAGGAGAAAGACCATGGGACATTACTGCAGTTAGATTAAAAGGAGAAAGACCATGGAACATTACTGCAGTTAGATTATAAGTTGAAAGACCATGGATCCTTACTGCAGTTAGATTAAAAGGAGAAAGACCATGGACCATTACTGTAGTTAGATTAAAAGGAGAAAGACCATGGGACATTACTGCAGTTAGATTAAAAGGAGAAAGGCCATGGACCATTACTGCAGTTAGATTGAAAGGAGAAAGGCCATGGACCATTACTGCAGTTAGATTAAAAGGAGAGAGACCATGGACTATTGCTGCAGTTAGATTAAAAGGGGAAAGACCATGGAACATTACTGCAGTTAGATTAAAAGGAGAGAGACCATGTACTATTGCTGCAGTTAGATTAAAATGGGAAAGACCATGGAACATTACTGCAGTTAGATTAAAAGGAGAAAGACCATGGACCATTACTGCAGCTAGATTAAAAGGAGAAAGACCATGGACTATTGCTGCAGTTAGATTAAAATGGGAAAGACCATGGATCCTTACTGCAGTTAGATTAAAAGGAGAAAGACCATGGACCATTACTGTAGTTAGATTAAAAGGAGAAAGACCATGGGACATTACTGCAGTTAGATTAAAAGGAGAAAGGCCATGGACCATTACTACAGTTAGATTAAAAGGAGAAAGGCCATGGACCATTACTGCAGTTAGATTAAAAGGAGAGAGACCATGGACTATTGCTGCAGTTAGATTAAAAGGGGAAAAACCATGGAACATTACTGCAGTTAGATTAAAAGGAGAAAGACCATGGACCATTACTGCAGTTAGATTAAAAGGAGAAAGACCATGGACTATTGCTGCAGTTAGATTAAAATGGGAAAGACCATTGAACATTACTGCAGTTAGATTAAAAGGAGAAAGACCATGGACCATTACTGCAGCTAGATTAAAAGGAGAAAGACCATGGACTATTGCTGCAGTTAGATTAAAATGGGAAAGACCATGGAATATTACTGCAGTTAGATTAAAAGGAGAAAGACCATGGACCATTACTGCAGTTAGATTAAAAGGAGAAAGACCATGGGACATTACTGCAGTTAGATTAAAAGGAGAAAGACCATGGAACATTACTGCAGTTAGATTATAAGTTGAAAGACCATGGATCCTTACTGCAGTTAGATTAAAAGGAGAAAGACCATGGACCATTACTGTAGTTAGATTAAAAGGAGAAAGACCATGGGACATTACTGCAGTTAGATTAAAAGGAGAAAGGCCATGGACCATTACTGCAGTTAGATTGAAAGGAGAAAGGCCATGGACCATTACTGCAGTTAGATTAAAAGGAGAGAGACCATGGACTATTGCTGCAGTTAGATTAAAAGGGGAAAGACCATGGAACATTACTGCAGTTAGATTAAAAGGAGAGAGACCATGTACTATTGCTGCAGTTAGATTAAAATGGGAAAGACCATGGAACATTACTGCAGTTAGATTAAAAGGAGAAAGACCATGGACCATTACTGCAGCTAGATTAAAAGGAGAAAGACCATGGACCATTACTGCAGCTAGATTAAAATGGGAAAGACCATGGAATATTACTGCAGTTAGATTAAAAGGAGAAAGACCATGGACCATTACTGCAGTTAGATTAAAAGGAAAAAGATCATGGACCATTACTGCAGTTAGATTAAAAGGAGAAAGACCATGGACCATTACTGCAGTTAGATTATAAGTTGAAAGACCATGGATCCTTACTGCAGTTAGATTAAAAGGAGAAAGACCATGGACCATTACTGCAGTTAGATTAAAAGGAGAAAGACCATGGAACATTACTGCAGTTAGATTAAAAGGAGAAAGACCATGGACCATTACTGCAGTTAGATTAAAAGGAGAAAGACCATGGGACATTACTGCAGTTAGATTAAAAGGAGAAAGGCCATGGACCATTATTGCAGTTAGATTATAAGATGAAAGACCATGGATCCTTACTGCGGTTAGATTAAAAGGAGAAAGACCATGGGCCATTACTGCAGTTAGATTAAAATGGGAAAGACCATGGGCCATTACTGCAGTTAGATTAAATGTACAAACTACATTGCAATGCTGAGCTGGAACAGAGACAGGGAGACTGAATTGGTCGACTAAGATTGGCTGTTGGAATGGATAAGTCTGACAGGACGTAAACTCGGCAGAATAAAACATAGCACTGAGTGGCGGATAGTTGTAGTACATGTCCAGGTACCTACTTTCAAAGAAATCCTCAACAGATGTATGAAAGCTTCGTTTTCGCATGAATAGATCACATATCTGTGAATCAACGATGATCCACATCACCGTGTAAGATGTTGTTCCACTTGATAATGAGGTCAAGTCAGCTCTTCCTGTAAGAACAAATAGAAACGAAAAATTAAGCATACCAACAGCATCGTACCAGTCATCTATTATATTTGTATTACGATAACAGCGACAGAACTAATTCTTTAATCATTAAAAATATCAAAAAGCAAAGTCCTTCGGACTATATCATCAGCATGTATTTATGAATCACTATCAAATTAGAATGATACCAGGTGTTCGCGAAAAGGTGAGAGTATCCTGCCCCACCGGTGGCGCTCGTTGTAAACACGTGCAAAGGCAAGTCAATTGTTCACCTGAACAAACGTATAGTACAAGTCACAATAGGGACATGCATCGGACATCATGTAGTCACTCAGGCGTCAAATGTCCTTCACGTGTCTTCCATAAAAAGTTTTGAAAGATTTACTTTATTGTTGTAACCTAATAAAATAAATAAGCATAAGAACATGTTAAGATGTTCTGTTTTTTTCGTCCACAGGAAATATCCCTTGGGCGAGATCATGGCGTGCAAAAATAGGTTGCATGGTCTACCGATAAATTACCTTTGCAAACATGGATAGAATAAATTCTTTGCTGGTTTTGGTGCTGTCTACGGAGATTGCTTGCTTCCTCCTTGGCCTTGTCAGAACATACGATAACTAGAATCGATAATAAACTAGGGTTATATAATAATTATTACGATGACCGAATTAAACTTTCAATAATGGATTTGTCTCCGCGTCCAGAAAGCATGTATTTATTTTATCACTCTTACTACTTGGTAGAATCACACATCTCCTTTAGATCTTTTAGTTTTAGTTTAGTTTAAACATATTTTATACACAAATGGATTATGAACAAGTTATCCAACTTAGGACACTTCTTTAGATCCCTCAATACATGTGTTCTTTGAGTTGAGGATTTACTATCACTTTACCATAGGGACGTTTCCAGGAGTTCGTCACTTGTCCCTCTGCATACACAGACACCTGGAAGAATAAGGGGAGTTTTTGAGAAATACATATGGCATAAGCATTTAAATTTCATTTTCAAAAGACGAAATGGTGGTAACTTGAAGAAAAAGAAGTTGAAATAGCAGGATGTCTAATCCATTTCTGAAGAAAATCATGTCTGATGACCTTTATGTCGGTTCTCCTTACAGGGTGGTGGGGTAGCATGGGCATGTCAAAGTTCGACTTCCAACATGGGTTCAATATCTAAAGCCAATTTTCCTGGGGACCATCGTCGTGATATTAACCTATCCACTCACGCACTCGATCATGTCCGTGAAGATCCGGGGTAGAATAGGTCTTCAGCAACCAATGCTTGCCGTAAGAGGCGACTATGCTTGTCGTAAAAGGCGACTAACGGGATCGGATGGTCAGGCTCGCTGACATGGTTGATGCATGTCATCTATCCCAATTGCGTGGATCGATGCTCATGATGTCAATCACTTGACTGTCTGGTCCAGACTCGATTATTTACAGAACGCCGTCATATAGCTGGAATATTGCTGAGTGCGGCGTTAAACAACAAACCAACCAACCAACCAACGCTCATGTCAATCACTGCATTGTCTGGTCCAGACTTGATTATTTACATATAGCTGGAATATGCGGCGTGAAACAAGCAAGCAAGCACGTAATCAGTCAATCAAGTAAAGGACTACTTACACTTTCTTGAAATCTCAATGTGTCAAGATTTGATGGCGATTCTATTCCACTGTCCATCTGAACGAATCAACAGTAAAATACTCTTATAGGACAAATGTATTTGAGAAATAACATAATGAAAATGGTGCATTGACATATTTAGGTCTGAAAATGTAAACTTAGAGTGTTCCAATTGTTCGGTATGATCATTATTTCATTCAAAGAAATTTTAAAAAGTAGAAAAATGACTTCAAATGTTTATAGGTCAAACATAGCTAATAAACAATAACTTCTTCCAACATGAAACATTTTACTGGAATACGTAGCAGGATTACGGTCTGTCAAACATATTATTTCGACGACTGATATAATAATAGGTTGTATTTATCGGTGACTGTGAGGCGACAATTGAGATCGGGTGGCCAGGCCCGCTGACTTGGTTGATGCATGACATCGCATCGTGTCCCCCCCCCCCCCCCCCCCCCCCCCACATTGCGTAGATTGATGCTCATGATGTCAATCACTGGATTGTCTAATATTTACAGACCGCCGTCATATGGCTGGAATATTGCTGATCGTGGCGTTAAACAACAAACAAACCACTGCAATAGTATTGCGATAGTCAAAAACACCATTGCAGAGTAAGTGCAACTATTGCAATAGCATTGCGGCAGCTTGATAACGTCATGCAACGTAGATTTCCATGCATTATACGCCGCGATGGCAAAGCCAAACACTTCCTGATTCTGCAGATTGCTTGGGAAGGCCTTGAGGGGTAGGGGAGGTAGCTCTGATTTTTGTCTGACATAAAAAAGTTGTATTCATACAATCGATTGTGCACAGCGAAGCATGGAAAGTGCATCTTCCCGAGGCAAGGGAGTTAACTGACTTTAAAAGTCCAGTTTCCACCCTAACTGAACTAGGCGGGAATTATTGAGTTGTATCTTGGCTGGACTAACGAGTCTATACATAGTCTAACCTAAATCGCGGAACGAAAGCGACATTGGGTTCATATTAAAGTAACATAGCGACTGTTGTGCAATTTCGTTGGATTGCAGGATTTGCAGAGCATGTGTACTGTCAACTGGGCGTCGACAGATATTTTTCAAAGGAGCTCAAGTGATTTGATGTACTTCACGAGGCATATTTTATTACAATAAAGATCTATAAAGATCTGTTAATCTATCAGATCGTCTTGACTGGACGCGGCATTTTGTTTGAAGGTAATGCAAGTGAAAGGAGAGGTTGAATCTGATTGGTCAATAGAAGGGACATAGTAAGGGACATAACTCGGAAGATGTCGTTATTTCAAGAAAATAATACGAGAACATCAGAATTATCTTAATTTTAATTTAGACTCGAACTGCTGGTATGGATATTGGATCCAAATGAAATGTGCCATTTTAAGGTGTCTGAACTTTATTACTTGGTTTACGATAGTGAAGACCCTAAAAACCAGGAAATGAAAAAACTGACAAGCCCCGCTTAAACCCTTTTATTACCGCCGAATTAGATAATCACACGAGTAAAACTATTTTCCTGTTGGCCCAGACAACTGAATTATGCTCAAAGTGTCACCTTGTCGCCATGTCTAGTGTTATTAATAGCGATAGCGTTACTCCGTAGTAACTTGACAACATTCCTGTCACAAAGCCAAATGAAAATGCAGATTTTAAATTTATTTATCATCCTAACAACCCTATGTCTTTATGAACACAAAGCTAAAAACAATATCGTTTGATTGATTACATCACCCAAAGTTTCCAAAAGTAACAAATCTGTAACTCAACTCATTGCAGAGAAAATGATCTTAGTAGTTTATAGAATCTTAGTTTGAGACAAAAATGTATCTTCAATACTTCAGAAGCTGATAAATTCAGATTACCACAAGCTGATTTTCGTTGTAGTCAAATTCTTCGTTCTCGTTGGGAAAACCAGCCATTATTTTACTATTAACGTTGACACCAAGTCGTTCCATCGCATTCAGCAGATCTTCGCTTGAGCTCATTTCATACTGGAAATGACCATGTTATACTGCAATTATAATGTCGTGTTTGATCAGGGTTACCACATTCAAGGCTGGATAAAAATGTTGGAAAATTAAGTGGCGATATTAAATTGAAAAATTTGGGATCCAGGAACGTGTAATTCTGATATGACAGTTTTCAAGTGCATAAATACACTTTCAAACCTACGAATATTGAGCATGTGGACGTCAATTTAGTTGACAGTTAATTTAACATATTTAACCATTAAACACACTTGGTTACCCCATTGAACCAAGTATTCTTCCAGGTCATATTTGGTTATACCATTACCAAATACAGTTGTTACTTGTCATATAGGAAAGTAGGGTGCATTTGCGTGTACTTGTAAGTTTGTGACGAACTAGACGAGCACTTCACTTTGGCACCTACCATTGCATAATCCCACTTATACTAACCAGAGAAGCATTTACCACTGACCCATTGCAGTGTAGCGTGCCAAAGATACTTAGTCATTGTTGGGGAACACGTCACGCCTACATGCTATATAATGTTACATTATGATACGGTATACAATGGAAGGCGACGTCAGCCAGAACATTATCCCCGATAGTGTTGTGTGACAGTTTTGTCATTGTGTAGTATCTAAATGGAATACACAACGGCGGCACAGGCTGATTATACGGGGTGTTCTCACTTTGCCAGCAGCTATTGTTCTAGTTTAAAAATCAGTAGCCCGTGATAATCCCTACAACAATGGGGATTAACACTATAGACTGTTTCACCTTCACTGACTGACTATAGCCAGACTACAGCCTGTCTAGGTAGATATAACACAAAAAATGTATGTAGTAGTATAGGTTTTTATTAATTATTAATTAAACATTTAATGGAAGCTACAACACAAACAAAATACAAAGATATCACCAGATGGTTACAGTCGAAACTGAAAATGACTGAAAATGTCATTTGTTACACTTACTGTTCAGCTCTTCTTGATAGATACCAGGCACCGGCCTAGGGTCAACTTGAACTGTATCTATCATGGAGGCAAGGAAGACGTCGACTTTCAACTTGGCTTCATCGGGAAGATGGTTATGGATGTTCCTGTAGGTGGTGATGAGATTGTTGGCAGTGTTGGTGGTTGCAGGACATCCAGCCTTACAACGCCTCCAGTGCACTGTGTCTCGTCTTCTTGCCTTGACTCTGAACTTATGTCCACCATACACTAAACTCTGTCCATCTCGCGAATTAGGGATGAACTTAAGGTTTACCTGTGCATTTGCCATTTTGCAATAAATTCTCAAATGGCAAATCCATATATATACAGTGTATATACCCGTTATTTAATCAGAACAGGCTATAGCTGGCAAGTCACTGGACCGTACAAGTTAATCTCCCCAGCCTGCTGGCAAAGTGAGAGTAAACCGATTATACAAAGGCGGAGAAATGACTCACAGTAACTCGCGTAATCTAAAACCTCGCCTTGTACACTCAATGGTAAGCATGTCCTGCCCCAACCTCACCGCAACTCACACAACTTGCAGGACCCGTGAAGATCCGGGGTAGAATAGATCTTCAGCAACCCATGCTTGCCGTAAAAAGCGATTTATGCTTGTCGTAAGAGCGACTAACGGGATCGGGTGGTCAGGCTCGCTGACTATTCCATGAACAAAATATTATCTTTTAATGGTATCCATAGTCAAAAATTAACTAAGATATTACAATACATATATCAAACTCTACGAGTGCGTAGTAAATTACTTAGTAAATCCGATATGTCCAGAAAAAGTTAGTTGTTTTGAAACTTTCGCATCTAGATCAGTAGTATCTACATTTCATTTTTGTCTGTTTGTTTCTACTAGAAATGCATATACATTTAAATTGTCAAATTGTCTTGACATGATGAGTATATTTCTGATAGATCCTTTTGTATTGAAAGTCGCGCTATAGTGGAAAGCCTTTGCGACGTAAAACTTCATATTTCCATTCCTTTCCTTTTGTATTCCTTTTGTATTTTATACCACTACTTCTGCCACTGTGGTTATTACCTCTGTTATAACAATACCTCTATTACATGTCAAGCATCATATTAGTTATCCAATAATTTTATAATGCGCTATACAGCTGTAAATGATATTGTTTATCAATGGCCTTTCATACAATAAAGATTGATTGATTGATTGACTTGGTTGATGCATGTCATCGATCCCAATTGCGTGGATCGATGCTCATGATGTCAATTACTGGATTGTCTGGTCCAGACTCGATTATTTACAGCCGTCATATAGCTGGAATATTGCTGAGTGCTGCGTTAAACAAAAAAACAAAAACAATTTGTGGAAAAAATAGAAGTCTTTGTTTCGTTGTGTACCCCCCACACCGGTACTCCGGCCATACAAAAGTGGCCTGAATAGTTTTATAGTGTTACCATGCATAGTTTTCAACAAAATATTTGCATCTAGCGTTGTTGATGAAATATATATTTGTATTTGACATGTAATTTGTGTCAGCTCAATTTCTCTCACACTTTTGGAAAAATAGACTTACATACAGTTCTCAATACATAAAGGACCGACCACTGATATTTTGGGGAGCCTGGGATTTTGTCTGGAGATCTTGACTCAGTATTTAGGGATCTTGACTGGGTATATGCTGTTAGAATCGCACGGAATTAGCTTGAAAATGAGTAATCTTTTGAGAAGTATATACACCAATGTCAAAGCCTGCGTGAGAAAAAATAACGACTGTCAGAAAGTTTTACTATTGATTTAGGTGTTAGACAAGGCTGTATAATGAGTCCGTTTCTATTTTATTTTTTCATTAATGAATAAGCTACTCAAATACAAGAAAATTGCTCCCATGGTATACAGTCACATCCAGATCTTACGGAATTATTTCTGTTGCTGTTCGCAGATGATGTCACACATTTCTCCACGACAGTGATTGGTTTGCAAAGACAAATTAATGAACTTGAAAAATTCTGTAAAGAATCAAACTTAGTTGTAAATAGAGAAAAAACAAAAGTTATAGTCTTTAGTAATGGGGGAAAACTAGCATCAACTGAAAAATGGTTTCACAATGGAGAAATTTTGGAAACCACATCTTCCTATGAATATCTTGGTGTTTATTTCACAAATCAACTTTCATGGCATTTTCACATCAATCAAGCTGCTATACAAGCTAAAAGGGTTTGGACTGGTATATTTAGACAGTTTCCCTTTCTAAGAGACATCTCATTTAGATCATATTTCAACATTTTTGATACAAAGATAATTCCAATACTACACTATGGTGCTGAAATCTGGGGTATAAAAACTCATGATCAAATTGAAAAAGTACATTTGTTTGTTTGCAAAAAATATTTAGGAGTTAAAAATAGTACGTCCAGCATAATGGTATATGGAGAAACGGGACGATATCCGCTGTATATTCAATCCTGCCTAAAAGTTATTAAATACTGGCTTCGCTTGATAAACATAATTAATGATAGAAACCCTAGGAAGTGCTATGATATGTTAAAACTCTGCGAAAGTACTGGAAAACGAAATAGGGTAACAAACGTAAAAGAATTATTATTTATTTCGGGTTTTAATTATGTGTGGTATAATCAGTGTGTAGAATCAGAACCGCTCTTTTTAATGTCCTTCACCCAGAGACTAAAAGATATGTATTTGCAGAAATGGTTAGAATTAATGTCCAAATCAAATAAATGTTTATATTATAGAATCATGAAATGTTATATTGAAATTGAGGCGTACCTCTGTAAACTTGAGTTTATTTTTTTTAGAATTGCACTAAAACGATTTAGATGTTCCGCTCACAACCTGTATATAGAGACTGGTAGATATAATCACACTGATAGAAGAGACAGAATATGCACATTGTGTAACACAAATTCAATTGAAGATGAGTTTCACTTTCTCCTGGTATGTCAAGCTTACAAACATTTACGTGATAAATATTTGCCATCTTTCTACTCTGTACACCCGAATGTCCATAAATTTGTAGATCTTGTAACTTCATCTAATGATACTATGTTAATTTACATATGTTTATCGCGCTATGTCACATAGAAACAGAATTATTAGTTAACAACCACATCACCTACATGTAAATACGCATTGTACTATAGGCCCGTGGCCTTTTAAGTACTGAATAAACTGATGGATTGATTGACTGGGTATTTTTTACCCACAGCTGCAAAACCAGATGTTTTTTGTAATTAAACCTATGAGCCTAAATAATGTTATTTTTGTAAATCTTGCAAAAATCTTCTTTTTGGGGCTGACAATGTTATTTCAACAGTCTGAAGCATTCATTTTAATAAGCATTCTCTAGGACTATTTTCTCTCTAATTGAGTGAGTGAGTTAAAATGTAACGTCACATCGACAATATTACAACCATATCGTGACGAATTTTCCCTCTGAACAACAGGTGGTGCAATGTAGCGATACAAATAATCCTTACCTTGCTATAAGGTCACAACGACCTTATCTTCTTCCTTGTTCATTTCTACTTTCGGTATCAAACAGCTTCCCTTTTGAATCAAGTTCAGCACAATACTATGACCGTGAAGCATGCAGATAACCTTTCTACCTGGATTATCATCATCACGCATGCAGATCAATATTTTACTGCGTTAAAATCAGTATTGATGTCATTATAGGACTTACGTTACGAGTCAGTTGACTTGTTATTGTTGACTATTGTAGTATTTAACATCAGGTATGTCAACAACGAATCACAACATGCTGATTAAAGACAAACACTCCGGTATGTGACAACTACTTGAAATAAACATCATGACAACACCTTCCTGAGAAATGTACATGTGAAATTCACAGATGTGTTTATCAGGTCATGTAAACATAAACAACAACAACATACCTGCAATAAGTCCTCCACCGGCGCACCGCGGTGTCACGTGATGAAAGCTGTCAATTGAATTGAGTTGTTAACGCAAAGGGTCACAGGTGAATATGACATGTAAACACACGGATCACAGCAGGATTTCCCGCCAAATTTCAATAATAGGATAAAGTCAAGGCAAACAAAGTTTTACTTCCAAGATTCGTTTTGGCTAAATGTAAGAATACCAAGGTATTTTAGATCCGTGAAGATCCGGGGTAGAACAGGTCTTCAGCAACCCATGCTGGCTGTAAAAGCTGGCTGACTATGCTTGTCGTAAGAGGCGACTAACGATATCGGGTGGTCAGGCTCGCTGACTTGGTTTGTTTGTTTGTTTGTTGTGTTACGCCCCACTCAGGCTATATGACGGTGGTCTGTCAATAATCGAGTCTGGACCAGACAATCCAGTGATTGATCTCAGGAGCATCGATCCACGCAATTGGGATCGATGACATGCTAGAACCAAGTCAGCGATCCTAACCACCCGATCCCGTTCGGTTTGACTGGAACTAGCCTGTCGCCAAAATAGGTTCCATATATTTGTACTTTTATCATAATTGCATTTGCCTACTGTAAGTGAGTGAGTGTGTTAAAACTTAACGTCCGAGGCATTATTTCAGCCATATACGATGGTCAAAAGGTTCATAGAACTCAATATAAAAACAAGGTGTAAGTAGAGTTTCATGTTTTTATTTTTCAAAATAATCACCCTGCACTTGAATACACTTTCCCCATTTATGATGTAGACTCTCAATTAATTCCCTGCAAAATAGAAGTCTTCTGCTTGCCCCCAAAACCAAGCTTCTGCAGCAGGTATGAGATCGTCATCATTGGTGAATCTCGTTCCACGCAGGTGTGACTTGAGATTTCGAAACAGATATTATTTGCAAATTTATCATTTCGGAATTCGAACTGTCTACTTTGAAGAAGATCAAGGGTAGCCTAGAGTGTTACCTTAGCGACATGATTACCAGCATCTGGTTGCGAAATCGATGCACTTTGCTTAACTCGGAGAGGTTTTGAAATCAAAACAAAAATAATTAAAAATACAAGGAAAAGAATACTTACCCAAGCGAGCAGATCCTGTTTCCGATTTTGAACTAATTGAACTCTGTGAATGCGGACAGTTTAGCACCAAGTCTCCATGCAGATACCGTGTTTGTCTATCAACAGGTATTCGACCATTATGAATCACATCAAAATATCAACAAGCTCCCGTCATCTGACTGTGTCCACTCCGCGTTTGACAAATCCTCCTGAAATCCCACATGCACATGTTTCCCATCAGTGACACTTGTCTCAAATCACACACGATGTTCATTAAACTTGTTGCCCGGATTAAACTGTAACGCCGGTTCTCTTGTCATTCCTGGTTTCGGCTGTCTCATATCTGGGTCAAGTCGGGTCATTCATTCCGACACTGTGACAGCAATCGTACTTTTCAAAGTTTACCTTCTTCTCGTAACTTTTCTCTGACAAACAAAACTTCTGTACATTCCGTCTATGTTGTTGTTATAGGTTTTGGCATTTTTGTCAAATGACACATAAAAAATTTGACAGGTTTTCCGTGTTTCCTCTTCTCAATGTGAAATGCATGTATCTGCCGATGCACGACGGGGGCTGTCTGTCAGTGACGAGATCAAGCTTTGATTAAAAACCCTGATGAACCTTTTTGAAAACCTGTCTTCTTTATCAATGCTAGATAGTGTACGCTGTGTAAATCGGACAGAAATATAGCTGTAATAATGTGATCTTTACAATTGTTTAACAGAACTATATTTTTCACGCGTAACAACACGTGAATAGAGTAATGCGGTTGGAATGAGTGGACAGTGTATTTTCACACGCGGATTGATACAAAACAGCTGATTCTTAATCGGCGACAGTTGATTGTTTTTTTCTTGAAACATGTCTTTAATATGAATATGGGTAATAAATAGAATGACCCACTCGGTACGAGTGATTACGTTAAATATGTCACTCGTGAAATTGATGTTTTAAGTTCCTCGCTAAAGCTCGGAACTTAAAACATTAATTTCACTCGTGACATATTTTCCGTAATCACTCGTACCTCGTGGGTTATTCTATAAATAGTCACTTGGTGCCAGGTCTGGACTATATGGGGCATGATTCAATTGTTCAAACTTGCATTCACGAATGGCGGCTTGCGCAACTCTATTCTTGTGGACAGGTGCATTGTCGTGAAGTAGCAAAACACCAGCAGTTAACATCCCGCGCCGTTTCTCTTTGATTGCGTTTCGCAATTTCTTAATTAGATCTGCATAGTAAGCACCAGTGATTGTCTTCTTTGGTGGCTTAAAAAATTATAATCTATCATTAAGACGCCCTTCGAATCCCAGAAAACGGTGGCCATGATCTTTCCAGCAGATGGCTGAGTCTTAAACTTCTTTGGCGGCGGAGATGTCTTGTGCTTCCACTGCTTAGAATCCTTTTTGGTTTCTGGATCCCAATGATGAATCCAGGTTTCATCTCGAGTCACAAGGCGAACATGAAAATTCTCTGGATCTGCCCTATAAATGTCCAAGAGCTCTCCACTCGTTGGTGACGATCTTGCGCATTCAGATTTCGGTGTACCCATCGGGCAGACACTTTAGACATATATGCAAACGTTCATGGATGATATTGCAAACACTTCCATGAGAAATACCACACTCTGAGGCAATTTCATCCACCTTGATGCGGCGATCAGTCATAATAATATTTTGAACTTTGGCCACAATTTCATCTGTGATGACATCTGCTGGTCTGCCAGACCGTGGGTCATCTTCAAGTGATGTACGTCCGCGCTTAAACGCAGTAGCCCATTTTGCTACGGTGGAATATTGAGGAGCATCCTCACTGTAGACATTAACCATGCGCTCGTGAATTGGGCGAGCATTTACTCCTTCTTTGGTAAGAAATTTGATCACAGCCATATACTCAGTTTTGGAGCTATCCATATTTTAACAAGGGTACCTCACATCAAATAAGTACTGTAACATTACTGATGGGTGTAACCACCTATACTCTTGTAGACACGGGTATGAAAGATGCTAGAATACGATACAATCATCAAATCTTCTGCTGGGTTCATTTGGATACCATGTTCTATGAACTTATTGACCATCCCTCGTAACGACGAGACCAAGTTAATAAATTTACAATTTAGTTTTTTATGCAAAGTTTTATTCAAAAACAAGTTGTGAAACATATTTGAGCATACTATATTCAGAAACAATTTATGAAACATATTTGAGCATGACAATATCATGTATACAGTTTTAAAACACGGGCTATACGCCACCAGAAACAAGCTAGGCCACCTCGCTGGGGATCATGGGGACTTACAGTACCTCTGCTCCTTGCATGATACCCCAGCAGGATTTACGTCATCACTTTAGGTACTGGTGGTTGTACACAATACTAGCCGATATTAAAAAATACTTAGCAATGAGTTGGCTTAAAAACACTGGTTGATGATAGTTACATCGATTATGATAGGAGTATGTGTCACACAGGGGGACTATAATTTTACGACACTTTAACCCCCTTGACAGAGCCTTCAATAATGTCAGTTGATCATTGCATCACACCTAATTTAAAAACAAGCATTTAATTATTCACATACATATTTAAAATTTATTATACAGACCAATTTCTTTCAAATAGCTGATAATAAGATGCCCGCTGACAAGGGAAAAGAGATCTTTCAGATTTACGCTTTGATTGCAAAGTCCTTGCTTGACGGTGAACCTTTCATCACAAGGGATACACTTAGGAGGTTCGTCTTCATCTGTCTTAAGCAGGTAATTCAACTGTGGCCAATACGACATCGTCGTAAAACGACCTCGCCATGTCTTGACTGACAACCCAAGTAGGTTTGACCTATTGTTTGTTTTATTTCGTGAAGTTTATTGCTTCCTACCTGGGTGTCCCACCTCCTTTGCATTAGACCTCGAGTTTAAATTTTAATAGTTGGTTTGAAATGCCTACTGTAATATTGTATCAAGGTGAAATTGGTGATGACGATAAATCGTAGTCCATAGTATGCATATTTCTCCATGTAAATAAACGCAACAAAACCCTTTCCCCAGTCGTAAGCAATCTCTACTGAAAGAGTCTGTGTTCGATTCCGACTACATCATGAGCATGTGTTTATGAGTCACTTTTAAATAGTGATGATGCTAGGTGTTCGCGAAAAGGTGAGCGTGGAACCTGTCACAAACACATGCAAAGGTAAGTAAATTGTTCACTGAAAAAACACGGGAACATAATGTACATGTCAAAATAGGGAATTGCATTGGACATTACTTTTGGACTGATGCGTCAAATTTGAATATGTTCTCAATGTGTCTACCATAAAGCGTTTTGAAAGAATAAGTGAGCCCTTGAATGCTGTAACCTTGATCAAACAACTTTTGAGCAAGAGTCGCATGACGCTCTTTGAAATCTTCCTGGAAAGAGCATGCTCGATTATATCCCAAAAGGTGTGATATGTAGACACCAAAAGCTGGAGCTTCGACATGAAGGGCAAGTTGAATATTAGAACGTTGACTAAATGCAACCCTGACTGGGTTTCGCATGCTCTCTGGGAGCACAATTTATCCTGGGCCACAAAGGGTGGTGTTCAATAAATGGACCCATTCAGCATTGTTGCAATAGAATACAAATCAACAACAATCTTCAACAACAACAACAACAACGTCAATATCTATGCACTAGACAATGTTCAGTAAGTGTCTGTCTCTTGTGCCACATGTAGGGTCAAGCAACGACCGGACCCTTTCCTGTTTTTGATGTTGATTTTCCACGAGTTCCATATGTTTCCCGTTTTGTTCTGTACACTTTGGGCCTGACGTCCATTGCTTTAACGTCCATTTTGCCCACGTTGAGCTTTTCTTCAGCAGTAGTGATTTTGTCCATGTTAACCCTTTGTGCAATATCTGGACCAATTGAAAAGTGGCCATGTGGGTCGATGCATAGTTCTAGACAATCACATTTCGCATTGTAGAAGAATGTCTGAAATAGAAACTGGATGTTAACACGTTTCTATGTTTGACACAAATTTATTCCCAAAAACTAACGTGAAACCAAATACCAAAGCGAAATATACCGTTATCGTCTTCGTTTTAAGGCATGAACTTAAATTTGTTGAAAATTTAAATTTAATTAAATTGAAACTACTAAACCAAATATTATACCATTTTCAAGATGAAATTAACGGTAAACATTTATCATAAATATGATATTATCAAAGATAAGGAAAAACTGTCTTCATTGTTAGCCAAGACAATAACGATTGAATTCCTTTTTCTCAATTCATTAACAAATATATAGAGGTTAACACTCTTTGACTACTTTAGAAATATTCAAAATGGCAAGTTAAAAATCGAATTGAGTAATACGATGATATTTGAAAGTTGTTTGTCATAAATTTGCAAACGCTTGAGGTCTTAACCTTGTCTGGAAACGACGGTAGTCTGCAGTGTTTATCGTGTTCCAAGCCAACATCGCGTTTCATTTGATTGTAGAAAGGACCGTCAGCAGCAAAATAGAGTGGGTGCATGATGACATAGTCCCAGAGCTCCTGGCCAGACAGCTGTCCGATCAGCTCTACACAACTCACGGCAATGTCGATAGGGTCAAACTTTCCTGAAGCAAATGATTTCATATATTTCAGTCTTCAGCAACCCATGCGTGCCGTAAAAGACGACTATGCTTGTCGTAGAAGGCGACTAACGAGATCGGGTGATCAGGCTCGCTGACTTGGTTGATGCATGTCATCGATCCCAATTGCGTGGATCGATGCTCATCATATTAATCACTGGATTGTCTGGTCCATACTCGATTATTTACAGACCGCCGTCATATAGCTGGAGTATTGCTGAGTGCGGCGTTAAATAACCAGCCAACCAACCAACTGATCATAATGAGAATTTAGCAAATAATATTTTTAAAATCAGCTGTCGTTGTACCTGTTCTAATTTCCAGAAGTAAGTTAAATCGAAATAGAGGTCCAGTAGAAACAGTCAGATAATAACAATCAACAAAATTCCCTTCATTACTTGGTGGTACTGTACCTGAGTCTGACTTGACCCCAGTGTTAATAGAAGCCTCAAGAACCGTCTCCAGCATACCAGCTGATATGGTGGTTTTCATGTCTTGGAATGGCACTGGTGTTTTCTTCGATGTTTTCGTTTCCAAAACTAGAACCAATCATTAATGCAATGGATTAAAATTAGTGGGTGTACGTATGTGTATTAACATGAACCACGTAGATATATGTACGACTGGCATCATAACTGATTCATAAACACGTTCTCATTATATAGTCGGGAACGTACACTTGATATTGCATTTAGAAGAGATTTCTTATGAATATGGAAAGGGTTTTGTCGCTTTTGTTTATGTAATTACAGTTAGGGTATTTTGAAGAAGGTACGTCAATTCATCACGAGATCAATACAGGTGTCATACACCCAGACAGGCTTCAGCACTCAGCATCAGTATCACCAAACCATTAAGGTGAAATACGTCCGAATGCTGATACCAAAGATGTGAAGATCCGGGGTGGAATAGGTCTTCAGCAACCCATGCTTGCCGTAAATGGCGACTATGCTTGTCGTAAGAAGCGCCCAACGGGATAGGGTGGTCAGACTCTCTGACTTGGTTGATGCATGTCATCGTAGTCCAATTGCGTGTGATGTCAATCACTGGATTGTCAGGTCCAGATTCGAGTTTTTTACAGACCGCCGTCATATAGCTGGAAAATTGCTGAGTGCGGCGTTTAACAACAAACGAACAACCAAAGATGTGGAGATTTGTGAAAAATATTTCTAGGATTCCTAACGAGGAATGCGTGCTTCATTCCAACTTGGCCACACTCACGTGCTTTGTTAAGGGATTCAACTTCTTTTACTTTTTCTTCATACTGAAATGTGATTAAATGGCAATAAACATATTGAATGTCCAAGACTTATTAAACAAATTAGGGGTTGGTGTACGTCATAACCGAAAAGATATTGTCAAACAGATTAAACGAATACAGTATCAAAATGCAAAACAATGAGTGTATATAATGTCTGTTGAACTGTTGACTATAAACCTTTAAACACACACAAATGATGCTGTGGGGAAAAATATATTTGTTTATGCAAATAATGTATTTAGGGGTAAATACCTTCCGTGAGGGCACACAGTTTTTGTGAAGATTCTCTGGATTGGCGAGAACTGTAAATAGAATAATGGAGTTCCTGATTTTAATGCATATTGGAATTATTTTGTTTATAAGTTTGTTTGTTGTTTACGCCGCACTCATAAATATTCCAGCTATATGACGGCGGTCTGTAAATAATCGAGTCTGGACCAGACAATCCAGTGATTGACATCATGAGCATCGATCCACTTAAAAGGGATTCGATGACATGTATCAACCAAGTCGCCTCAACCGTTAGTCGCCTTTTACGACAAGCATGGGTTGCTGAAGACCTGATCTACCCCGAATCTTCACGGGCGATTGTTAACACAATATATATCTATCATTATGTTTTTATTCTCATAATCCATAAATATTCCCTTAATCTTAATCAATAACGTTTATACACAATTGTTGTCATAATATTCAAACTAGTTTACAAATAACACTTTATCAAAACGAATTTACTTTTCGTTCTTTTCCAAGATTGAGCAGACTCGATGATTTCAGTGGTTGAACTTAGCCTTTCACTTACCAAAGTCGCCAAGTTTCCCAAGGCTTTTTATTGGCACGACCAGACTGGACTGCACGTCCATGTTCAGCGTTGTTCCTTCCGGAATAAGCGATTTGAGATCTCCATCGAAGACGTCCTTCACGACCGACTCTAGCCATTCGTGTCCCAAGGCCCTACCAGGATCGACGTCAATTTCGATGACAACAGACCCCGCCCGTACAGTGACAATCTGAGCATCACTGGACCTGAGTCGGATGTTGATTACGTCTTTCTTGGCATCAATCTCATGGACGAGCAGCTTCTCCAGCTCGGGATTGTGGGGGTCTGTGGTGATGACGAGCAGAGTCTTGGACGCTGATGGCCCAGGAACTAATATCAAAATATGGGTTCATGTGAACAATTGACTTGCCTTTGCATGTGTTTTAGGCGGTTGCCACAGGACACGCTCACCTATATGCGAGCACCTGGTATCATCACTATTTGATAGTGGTTAATAAACACATGCTCATGATACAATCGGAATAGTACAATTGACTCTGCTTTTAGCAGAGATTTCTTATGAAGACTGTTATTTAGATGTACGTTCATATGATAATATTGTTTTTTGTGTGCTCAAACGTAACGCGCCTTACTGTATCCGCTTACAGGAAATATATGGAGAATATTTACATACCAACGTTGACATTGATTGTGTTTTCAGTTCCGTCCTGTTTTGCTATGACGATCTGATTAGATGACTTCTTTATGTTCATTGTGCAGTGACTTCCAATTTGACAGTTCAAATCTTCATGATCTGAAAGAAATACATAGATGTACCATATCGATTCCGATTTCAGCATTATTGTTATAATATATATATATGTATGAAAGAGCATGTTGATAAGAACACCGAAATCGGGAGTAACTCCCAGTTAGCAAACTTCTGAGGTATTAGAATATCAACATTCAACATTTCGCCGACAACAAGGAGAAAATATTATCATGACCCACATTTCATGCCGATCAAAACTATTTCTATTACATCAATATATATTGTCACGCAAAAGAAAGTATACACCCATTATCCATTGTGTCTAGAAATGAATCAAACGCGAAATGGTTCTTCAACGGTGATGTATTTTATAAGCTTTCCCGTTTCATATAAATGACATTCAGTTTATATTACATGTGAATATATATAATATTATTCATGCTGGATTACATAATACTATAAGTTTATCACCTTTGGGATGACAATGTTGGTATCCGAACTGCAATGTGTTAACTAGTCCTTAAAATATTCAATACTAGTACATCAGCAGATTTCACTGACACGTGACGGGCACTGAAGTATGACCCAACCTTAGCTTTACCTGGTACACTCCCTTCGTTCAATAAAGCATCAGGGTTAAGTTGATAGGCATCCTCTGTACCTTCTGTTGTTGCTTTCCCAAGGGATTCACTTGGCAGTTCACCCTCTGTCTGCATGTCGTCATCAGAATCCCAACTTGGCTCGGATTCCGACTGTGACAGTTGAGGCTTATGTCTTGGGACACAGGTTATGGTTAAGTCTTTCATTTCCTTGGTGCAGTCGCCCGGGAGCTGATACAACACTTCATTAAACATGCGATTCTTTTCTTCAAATTTGTTGACGACAAAGACCCTTTTCCCACTAGCCTCCAGCCCTTCAGTTAGAACAAAGAATGAGGTATTTAATGCATGAGAAAACGCAAATACTGAAAGCATTCAATGGAACAGTCTGAAGTTTCAAATGTTACAGTTTCAGGTCATCGAATACTCAATAACACCCGCAAATCTTAAAACACATAATGTTTATTGACATTGTAATCGACAAGGGTTACCAGTGATTTTCTGAAGCAGTTTCTCTCACACACGCCCGTGATAAATTAACTCACAACAGGGCAAAATACAACTGAGTGGAATAGAGGTGAGGTGAAATGGGATATAACGTCGCGTCCAAGATTATTGCACTTATATAGCGACGTGCATGCACGTGTATATGTGTGTGGGGCTGCTAGTACTGGTCCGGACTGATGCCGATTTATAGTGCAAGCACACTGAGATACTATGCCGTAGTTTAACATGAATACCCCACTTAGACATAGTATACTGACTCCGAGCCGACCAGTCCTTGTTTTAGCCCCTTAATGCCGAACAACAAGTACCATCTTTTAACGTCTTTTTGTATGACGCGGCTGGGGATCGAACGCCTGACCTTCCGCTCTCCGGGCGGACGCTCTACCATTAGACCACGGAGGCGGTCGAGTGGAATAGAAGTTGTCCTGATAATTATTGATCAAACAACATACTTAATTAAAGTGGTGGCCATTTCGTCAAGCCAATGGCACGTTTTCTAAGTTTGTGGTTGCGAGAAAATACCACACTTATCAAGAGAAATATGTATACGCTTTGAAAAGTCTAAAAACTTGAAAACGAATTGAAGAACGTCCCTTTCATTTTTAAATAAACAATGTTATTAAAATTGCACTCACAGTTGCCTGCATCAACTAACTTGTGAGTACAGTGTTCTTAGGTGTCTGATAAATGGTGCATTTATATAAATACATTTAACAGAACATTTGTCAGCTTTTCTTCCGACAGGATATTTACCTTCAAAGTAGTCATACACAGAATTGTGTAGCCTTCCCTTTCTTAGAATTAGGGAAGCTACACCTGTGTCAACTAACAGATACATGGTTGAAAAACTTGCAAAGGGTAACCTCTCGGGGTCAAACATTTCTCTATCTGAAAAGAACAAAAAAGAAAAGTTAATCCTTTTTTCAATTAACCCATCCAAAACAGAAGCTTTGTTCAAGATCATTTTGTGTTATTAGCCATTAGCGGACAATACATCTTATCCTTTAGGAAAAGTTGATTAAACTTGTAAGGTACTATGCTTCGGACTCTAAAAGTAATTTGAATATTAAAATGGTGGGACTGTGTTGTTGGTGTATTTTTAGAATACTTCTCTACATCCTTAGACGTGTAGGATAGGGCATTTCTTTAATAATACTACCCGTGAAGATCCGGGTTAGATTAGGTCTTCAGCAACCCATGCTTGCCGTAAAAAGCGAATAAGCTTGTCGTAAGAGGCGACTAACGGGATCGGGTGGTCAGGTTCGCTGACTTGGTTGATGCATGTCATCGTATCCCAATTGCGTGGATCGATGTTCATGATGTCAATCACTGGATTGTCTGGTCCAGACTCGATTATTTACAGACCGCCGTCATATAGCTGGAATATTGGTGAGTGCGGCGTTAAACAACAAACCAACCAACAACCTTTCAAAGAATTGAGCTCCAAATGTTCAATATAATCCGGGCGTAAAAAACAACCAGGGGTAACAACCTTTGCACATTAACCAGGATTAAGTCATTTTTAATCATGCATAGATCTGCACTGGAATGCGTTACCTTTGCATTTGATAATGTCATGCTGTCCTTCTTTCTGGCCAACCCTCTTTGACAAATCCTCGGCTGCCAACACTTTCTCTTCCGAGCATATGATAACTGAAACAGTTTTCACAACATTAGGACCCATGCAGGTGTGTAAGAAACATATTTCAGTCACAAACCAAAATTCACACACTTTTCAGTTTGAGTTTGTCAACTTACCATTTCGTTTGCATTCTTTGCCATTGTGCTTTTCTGTCGCTCTCTGTAATTTAGTGAAAATAAATATGAAGCAAGCGCATGACATTTGAGCAAATATGTTTTATCCTTGACTTATAGAGATATGGGCAGCTACGGTTAAATAATTTAACTTATCGATGTTGATTGTGCATCACCCTGCCTAGGGGCGTTGAATGTTGCTCATTATATCAACCACTGGTTTATCTGTCCCTGACTAGATTATTGACAGGCAGTCGTGTGGGGAGGTCGGGTAGCCTAGTGGTTAAAGTGTACGCTCGTCACGCCGAAGACCCGGGTTCGATTCCCGACATGGATAGAATGTGTGAAGCCCATTTCTGGTGTCCCCCGCCGTGATATTGCTGGAATATTGTTAAAGGCGGCGTAAAACCATACTCACTCACTTACAGGGAGCCGTGGCATAGCTAGAACATTCCTACAACTGTTTATTATTATTTTCAAATATTCATAATGTAAGGTTCGATATTCGGGTGATATAGTGTTGAATACATGAACAAGAATTATTTTTTCCGTTGTTAATACAAAACAATATTTGGCTTGTTACTAAAACTATAACATTTTTTGTGAGGTTAGGTGAAACGCGCAAAACGTCGTGTTTAAGATAATTCCACTCGTATTACGAGGTGCATGCACGTGTGTGCGTGTGTGGCTGCTTGTACTTCTCCGGGATGATGCCGCTTTCATAGTGCCAACCCACCGAGATACCATGCCGCAGTTTAACATGAATACCCCACTCAGTCATATTGAACTGACAGTCCTTGTTTTACCCCCTTATTGCAGAACGCCAGGCAGGGTAACAACATGTACCACCTGTTAACGTCTGGTATGACGAGGCTACACCACCGACATTCCTTCCTCTAGGAATACGCTCTGTCCACTAGACTAGGAAGCGATCTCAAATAACACAATTACGTATACCATTGTTACGAAGAATGGGTTTACCTTGCTGTTTTTCATGATAAACTCCCCAAATGAAAACAGACCCAACTTTGAGCTTGTACTCATGATATCCATGGGGGTAGTGTCTGTTTGTCTCTTGCCATCAATGGATCTCATAAGCCCTCATCCTGAATAACAAAATGCATTGGAATTAATTGCAAGTGTATGCTAACCACGACAACAATTACATAAACATCCACAGCTCACGTCATACTTGGGCATTTTCTCCACCTGGAATGTTGACGTGATGCATGATAGAAAAATCATGTGGACATTACATGTATGTATCATAGACAATACTTCGCGGATTTGTATATACTAAGTATTTCCATGATCCGCCAATGCATACGACCGCTATGTGGTGTACACGTGTCTATTTTCGTAAGCTGATAACTCACGCAAGGTCAAATTAATCATGCATGCAGACACTACCATTGCCTGTCGTTACAGAAAGACACTACCATTGCCTGTCGTTACAGACACTACCATTGCCTGTCGTCATAGAAAGACACTACCGTTGCCTGTCGTCACAGAAAGACACTACCATTGCCTGTCCTTACAGAAAGACACTACCATTGCCTGTCGTTACAGAAAGACACTACCATTGCCTGTCGTTACAGAAAGACACTACCATTGCCTGTCGTTACAGAAAGACACTACCATTGCCTGTCGTCATAGAAAGACACTACCGTTGCCTGTCGTCACAGAAAGACACTACCATTGCCTGTCGTTACAGAAAGACACTACCATTGCCTGTCGTTACAGAAAGACACTACCATTGCCTGTCGTTACAGAAAGACACTACCGTTGCCTGTCGTTACAGAAAGACACTACCATTGCCTGTCGTCACAGAAAGACACTACCATTGCCTGTCGTTACAGAAAGACACTACCATTGCCTGTCGTCACAGAAAGACACTACCGTTGCCTGTCGTTACAGAAAGACACGTTCAAGACATTTCATGCAGCGGTGCAATAATGAAAGCAAATGTCATGAAGATTCCGGGTCTTCAGCAACCCATGCTTGCCGTAAAATGTGACTATGCTTGTCGTAAAAGGCGACTAACGGGATCGGGTGGTCTGGCTCGCTGACTTGGTTGATGCATGTCATCGATCCCAATTGCGTGGATCGATGCTCATGATATCAATCACTGGATTGTCTGGTCCAGACTCGATTATTTATTGACCGCCGTCATATAGCTGGAATATTGCTGAGTGCGGCGTTAAACAACAAACAAACCAGCCAACCAACTGAAGTTTACTGAGAAAACAATACGTAGAATGCTGGACTTCCTCCCTGATGACATCTATGTGGAGTTTGGGGATGCTATAGTTTGGCACTTGTTCTCCCCTTTCTTCTGATCTGTTTATTTGTGCATATGACTCGGAACTTCTGCTGGAATTGGCAAAAGCCAAACACGGGAATGTAGCCAAGAAGTTCAATTTTAACTTCAGATATATCGATGATCTGATATCGATCAATAGTGGTGAAGTAGCCAATTCCCTTCCACTGATTTACCCACCTGAGTTAAAAATATAAAAGACAAGTTAAACTGCTTCCTCTGTTTCATATTCAGATCTATGCACAAAATTCAGAGTGAAAAAAAATCAGAGCTGTATGACAAGAGGGATGACTTCAATTGTCCAAGTCAACTTTCCATTTATGTCGAGCAATATTCCAGCAGCTCCAGCCTTTGGTGTCCCCATTTCGCCACTTTTGAGATACAATCGAGCATGCTCTTTCTACCAAGATTCTAAAAGCGTCATAAGACTTTTGTTTTAGTTTCACATATGCTAATTAGCGCTAATGTCAATACATTTACATATTGTACATATATCCCCCTCAGACCTCCCCTCCCCCCTTCGGTATCTACCAGTACATGTTTTGGGGCTTAACACGAATTTCTCGGCAACATAATTCACAGTTATAATGTCACAATAACAGATAGTAAGATTCCCAGTATGATGTGGCACCCGTGAAGACCCGGGTTAGAATTGGTCTTCAGCAACCCATGATTGCCGTAAAAGGCTACTAAGCTTGTCGAAAGAGCCGAGTAACGGGGTCGGGTTGTCATAGTAACATGATATCACCGTTTCCTTCACCGGTTCACTGTGACCGGATGACACTGCACACGGAGCCAAGTTTCGTTTTGAGACTAAACAGCAGTTGCCTCCCTTTACACTCGTTTTGTCAGGAAATACATTTCTGGCATAGTTCAAAATAAAACATACAAGGGGGAACCAAAACCAAAATATTAAATTAATAAAGTACTTCAAATTAACATGATCATATAACTACGATAACATGTGTCATTGCTGGGATTATGGACCACTACCCACGCCAATGACGTATCACTTCCTTGTTCTCCTTTCGATTCGGACTCGGTCTCTCGTGTGTATTGTTGTGTCACACTTTCTTCTTACACATTCACTGGCCTAGCGGTGTATACAGTATTATACACACATTCTCATCCTATACACAGTACACGCTTCACTCATCCATTATACTTGTGGTGTGTGGAACGCTACCGTCCAGATTAACGGGGTCTCAGTGTGAATGTAAACCTATCTATGGATGTTAATTACTTTGTAGTATTCCTATTAAAGGGCGTGTAGATCTAATTAGACCTTTTCCATTTTTTTCTTTAGTTTTACATTATACTTGTGGTGTGGGTAGGGACACACTGACCTACCCCTAAACGTTACTGTGTTAACTGGTGATATGTCACTTCCCGTGAAAGTCTCTGCGCTAAGTGGCGATATTCAGTAACCCTAAACGCTACTATGCTGTGGTGGCTAATGGGAGACATTTGTGACAAGTCTTACCTGATAAATAATGCAGTTTGCCAAAGAAAATATTCACATATTCCGTATTTGTGTTATTATCACTAATACTGAGACAGAGACACGAACACATTCTATGTATTGTTGTGTAAGGCTGTGTGACGTAACCTATTCCAACCAATCAAACGACGGCTGACATGAACTGGAGTCACAATGTATGTATCGAAGGCAGTGGACGCATCACGTGGTTTAACCTTAAATATAGGTTGGAGTTAAGGTGAATTTCAATGTACTTCCTTAAAATGATTGAAATACCACTCAATTTAACGTCTGTGTTGTATTTCTTGTCATGTATTCCACAGAAAACAGTTGTACTAGTTATCTGAGATACAAATTTATTGATCTGAATGTCAGTTGTATACGTTCGTCTGAAGCACATGCTGTGAATCAATAAATCATAATGGCGCTGCCACTAACGTGCTGTCACAGACATTGTGTGCGCGGGACCAGTTCTAACCCAGAATTAGAGATAATACGTGAGTGTGTCTGTCGTACACGCGAAAAACATGTTGTTCATAAACAGTTGAAAAGGGTTTTGTGACGTCAGTCGAGATAACCTTACAATGCAGTATAATAGGCAACCAGTCGCACTGAACATCCGTGAAAGTGTGTAGCCGAGGTAATGTACACCAGCCTGCTCGGAGTCGGTGTGTGTATGTCACCGGGTCGTAAAACCAGTCTAGTCACGGTCTAGTGACCGTTCCTCGTCCCTCTCCCTTAATTCCCAGAGGACACGTGAAAATCCGGGGTGGATAGGTCTTCAGCAACCCATGCTTGCCGTAAAAGGTGACTATACTTGTTAGGGGCGACTAACGGGATCGGGTGGTCAGGCTCGCTGCCTTGGTTGATGCATGTCATCGATCCCATGGATAGATGCTCATGATGTCAATCACTGGATTGTCTGGTCCACACTCGATTATTTACAGACCGTCGTCATATAGCATATTGCTGAATGCGGCATTAAACATCACACAAACACATAACTGCCCAGCGTCGTCGCCGTTCGGCAAGGTCCGGCGGTCGTCATACTCCGGTGTCTGTACGTTCAATGGTAGAGAATAGGTGACCCGTAAATTTTATTCTCTAGCTCATGTATGTTTTCTACCTTATTCAAGTAAGGAAAGTGTTTCAGTAACATTGATCTTAGTAGCGGGATTATCTAGTACTTGTAGATATTTCTCTTGTAATTTATGGTCATTTTTGCCACCTCAATAATTGTCTGGTTGTAAATCTTTAGTGGTACCGTTGGTACCGGTATTTCCGTATCTACATCTCCCACATTGGTTTAGAAGTTAGTTTGCCATTCGTGTTTTCATAATGTTTAAAAAGACTTTGGTCACCTCACCAGGCTATTTTTCCAAAAAAATGGTTTTATTCATTGCAAACTGAAAGGCCATAGGCCCATAGTTCAACGTATTTACAAGGTATTGGTGTTTCTTCTAACTGACAATGCATGATGTATGTACAATGCAATATTTTGTAATAAAGTAATATTTGAGGTTGACATGAGTATGCAAAACAAATTAATATTTGGGTAAGTCATAAACTTCTTTGGAATATTCTTGTTTCTTAATTGAAGATAGAGTTTACACACAAGCATAAAATGATACTCATTTTCTACCACATTAAGGGTACAAGATGTACAGATATTGTTAGACTTTTTAAATATACCTTTATAGATCTTTAAATCATAATATCCTGTTTTTTTTATTGTAACATATATTAGATATTCTTCGAGTATAAATTGTTGTTTGAAGAGAGAATAGGTATATGTACATTTGCTATTTCTTAGTTTTTCTATCCACATTTGCTGAAAACAATCTTTAGCTCTTTGGAGTAATAATGGCATAAACATCTTGACATTTCCACCAGGCTGTTGTATCCCCATGGATGAGCAGGTTGTTCTCTCCGAGGTCCGCTCAGACGTATATGACCCTTGGCGAAATCATGTGTCTTCACCTCCAGGTACCGCAAGACCGTTTACAGGTCATCTTGGTTCTGGTTTGGTCTGATCGAAACTAGGTTTCGTTAGTAAGTGGTTATTGGACAGTTTTCTTTCTGGTACTGACTAGAGTAAGTCAGTACTAGAAAGAAAACAGTCCAATAACCATTGATCTAACACTTATTTTTCGTGGATTACCAACTTTCCCGCGATTGTCTAGTTTAGATCAAGTTACTCTATTGGTCAAGTACCCGTTTTAATGATTGTGAGTCTAGACAATCCTTAGATCAACCTTGTATTTTGGTTAAGTTTAGAATATCCTAGCCCAGTAAAGTGACTGAGTCTTAAGTCTATAAGACCAGTTTCCTATTCAGGCGTTTTTCGTCTATTTTCTTGTCCAAGATACATTTTATTAGGGATAGGCCCTCAGTGTTTATTTTCCGCTATTTAACCCAGGGGAGGTTATTCACTCATTAGAGTGTTGAGTTAATTAACTCTCGTGTGTTAATTGCTCGCAGTCGACTTAATTTGCTGTCTATGCATCTTGTCACTATCTTGTCAAAGTGTTGATTTAGCTATTCTATTTGTATTATTGTTATACAGTTGCTGAGTTAATCAGCTTGAATATGTTTTCTGGTTTAATTAATCAGTGTTCGTTGTCAGTTTTTTTAATCCTTTTTATTGTCACCTATACTTCCAACAAGCTGATAATAGCAAACTATTATTACTTTATTCTTGTGTAATGACAGCCAGATCTCTGGAGCACAGCTCCGTCACAGGACAAGTGTAATGTGTCTGTGTGGGGTATTCATGTTTAACTGAGGCATGAGTTTCAGAGGGCTATCCCTATTGCAACGGCGTTGGTCCGAACTAGTAAAAGAAGCCACACACGGCCACACACACACACACACACACACACACACACGGCCACACACACACACGGCCACACACACACACACGGCCACACACACACACACACACACACGGCCACACACACGGCCACACACACACACACACACACACACACGGCCACACACACGGCCACACACACACGGCCACACACACACACGGCCACACACACACACACACGGCTACACACACACACACACACACACAAACACACAAACATGCAATATTCTTATGGCATTATTACAAAGCAAAAAGGATTCATAGACACGTTGACATACACGGTGAAACCCTGTTAATCCGGGCGGCAACACTTCAACCTAATTCATCCTGGAGATCCTTTGTAATGCCTTCGCATGTATCATCTGCTAACAGAAAGAAGGGGATTCGGACCACCGGGGTCCGGACTGACGAGGTGTCACAGGACAGTGGACATACATCAGTTTATTATCTATTAAGTATACATGTATGTGTAAAAATCTGAACTGGATAAAAAGTTTATACAACATATCAGATACAATGTTGTTACAACTAAAAATCCCTTAAATATATGACAACGAATTACATATTTTCATTTAAGTTATAATGAGAAATATAATTTTGATATATTACACAAAGTTTAGTCCTCGTTCGTACGCACAACAGACCTGCTTTAAGAGCATCACTATCTTCAGTATGTCAGCTACATAAAATAAAATCCATCTCAATTAGATTTTGTCTCGTAAAATGTTACATATATCTTCGCAAAGAACAGTTCCAGTGCTACTAAATAATTGACAGAGGATATTCAAGAAATTACACATGTTTATCATCTATTTCATTTATTGAAAATCTACACATTTAGATAAAATTAAATGAAGATAACCTTCCTTGAGAAAATGTCATAAGACGTGAAAAAACTATTTCTGTTGGGTGTTTATCCTAACGGTACCACTTGCAGGCATCGAACCCTTTTCATAGCTGGCAATATGACCACTTTGATATGTATATGGCCAAATCGCCTCACTGTCGCAGTTGTACAAAACAATCTGCAAGTCACACTGAATTTAGACGTCAACGCCAGAGAACTATATATCTCGAATATCTTCTAAAACAGATTTCATTGGGCGTAAACGGCAAACATATTGATGAAACGTAAATCAATGGATCACTGAAAATCAGTGAGGACACAGGGTGTTGAAGACAGGGATTAGCATGCCCTGCCCCAGAAACCCTACTCACGCAGTTTCCACTGAGTCAGAAGAGCTGCCTTACAAACAAGAGAAAAGTCCGTTCAGGTGATATGCAAATTAACATTTGGGATTGGTCTGGTCTTCTGGTCGAACTACGATCATTGCTTCAACCAAAGAGGTCTCCGGATTCGCTGTTGCATAGAGCAGTATTGCTTGATTAAGCCACTCTGACACCAGGTCACAAGGGTATCGCTGTCTCTTCGTTCCCAGCAGCGGGAAGGCAATGGAGGAAAGTTGAGACTCACTGGCCAATTGCAGACACTTTGTGATCATTCGGACAAATGACTGAAACAAATAATGTTTCCTATTTATATGGAGACCCTAGTATGACGCACGTTGAAGCTGAAAAAGATTCTGTTTGTTTATTTCTAAATCGCAATCACAAAACCTGTTGGGCAAAAGAAAAAGGAGGAAACAGAAAGTTTTCCTGTTTTATGTAATTGGAAATTGAAGGAAATGTTGTTATTTTGTGTGTGTGGACTAAAACCTAATCTCCCCTACAGTACCCCGAGCATACATGTGTTTTATATATTTAACAAGGCAATTACCAAGGCTATCCCCTTCCCTGCTCCAGCAGCTTATACTTACCCCCTTCTCAGCTCCAGAAGCCTATACTCATCCCCTTCTCAGCTCCAGCAGCTTATACGTATCCCCTTCCCAGCTCCAGCAGCCTATACTCATCCCCTTCTCAGCTCCAGCAGCCTATACTCATCCCTTCTCAGCTCTAGCAGTTTATACTCATCCCCTTCTCAGCTCCAGCAGCCTATACTCATCCCTTCTCAGCTCTAGCAGTTTATACTCATCCCCTTCCCAGCTCCAGCAGCCTATACTCATCCCCTTCCCAGCTCCAGCAGCCTATACTCATCCCCTTCTCAGCTCTAGCAGTCTAAACTCATCCCCTTCCCAGCTCCAGCAGCCTACACTCATTCCCTTTTCAGCTCCAGCAGCCTATACTTATCCCCTTCCCAGCTCAACCAGCCTATACTCATCCCCATCCCAGCTCCAGCAGCCTATACTTATCCCCTTCCCAGCTCAACCAGCCTATACTCATCTCCTTCCCAGCTCCAGCAGCCTATACTCATCCCCTTCCCAGCTCAACCAGCCTATACTCATCCCCATCCCAGCTCCAGCAGCCTATACTTATCCCCTTCCCAGCTCCAGCAGCCTATACTTATCCCCTTCCCAGCTCAACCAGCCTATACTCATCCCCTTCCCAGCTCTAGCAGTCTATACTCATCCCCTTCTCAGCTCTAGCAGTCTATACTCATCCCCTTCCCAGCTCCAGCAGCCTATACTTATCCCCTATCAGCTCCAGCAGCCTATACTCATCTTCTTCCCAGCTCAACCAGCCTATACTCATCCCCTTATCAGCTCCAGCAGCCTATACTCATCCACTTTTAAGCTCTAGCAGTCTAAACTCATCCCCTTCCCAGCTCCAGCAGCCTATACTCATCCCCATCCCAGCTCCAGCAGCTTATACTCATCTCCTTCCCAGCTCCAGCAGCCTATACTCATCTCCTTCCCAGCTCCAGCAGCCTATACTCATCCCTTCTCAGCTCTAGCGGCCTTTTCTCATCCCCTTCCCAGCTCAACCAGCCTATACTCATTCCGTTATCAGCTCCAGCAGCCTATACTCATCCCCTTCTCAGCTCTAGCAGTCTATACTCATCCCCTTCTCAGCTCCAGCAGCCTATACTCATCCCCTTCCCAGCTCAACCAGCCTATACTCATCCCTTCTCAGCTCCAGCAGCCTATACTCATCCCCATCCCAGCTCCAGCAGCCTATACTCATCCCATTCCAGCTCTAGCAGTCTATACTCATCCCCTTCCCAGCTCCAGCAGTCTATACTCATCCCCTTCCCAGCTCAACCAGCCTATACTCATCCCTTCTCAGCTCCAGCAGTCTATACTCATCCCTTCTCAGCTCCAGCAGCCTATACTCATCCCTTCTCAGCTCCAGCAGCCTATACTCATCCACTTTTAAGCTCTTGCTGAAGGTAAGAGGCGTAAGGGTTTCTTAATACTTGAGGGTTCCTTTATTTATTTATTTCTATTTATCCTGATACATAACTTTATTTGGGGGATTGTAGTCCAGCAAAAACCAATATATCACCATGTGTGGCATGTGATTAATATATCAACTATAGTGATACATGTCGTGTGCCTAAAAACTCATTCCTGCAGCAGTTTGTAAAAAGTAATCTGTGGCTAAGGTAATCGTGTGGAAAATCATTTGGTTCAGTGAAGACTGGGGTAAGAAATGAACTTGCAGCCACAAGACCGTCTTCCATGTTTGAAATGTAAGTTTGTACCGAAAAGACAAATTACGTCAAATAAACGAGATGAACGTAAGATCAGCAGTGATGTATTATGCGATTTAAATAAAGTAAATCATTTTTAAATCAAATTATATTTGAAAGATAAAACCATGTAGAAGTATTCTGTAAGTGCTGACTAAGCGCCAGTAGAGTTCACATTTAGGGATATAATATCGCTAGCTTAAGACATTTTCAACTGAAAATCAAACACATGATACCTACAGGTATAGTTTCTTTTGTTCCCCGGTTTATTATAATGCCATGTGTGCGATAATGATATTGAGGCCTTTGAGGCAAGAATCATTTCCATTTCCCAGTGATTCGTACACAAGTGCTTATGACGCAGTCGGAATCTTACAGTGGCCTCTGCTTTTACCAGAGATTTCGTCTGATCATGGAAAGGGTTCTGTCGCTTTTATTCACAAGTAATAACAAAATTTGAACGTGTCATGTTGATGCATAGCGGATAAATATAGTTCTGTTATATTACCGTATGTATTTTCGTATGTTTACCTATTCAAAAGAACACATACACTTACTGAAACAGATCAATTCGTTCACTATGTGGAATATAGGAACTTGACGTCGATGCAATCAAACTACTGTTTCGTCAACTACGAATATCTGGTTGATGTCATGTTGATCAATTTTTGGTTGAACCTTCCCGCCACGGTACTTTTGACAATTGATTTATATATTATTTTTACTTTTTAATTTGTTACAAAAATCGAAATACCCTTTCTCTCACGAAAACTGACATCAGTTGCAATTAACAATTTAACGTGAGACTATCTCCGCCGAATCATTATTGTGGCCCTAGGTAACTCACTTCGTGAATAATCATACCTATACGTATACCTATAACAAAGGAATGTTTCAAACAAAGTATCTTGCCAGAGAGACACCACACGTAACCCACTGGACCTACACTAAGGGTCCTCAATGTTGCTAGTGTTTGGGTTACAACGACACATGTTCGCAAAGTCGCCATGAAACATACGTTCTTTAGTTCTTCTGAAGTGTCCCAATTCTTCAGTGTTGTGAAGTAGATCTGCTTCCATGGGCTTTGTCCTCCACCCGTGAAGGCCACCTCCCATGCCCCTATTCCTTGGGGGTAGTTGGCGTTAAGCTCTTCTTCAATGTCCCCCTTTGCTTTCTTTAAGATGGACACGGACAAGACACCATTCTTCAGATTCAGATTAGGATTCGTGGAACACACAACAGCATCAACCTGAAGACACATATGAACTCGTTTTAACAACTGGTGGAATTCATTTGAAATAAAATATTCACGTGTATATTCGCGACAAACCTTGTAAAACAATACACTTACATCATAGCGTAAACCTGGTGGCATTACAGAAACAGTTTTGTGAGTGAGGGTATTTGAATTTGTTGCTTCCATTTGTTTGAACTGTCTTCCTTTAATTCTTTTTTTATTGAGACAGAATACGAATATCAACTCATTGTCGGATTCAGTTGATGCAGTATACATTCAAAAATATTCCAGACACCAACCTCTTGGTCAGCCATGTCTCCGCTGATCCACGAGATCTCGATCGCACTCTTCTTGATCTCTGGAAGGAAAATATCTCAGATCAGCTGATTATCTGTCTGTCTGTCTGTTTGTCTGTCTGTCTGTCTGGTAAAAGCCAAATGTGTGTATGCCAAATGTGTGACCGTATGCTGTCCAAATAAGATAAATATCCGTCTCCTCAGAATCAAATATAATATTGTAAGACAACACAATTATTATAACAATCGTTGATTCATATTATTACACCTAGTGGCAGAGAAACTGCGAACTTTTACCTTTCTGTTTGCATGCCTCTTCAGAAGCCTTGGATGTTGATGGACATATTTCAGATGCCATTGGTGCCTTTTCAGCATATAGTTCTTCATGTTCACATTCTTTATACACATCCGTGAATGCCTTGCAACAATCAAAGGAAAAGTGTGGACATTGTCTTTATATATCAATTCATGTTAATGAGATCATGAATGTTCGTGTGATGTAAAGTGCACATCTATGACAACATGGGATTCATAGCTCCGGTTCAATGTATTTAATTTGCCATCAAGATTTCAGTTGAACCCAAACATTTCAAAGACCATTGCAAATCTCTCTTGGTGATTGCTTGGCGATTAGTTCCCTCAACTCGATGTGTGTTTGTGGGATTAAAACCATGCCATGTCCACCTTAATTATCATTTTCACGTTTTCGTACCTTGCACAGCATATACAAAATCAGAGGTCACTAATAATTTCATTCCCACGACAAGTATTAAATAAAAGTGATACAAAACATGTCCAAAATCAGAGTCCATTGAACCATTCCGACTTTATTATATGCATGTGTTAATAAATGACGATCAAATAGTGATGGCACCAGGTATTAGTGGACGGCTGGCTAACGTTACTGCTCCACCCCTACTGCCATCATGATGCAGAGAGGGAGGTGTCACTTACTATCATCATCTGAATGTGGCAATGACCCTAACAAAATATCCATAAATTCATGCCCTGTCACACGCTCATCTTCGGCATGCACAGAGAACAGAAACTATTTGGTCAAGTCGTAAGCCCGTCTCACCTTATGTACATCAGCAAATTTGGGAAGCACAACCAATCGAACTTCCATCAGGAACTTTGACCTGAAGCTGCGGCACACCTCGAACATAAGCTTGGCCACAATGTTTGGCGTGTAGCGGAGATGTCCCGTGCCTAGGGGCGGGATGCTGATACAGCGGTGGCCATCGTTGTCCGCCTGCTGCAGGATCTTGCCAAGGATACTCCTGAAACACTGCAGAGTAAAGCCAAAGATTTAATGTTACACAGGTTCTATTTAAAGGCGTTCTTGTTCATTATGGTTGTTCTCGAAGCACGTTTTCTTTGAAAGAGGCGATTAAATGAATCATGTGGTCAGGCTCGGTAACATTCACTTTTTGTACGTCACCGTCTCCAACATTACGAAAATCGATGTTCATAATAGCAATCACGACAGTGTCTGGTTCAGACTCGATTAATTACAAAAAAAACGCCATACAGCTGGAATAAAGCTGACTGTGGTGACGAATAACAAACTTATAAACAAAATAATTTTGCCTTCTAGTTTGGTTTTGTAAACAATTTAGTTCATAGATTTCTATAGTGTCCAAATATTATCGGAAGCATTGAATTTACTTGTTTGAATCATAAGTTGTCTACACACTGAGGAAAGAGGGGAAATGCTTCTGATAAATACATATACTATAGTAACATACATATACAAAGTACACATGCATATGCTCTAACTACATGTACACATACCTCCTGTGCAACCTTTGGGTGGGAGTTCCATATGTTAGGAAGGACGACGTGGTAGATGTTATGGCAGGCAAGGGAACCACCGTCTGTTTTGGCCACAACACCTATCTCTAGTCCAGATGGGTACTTGTGACTGCACTCCTTCTGTACTGATGACCCGGCAGCAGTCAGGATACTCTTTGAAATGTCCCCTTCTAGCATTTTAAGATTGGTGTTTGTTGAGTTGACAATCACGTCGGTCTAAGTGAAGAAATTGTAACACTTCGTATTTAAATATGTAGTAATACAATGGAATGCGTAGACATTTTCAAATTTGACGTATCAGTGACCAAAATGATGTCATTTCTTCAGGCAAATAATTGACTTGTTTTGGAGCCGGTTGCCAAAACTTGGGGCAGGATATGCTCACCTTTTCGCGAACACCTCGTATCATAACTATTTGATAGTCGTTCATAAACACTTGCTCATAACACAGTCGGAATCGTACGATTGAGGAATATGGAAATGGTTTTGTCGCTGTTCTTTACAGTTTGAGAGAGATATAAGTTAAGTATTATCCAGAAGTTTGGCGAAAGTACGGTAGGTTTTCGAAGTTCCAAATACCGCCGTTCACCAAGGCACTACTAAGTATTGGCCTACCTTCTCAGCTTTGATGTCTCCCGATACGAGTCGTACTGACAGCCTCTGAGCTGTTGAAAGCAGAAACGTGTTAAACCAAGTAGGTTGGTTCATTGAAAACATCCGAATGTTTATTGTTATTTTTCTAGAATGGAAATATTATGGTGGAGGCATACAGACTTCTCAGAGTATGCAATTTTTTAATCTTTTATATTTTTACAAATTTCCATTGAACATTTGAATATGGGTAGTGAGTGAGTAGGGTTTAACACCGCTTTGAACAGTGTTCCAGTTTTATCACGGCGTGTCAGCTTAATTTTGGAGGAAAGCCCGAAGTAATGCATGTCTTAGACGTCTTCCGCTTCGGTGAAACCCACGAGCACAGGTATGGTGCTGAGAAACCAAAAAACATAAAAAGGGCGAACTGGGATTCGAATTCACAATCGTAGGTGTCTAAGGGACGCAACTCTGCACAGCGAATTGCGGCGCCTTTGACCACTCAGCTAATCGTGAGTCTGTCTAAATGTGGATTGTGTGGACCTATGAACTTACAAGTATTTGACCTCCTAAGTTCATCCAGTTCTTTGGCCAGTTCATCATACTGCAAACAGAAACCCTATCAGTACCACATAAAGTAAAAGGAAACACATTCTCGACATCAACCATAATGAAATAGATCTGATTTTGTTGTTCCTGTTACAATATAAGCCCGCAAATAAAGCGAGAATATTTAGTTTTATATTCAATTATGGTTTGTTTGTTTGTTTGTTGTTTACCGCCGCACTCAGTAATATTCAAGCTATATGACGGCGGTCTGTAATAATCGAGTCTGGACCATCGACTGATTAATATCATGAGCATCGATCCACACAATTGGGATCGATGACATTCATCAACCAAGTCAGCGAGCCTGACCACCCGATCCCGTTAGTCGCCTCTTACGACAAGCATAGTCGCCTTTTACGGCAAGCATCGGTTGCTGAAGACCTATTCTACCCCGGATCTTTACGTGTCTATTTGATTATGGAAATAGGTTCATTGTATATGTCACAATTAGATACTGCATTTTAAAAAAAGGATTTCTTCTAAAACTAGAGTTGTTAATGACATAAGCACATCAGAGGTACACAAGAACCTGTATATACCAGAAACGGATCACACATCGTAAACAAAGATCAATTACCTTCTCTCTGGCCACACAACCCGTGTGAATATCTGATGACATCTTTGATACTATAAAAAGAATTCCCTTTAGATCAAGTACATATCAAAATACATATTCAACCTTCAGATGGCAATATTATATAATAGTCGTAATTTACAGTTTGTTTCAGTTTAGTTTTGTTTCAACAGAGATAAACCGAGTTCTTTAAATTTTCCATTACATAAATGACAGACTCGGTACACTTTATTTTGCCCCTCAGTTAATAAAAATGTACATTTCATGAAATAAATGAAGCTTCTTACGGGACTGATCCAAATGATCTCCAGGAAGGCAGACATTGCTTTTAATGTCTACTTTCAGACGTGTGCCTTGAGGAATGCATGACTTCACTTTCTGATTGAACAGCTTCCCCAGCAAGCTCTTAATCCATTCTGGTCCGACTTTCTGTCCAGGTTGAAGATCAATTTCCACGATGACCGAGCCTGGACTAAACCGGACAACCTGAGCATTTTGTGACTGGAGGTTGATGTTGATGACGTCCTTCTGACCATCCATTTGACGTAGAAGGATCCTGTCAAGTTCGGGGTCTGTAGGTACGGGGGTGATCACCACAACTACCTTTGATGTACTTTCTCTAGGAACTGGTAAAACATAGGGATGTCCTTAATGGCATGTTCTTATTTATTCCAGAAGCGATCATCATCATCATCATCATCATCAATCAACATCATCATCTTCAACATCATCTTCAACATCACCATTAATCACCATCATAATCGTCAATCATCATCATCATTAATCAACATCATCATCAATCAACATCATCAATCATCATCAATCAACATCATCATCTTCCACATCATCATCAATCAACATCAATCAATATCATCAATCATCGTCAATCATCATCGTCATAATGATCAATCACCATCATCAATCAACATCATCTTCAACATCACCATTAATCATCATCATCATCAATCAACATCATCAATCATCGTCAATCATCATCGTCATAATTATCAATCACCATCATCAATCAACATCATCTTCAACATCACCATTAATCATCATCATCAATCAACATCGTCAATCATCGTCATAATTATCAATCATCATCTTCAACATCAATCATCATCTATCAACATCATCATCAATAATAATTTTCACTGCATTTATGATCACAGTAATGAGTTTGACCTAAGTTTAACATAAGTTTCAGAAAATCTGATATGGTTCAATACTTTTCAAATTCCCTACCATCTCGACACCATGCTTACACATGTGACTGAAATCTGGTCCAACAATCCATGCTATCGAGTGGTGATGACAAGAAATCAGACCCGTCACAGAACCTGACCGGCCATCCAATACCCATGTTATTCGCGTCAGGGCACGAGATATCGGGCATCAACGGGATGACGAACCCAGACAATAGAATGCATATGCATATGTGTACATGTGTACGTGTCGTCAAAATAGACAGCAGAATATGTATCTAGAACAATATTACATGTACATTGGAATATACACGAGAGCAATATACCTATCTGAACGTTCATGGTATTTTGAGTACCATCTTGCCTCATCAACAGTTCTCCCGTGGGCTGCCGTGTGATGTTCATTGTACAGTTGGAGCCAATTTGAATATGTTCGGTGGGCGAGACAACTCCTGAAACATAGTTTATACAATATCTAGAGTGTCCTGATTTTTGCAAAGCTGTGGAGTTGCTGAATCGCCATTAATAAAAACACAAAACCATTCCCATAATCATAAGAAATTTCTTTTAAAATCAGAGCCAATCTCATTGAAATCAGATCTTAGTTCTCGCTATAGCTGAACAAAGATCTGAGGACATCCCATTACGGGTCACGTCAGAACGACCTTTTATCCGACCAATCAAAGCGTCGCTTACCAGATCATGAAAGTTACATTCAGTATGTGTTTTCTAATCATGCAACCCCGAAAACGTTAATACGGGGTATTCCGAATGACAGTTACGGCTGATTCCGTCAAAATTATCGTCTATCTCTCGCTTCAGTGGGACAAACATTTGAACGGACGTGGCGTTGCACAGTACGTAGGAAGCACTGCCATACAATCTCAACCATATATTAGACATTCCGGAATGTTCGTTTGTTAAGTTTACAAAACAGTGTCAACATATTTTTCAAACGTAGTCTGAAAGTCGCCAGGTTAAAACGAGTGCAAGCTGCTTTCTAATTGGCTGATGTCGACTTCTTGTAAGTCATTTCAGTGGTCGGTCAGAGTTCGCGAAAGGTCGTTCTGACGTCAACCGTAACGGGATGTCCTAAGATCTTTGTTTAGCGGCAGCGAGAATTTAGATCTGATTTTAATAAGATTGAATCAGAGCGATTGTACGATTCCAACAACAAACAACATTCACTCTAATAATGATTACCTGATTCTTCCATCGAAGAATATTCCTCTGCATCAGCGTCATCATCGCCACCATCCTCATCAATATCAATGTCGTCATCATCAACATTATCAGTTGATTCCATAGACCCAGCACCCGACTCTGATTCAACTGTGACACGATCCCCCTCTGTCACGGGTGTCTGTCCACAAGAGATGTGGATCTCCTTGTATTCACGCACACAGTCTTGAGGCAGCTGACACCTCAGGCCGTCGTATCTCCAGTGTTCCGGCTGGGGGAGTATGTTCTTCAAATAGACCTTCGACGACTGTGCAAATTCTGAAACATTCAAGAGAATATTGTACTGGCTTGTATATTGTACTGGAAGACTCGGTGTAGGCTCTAATACCGTTATCATGCAAGCTAGTTGCTCTATATAATGACGACTGCATCATCATTTCAAGCATCCTACAAGATGTGTTTTAGTGCTAAAGTCTCCAAACACATCGACAGATTTGAAACCGCACAAAGGTACTGTTCTGTTTGATTATCTCACGCCTAAATTCACAAAACAACTTAATTTTATTATTTCGGCCAAATAGCGGCAAATATTACAAGAATTCGAATAAGGGTTTTCAAAGTGTCTCAGTATCGTAAGCTGATCACCTTCGAAGAAGTCATAAACAGCGTCGGGCAGCCTGCGTCCTTTCATCAATATGTCACACATGGGTGAATCAACCACGATATACAAAGCTGTGTCAGAGGCCGAGGGAGAAATGTTGTTAAAGAACCCAGCTGTATCTGCAAAACAACGAAAATAACAACAGCTGATATTGTTATATGGCAGTGTATTTTATTGTTCAGCAATGATTGTGGGAGTGTTACATTGTTTCTGTTGAGATTAGGTAGACGCTCACTGCATTGTGTTTGGACAGTGATCAGTCGTCAGGAAGTTACTATATTTACATGCTAGTGTGGTGTGTAAATTTCCGGTCCGGTATACCGCGGACGGTGATAGTATGTTATAGAAACATGGAGAATGTTCTATGTTGTGAGAGCACTAGGAGGAGATTTCCTGTAGCTGGTAAGACTACATAAGGTGACAAGATGGTGTTTACGAATTTCATCCTATGGAACCAGCTTTCATGTGAGGATCACTCATCATCCCCGATTCCCTGCCTTGCCAATCACGGAAGCTTGACCACTGTTGCCGCTTGGTGAATATATATTATTATTACTGACTTTTACTATCACCACTGTATTTTTGTACTTGATACTGAGCACTGCCATCATATTATATATTGCCATTGAATAGTATACTGCCACTCTATTGTGTATTGCCATTGTAATGTGAATTGCTGTGCAGTAACTTGTATTGATTGGCAAACCTAATTTATTTTGTAATACAATTGTTAATTGATAACCATGTGTTGATTGTTTGTTGGTTTCACACTAAGTTCTTTAACCTACAGATTTCTGGGTTAACATATTGTTTCAATTTGGGAATTGACACGTAACAATATTTTAAAATACTTTTAGCACTGTAAATGACTACAAAATGTTGAAAAATACCTCTCATCAGATTTTCGACTGTACATGTAGAAAATGAGTATCATGTGCTGATGGTATGTACACGATACGAAAATATAAGGGAAGTATATTTCCCTCCATATGTGTTGTATAAGAATAATAATCTTCAGAACAAATTCTGCGATGACTGCAGTGTACTGACACCAAGATGTGCATAGGTCGTTGTATTCAAAATGTTATAAAAATAACATTTTCTATTTTTTGGGTCCACACCATTTACATTTTGGTAAATACTACAATACAACCTTGACTGTTTTGCGATTATGTATAAAACGTGTTGACAAACACCAGAAATGGACTTCACACATTGTACCCATGTCGGAAATCGAACCCGGGTCTTTGGTGTGACGAGCGAACACTTTAACCACGACTCTACCCCACCGCCCCTGGTTCTGTTCAAAAGTGAGTAATGTCACCACTTACCATTGCAAACAGTGATAGACACGGGACCAGTATCGACATTCAGACTACTTTGAATAGCTTCAGCTTCCAATGAACCACTTCCAGAACAGACGATGACTTTATAAGAAAAAAAAGTAAACGTGCCACTGCTTCATCCAATATATTACTGTACAGAGATTCCCTTCAATACCAACAACACTAAAAGGTCAGCACAGCGAACAGAAACATTGGAACAATCTTGGTATCAGGTCTTTGAAGGGCACTTAGAAGTGATACACATAAGGAAGAGAATATATGGATGTCAACTGATGAAGGAGTAAGTATGTACTCCGAAACGTTGTGTTCCTCATAATAAAGAAGTTGACATCCATAATTATATTCTCTTCCCTAATGTCGTTTTCATACGATGCTTATTTGTCCTTAGTGACATATTCAGTATTTTGCAAATCGTTATTTAGATGAAATGAGCCGTGTGTTTTTGTTACAAGAAGAAGATCTAACCATGTTGTTTGAACGTGCTGCGGCGGTTTATGTCATTCACGACGGGGTAGGTAGGTTCCTGTTGAACAAAAAAAAAATATGGATCCTGGAAAAAACAGTTTGATGTGATTACTTATTCATTATTTTGGCACTGTTATTCACTCTGCTTCTCGTCACACTCAGCAATATTCCAGCTGTATGACGTCAGTCTAACAACCGAGTCTGGACCAGACAATCCAGCGATTCAGATCATAAGCAATTGAGATACGATGACATGCATCAACCAAGTCAGTGAGCCCGACCACCTGATTTGTTAGACGCCTCCTACGTCTCTTTCTGAAGGCTAATTCTAACTCGAATCTTCATGCTGCTCATGTTATTACATACAGAGACCATATGGTCTCTGTTACATAGTACAGAGGAAAGATGCTGGGATGTACGTGCATATATATATTGAAGACAAATCGAGGGAAACTGTTTCCAAAAACATGAACAAACGTCGAACTGCAGTAGAATAGAATGCTGGCCTGCTAAATATTTTTTGTTAAAAGCCGCACAGTTCTGATTGGCTGCCCGGTATTTGATTGGTTCACATGTGAAGGGGGATCTTTGTAAGGACTACTTTCACTTACATGAGTGTTATTTTCGTTTTAAGTTTCTGAACCTTCAGTGCAAAGTTAAACTGCTCGTTGCAATCTGGCATTCCATAACCGAGGTGACCCCCCGAATACTTCATAAACAATCTCATTAAAATCAGATCTCAGTTCTCGCTATCGCTAAACAAAGATCAGAGGACATCCCATTATGGGTCACGTCAGAACTACCTTTCATCCGACCAATCAAAGCGTCGCTAACCAAATCATGAATGTGTTTTCTAATCATGCAACCTCGGATTCCGTCAAAATTATCGTCTGTCTCTCGCTTCCGTGGGATTAATTATATATTATATATTTGACATTCCGGAATGTTCGTTTGTTCAGTTTACAAACTTATAAACGTATTTTTCAAGCGTAGTCTGAAATGGAAGACGCCAGGTTAAAACGAGTGCCGTAAAGCTCGAGAAAGCTGCTTTCCCAAACCTAAAACACGCCCAAACTTTCCCGAACTTAAAACACATTCCTACTTTCCCGAACTTAAAACACATTCCTACTTTCCCGAATTTAAAACACATTCCTACTTTCCCGAACTTAAAACACACCCCTACTTTCCCGGAACTTGAAACACATCCCTACTTTCCCAAACTTAAAACACATCCCTACTTTCCCGGAACTTGAAACACATCCCTACTTTCCCGGAACTTGAAACATATCCCTACTTTCCCAAACTTAAAACACACCACTACTTTTCCGTAACTTGAAACACATCCCTACTTTCCCGAACTTAAAACACATCCCTACTTTCCCAAACTTAAAACACACCCCTACTTTCCCGAACTTAAAACACATCCCTACTTTCCCGAACTTGAAACACATCCCTACTTTCCCAAACTTAAAACACACCCCTACTTTCCCAAACTTGAAATACATCCCTACTTTCCCGAACTTAAAACACACCCCTACTTTCCTGGAACTTGAAACACACCCCTACTTCCCCGAACTTAAAACTCACCCCTACTTCCCCGAACTTAAAACACACCCCTACTTTCCCGGAACTTGAAACACACCCCTACTTCCCCGAACTTGAAACACACCCCTACTTTCCCGAACTTGAAACACATCCCTACTTCCCCGAACTTAAAACACACCCCTACCTTCCCAAACTTGAAACACATCCCTACTTTCCCAAACTTAAAACACACCCCTACTTTCCCGGAACTTAAAACACATCCCTACTTTCCCAAACTTAAAACACACCCCTACTTTCCCGAACTTGAAACACACCCCTACTTCCCCGAACTTGAAACACACCCCTACTTTCCCGAACTTGAAACACATCCCTACTTCCCCGAACTTAAAACACACCCCTACTTCCCCGAACTTAAAACACACCCCTACTTTCCCAGAACTTGAAACACGTCCCTACTTCCCCGAACTTGAAACACATCCCTACTTTCCCGAACTTGAAACATACCCCTACTTCCCCGAACTTGAAACACATCCCTACTTACCCGAACTTGAAACACATCCCTACTTTCCCGAACTTGAAACACACCCCTTCTTTCCCGGAACTTGAAACACACCCCTACTTCCCCGAACTTGAAACACATCCCTACTTTCCCGAACTTAAAACACACCCCTACTTTCCCAGAACTTAAAACACACCCCTACTTTCCCAGAACTTGAAACACACCCCTACTTTCCCAAACTTGAAACACATCCCTACTTACCCGAACTTGAAACACATCCCTACTTTCCCGAACTTGAAACACACCCCTACTTTCCCGAACTTGAAACACACCCCTACTTTCCCAAACTTGAAACACATCCCTACTTTCCCGAACTTGAAACACACCCCTACTTTCCCAAACTTGAAACACATCCCTACTTTCCCGAACTTGAAACACATCCCTACTTTCCCGAACTTGAAACACATCCCTACTTACCCGAACTTGAAACACATCCCTACTTTCCCGAACTTGAAACACACCCCTACTTTCCCGAACTTGAAACACACCCCTACTTTCCCGAACTTGAAACACACCCCTACTTTCCCAAACTTGAAACACATCCCTACTTTCCCGAACTTGAAACACACCCCTACTTTCCCAAACTTGAAACACATCCCTACTTTCCCGAACTTGAAACACATCCCTACTTTCCCGAACTTGAAACACATCCCTACTTTCCCGAACTTGAAACACATCCCTACTTTCCCGAACTTGAAACACATCCCTACTTTCCCGAACTTGAAACACATCCCTACTTACCCGAACTTGAAACATACCCCTACTTCCCCGAACTTGAAACACATCCCTACTTACCCGAACTTGAAACACATCCCTACTTTCCCGAACTTGAAACATACCCCTACTTCCCCGAACTTAAAACACACCCCTACTTTCCCGAACTTAAAACACACCCCTACTTTCCCGGAACTTGAAACACACCCCTACTTCCCCGAACTTGAAACACATCGCTACTTTCCCAAACTTGAAACACACCCCTACTTGCCCGGAACTTGAAACACACCCCTACTTCCCCGAACTTGAAACACATCCCTACTTCCCCGAACTTAAAACACACCCCTACTTTCCCAAACTTGAAACACATCGCTACTTTCCCGGAACTTGAAACACATCGCTACTTTCCCGGAACTTGAAACACACCCCTACTTCCCCGAACTTGAAACACATCCCTACTTCCCCGAACTTAAAACACATCCCTACTTTCCCGAACTTAAAACACACCCCTACTTTCCCGAACTTGAAACACATCCCTACTTTCCCAAACTTGAAACACATCCCTACTTTCCCGAACTTGAAACACATCCCTACTTTCCCAAACTTAAAACACATCCCTACTTCCCCAAACTTAAAACACACCCCTACTTTCCCGGAACTTGAAACACATCCCTACTTTCCCAAACTTAAAACACACCCCTACTTTCCCAAACTTAAAACACATCCCTACTTTCCCAAACTTAAAACACATCCCTACTTCCCCGAACTTGAAACACATCCCTACTTTCCCGAACTTGAAACACATCCCTACTTTCCCGAACTTAAAACACACCCCTACTTTCCCAAACTTGAAACACATCCCTACTTTCCCAAACTTAAAACACACCCCTACTTTCCCAAACTTAAAACACACCCCTACTTTCCCAAACTTGAAACACATCCCTACTTACCCGAACTTGAAACACATCCCTACTTTCCCGAACTTAAAACACCCCTACTTCCCCGAACTTGAAACACATCCCTACTTTCCGTAACTTGAAACAAATCCCTACTTCCCCGAACTTAAAACACACCCCTACTTTCCCGAACTTGAAACACACCCCTACTTTCCCGAACTTGAAACACATCCCTACTTCCCCGAACTTAAAACACACCCCTACTTTCCCGAACTTAAAACACACCCCTACTTTCCCGGAACTTGAAACACACCCCTACTTCCCCGAACTTGAAACACACCCCCACTTTCCCAAACTTGAAACACACCCCTACTTTCCCGGAACTTGAAACACATCCCTACTTTCCCGAACTTGAAACACACCCCTACTTTCCCGAACTTGAAACACACCCCTACTTTCCCGAACTTAAAACACATCGCTACTTTCCCAAACTTAAAACACATCCCTACTTCCCCGAACTTAAAACACACCCCTACTTTCCCGGAACTTAAAACACACCCCTACTTCCCCGAACTTGAAACACACCCCTACTTTCCCGAACTTGAAACACATCCCTACTTTCCCGAACTTAAAACACACCCCTACTTCCCCGGAACTTGAAACACACCCCTACTTTCCCGAACTTGAAACAAATCCCTACTTCCCCGAACTTAAAACACCTCCATACTTTCACGAATACGATCTTACTTTCACGAACTTAAAATACGATCTTACTTTCACGAACGTGAAACACACCTTCAGGAACTTAAACTTAACTGAACTTTGTGTAGTATTTATACTGTGTGAGTCACCCTAGCATTCTTCCACGAGAAATGTGTTGATGATCATGATGTACATTGATGATCATGATGTATATATTTTTTCAAGGACATCCAACATATCCAGCGAACCTTTTGTTAACCCTGAATCATTTTGTTATACCTGTATAACCTTTTTAACACCCCCTCCACACCTCCACCTTAGAATATGAATATGGTCGATCACTTACCTTTGTGAGAGTACTTGCTGAGGAAAGGGTCTGTATTCCACTGTCCTGTGTAAGAATATGTCAGAACATCCGTATTTTCATCGAATTCAAGCTTGGTGTTAACAAAATAACATCACAGAAACACAAAAAGGGCGTGTGTACAATTAACGTTGAAGAGATAGTCGGACAATATATGTATTGTATTGTTTGTTGTTTAACGCCGCACTCAGCAATATTCCAGCTATGTGACGGCGGTCTGTAAATAATCGAGTCTGGACCAGACAATCCAATAATTGACATCATGAGCATCGATCCACGCAATTGGGATACGATGACATGCATCAACCAAGTCAGCAGTCGGACAATATATGTATTGTATTGTTTGTTGTTTAACGCCGCACTCAGCAATATTCTAGCTATGTGACGGCGGTCTGTAAATAATCGAGTCTGGACCAGACAATCCAATAATTGACATCATGAGCATCGATCCACGCAATTGGGATACGATGACGTGCATCAACCAAGTCAGCAGTCGGACAATATATGTATTGTATTGTTTGTTGTTTAACGCCGCACTCAGCAATATTCCAGCTATGTGACGGCGGTCTGTAAATAATCGAGTCTGGACCAGACAATCCAATAATTGACATCATGAGCATCGATCCACGCAATTGGGATACGATGACATGCATCAACCAAGTCAGCAGTCGGACAATACATGACCTTGACTCACCCCGTCTGGTCCCTCCTGCGCCTGGTCCTGTTTGTCGTTACAGCTGATGTCCAGCTGTTTGTCGTTACAGCTGATGTCCAGCTGTTTGTTGCCAATCGTGTTGCCAAGTGTCTTCCCCATGTCCAGCACTGATATGTCAGTGGTCATTGTAACATGAATATCACGTCTTTTTCTGGTGACATTTACAGTGCCGAGCCTTAAAATAAACGCAATATTGAGAGGCACTTTGCTGCGAATTTAATAGTTATATTGATTATCTAATTACTGGATATTTTGTCAACAAGAGAATAGCCTAATATTATACAAATCAGTAAGTGAGTGAATGGGTTTGGCTTTGAAAAGTAGTTCAGTTATATTACTTTGTGTCAAAACCAAAACTTACGATTTGACGTGTACCATTATGGTGAACCCCATGACAATGGCTATGAGGAATTGAGGGAAAGGGTGTGTTAAAAACAGAAGTTCTGCAAGTTGCTTAGGGTCGGGTCGGATTATGATAGCAGTGAGAGATAAAATGTGCAGGTATTTACAAGTACTACAGAGTACATGTGACTATGTACTGTGGATTAAACTATCTTCCCCACTAGCACTAGGTGCAGTTTAAATACCACAAGAGGGTTTTCATTACTATCATCGTAACATAATGATGAACTTGGCAGTGATATTTAGAAATATATGTTTTGTTGTTGTTGGTGTTGATTGGCGGTTTTAATAGCAAAACTAGAGATTTACCTGACACTGTTCGAATTGATGTGAATAATCTTGCAAATGGGTTTGTATAAAGCAAACAGTTACATGAAGAATTGGATGATTGCTACAATCTATTCGCACACAGTGTATGTGTATTCAGGAAATCATCAGACGAAAGTCATCCAAATAATCATTGGAATAGACTATTAAACACCTGTAACTATAACTCTCTATATATTTTAAATGGAGGTTACGATGCTGACTTAAAAAATAAATTTGATTTTATACATGTGGCTTACACTATCGAGGGAGGTACTGATTTAAACACGCCTTTAAGTAAAGATGAAATTCATTCAGTAATAAAGAGTCTTGAGAATAATAAAGCCCGTGTTATTGATGGAGTTATCAATGAATATATCAACCATTCCTTAGGCAAAATGGTTGATTTATATGTCTTATTATTTAACCTATCTTAGAAACCGGCCCGTTTCCGACAGCTGGAGTTAGGATAGAATTTGCCCAGTATATAAAAATGAAGGTGGCTGTACAAACGTTTGGAAACTATAGGGAGTAACCCTGATAAGTTGTGCTGTTCACGGCTCTTTTAAGCTTGAATTTGTCAGACTTTTGTTAAAAGAATATTGATCTAACTAAAGCCCAGGCTGATTTTAGAAAATGTTTTGGTACTGCAGATCATATATTCTCACTTTACAGTATAATTGATTTTTTTTTAAATCAGGAAAGGAAACTTTTTATTGTATATTTAAAGATTTAAAGAAAGTATTTGATAATGTATGGAGATTAGGATTATGGATTAATTTATTGAAATTTGGAGTAAATGGAAATTTCTTTCGCTTTATATATAATATGTATCAAGGTAGAAAAACATTGTGTTAAGAGCGCAAATAGTTACTCACGCAAATAGTTTTCCACGTGTAATACAGGAGTAAGACAAGGGGAAACCCTTTCTCCAATTTTATTTAGTCTATTTTTGAATGATCTGGAGCTATTCATATTTACAGACGGTTGCAAGGGAATAGAACTAAGTGCAAATGAATGGATAATGTAACAGATTTTCTTGTACTAATAGTCTTATTTGTACGGAATTGATTATATTTGGGTGAAAGAAAAAGGACAAAGAAATATCTTTGCTAGTAGATGGTGAAACGTTAGAGGTAGAAGAAGAACACCATCTTCCCGAGGCACGTTAACTCAACTGACTGTAAAGGTCTTTTATAGTCAGGTAACTCCCTTGCCTCGGGAATACGGAAGAAAGTAGGCATCTTGGTATCTTTTTCATAAATTAAATAAATTCATCACATCAAAATCAGGCAACAAAAGCCATTTCTTATATTGTTAAGAAAAGCAGGGAAAATGACTAAATTATATGCCAATTAAAATTGTTTGATGCGATGGTTGTGCGGATCTTACAATGTGGATGCGAAATATAGGGATTTGAAGACTGTGAATGCATTGATATGGACTGTCCAATTAGATATTTTACTGAAACTTCGTCAATTGAAAAAGAGCACCCAATCATATACGGTGAACTTGGTAGAAAACCCCTTTATATCCAAATATATGCACGTATGGTGTCATATTTGGCCACGTATCGTGTCAGGAAAAGCAACTAAAATCTCTAATATATTGTACACACTGGTATTAGAAGATAATCGTGCTAAAGGTAAAACGAATAAATGGTTATTGTCATTTGAACCCATCTTTATTAAGATTGGATTGAAAAATATATGGCATTCACATTATTTTGACTCTCTCCATTCACTAAAATGTATTGTGTCAAATAGATTACAAGATCGGTATTTACAAATATGGTCATCTGAAATGTTTGAATCGTCAAAAGCTGTAACGTACAGAATAATTAAATCCGAACTTGTAGCTGAACAATATTTTGATAAATAATGTTGAAAACAGTGGTTCTCACTAACTAAGTTCGAAACATCACGTCACAGGCTTCCAGTCACAGTGGGTCGCTGGAGCAAGTATCATTTATTGACAGCAGCGATGTTGGAGGTGAATTTCAGTCGCTATATGGCTGAGATAATGCCGATGCGACGATAAATTTTAACTCACTCACTCACATTCTTCAATTGTAATTATTTTAAAAGCTATAAATTGATTTGTTACCTGGATTTTATCACAATAAGATTCCAAAATCTGTTTGATAGTGTAAAAAATAGTGTGTTAAACAAATTATCTACGTTTGGTTCAATCATAATGCAAACATACAAGTCTTCTGGGTAATAACAACATTAAGCCTGTTTTAATGTAAATTGTTGCACATTGTAAATAATCTGCCCTGCTGTGTATGCCACAGTGTGTGTCCAGAAACACAACTTAAGTTATCTGTCAGCTATCTGAGTGAGTGAGTGAGTGAGTGAGTGGGTGGGTGGGTGGGTGAGTGAGTGAGTGAGTGAGTGAGTGAGTGAGTGAGTGGGTGGGTGGGTGGGTGAGTGAGTGAGTGAGTGAGTGGGTGGGTGGGTGGGTGGGTGGGTGAGTGCAACGCCTCTTGATCAACATTCCAATCACCTTACTGTGGGCATCTTCCCCAGGCAAGGGAGTTTACTGACTATGAAAGACCAGTTTCCACCCTCACCGAACTAGGCTGGAGTTATATTTTGGCCGGACTAACGTGTCTATGCATGGTCCAATCAAAATCGCGTTACGAAATCAACATCCGGTTCGTAAACTGCCGTGCAGATTTCGTTCGATTGCAAAGCATGTGTACCGACAACTTAGCGTCAACAGATATTTTCCAAATCTTTTCATATTTTTAATCAAGGTGCTCACGTGAGTTGATGCACTTGGCGAAGTAAGACCTGTTTTATTAAAAAATAGATTTTGGCTATCGATCAGATCGTCAACACTGGGCGACGCCGTTTTATTTTTAAGTGATATGGGAGGTGGAATCTGATTGGTCAATAGGGGGGACATAGAAGGAACATTACTCGTAATAGCCATTGGTGGCGCTACGATCGAGCCCAGAAATACCAACACAGTTCGGGAAGGGTGGAAACTGAACTTTTACAGTCAGTTAACTCACTTGCCTCGGGAAGATGTACTGTGGGGGAAAGCGCGAAGTGATGCAGGTCTTTGACGTTTACCACTTTGGTGTAACACACAACACGGGTATTGCGCTGACAAAAGAAAGTATTATACTCAGGACTAATCTGGGATCCGAACCCATAACCATATGTTACTGGCAGGCATAAGGGAGGCAACTGTGGACTGCGAATTACGGCTCACTTAGGCGACTGGAACACCCGTGCCTCCTTTATACAATTGAATAGTTTATTTATTAATTATATAAAGCTACTATCTGAACCATGTCATTTCACAAAGACATGCATGTCGAATAGATTGCTGAAGGTAGCTTTGTTAAAGAAATGTGACGAAACAAAATTTAATTAATTATTTTAAGCTAAAAATGAAAATTGATCCCAAGCATCAGCATTGGGCGAAACTTTTTATCTCAAATATCATGTCAGGAATACAAACCTATTATTCATGGCGTTCTGACGAGCAGAATACCATTTCTTATTCCTAACATGTAATATTTACGATACGGAATCACACGAGGGTGAAAAGCTCTTTACCAGGTATTGTCATTCTTAAGACAATTGACATATTCTCATTCACAACAACAACATGACATAATTGCATGAAAAGAACACCTATGTGTACAGTCCCACTAACTGCATTATGATGAATTGTAGTTTGTATGTAAGCACCCACACATCGGAAACCTACATGTAAACAGTTTGGAAACAATACAGGTCAATACAGTTTTGTAGAAATAGTATCGATATATGGAGCCTATCAAACATACATCATGTTTGATGACCTCATTTGCATATTTATTGGATCGTGTTACGAAGTTTATTAAGCTGATTTATTGCATCGCTGAGAGTTTTTCCAATGCCTGTGCATCTGGATTTTAATTTCCATTTCTTAAAAATATTGTTTTATTTTACCATATGGTATAGTTGTACTTGTATTCGATGTTTTTGTTATTTTTTCGCGTACACTGTACATTGACGTTATATGAACTTGACGAACTTGACAATTATTATCTTATAATACACCCCCCCCCCCCCCCCCCCCCCCCCCACACACACACATAAAAATTATATAGTCCACGTTAAGCCAACATCTCCATTATATCAGTTTCCAACGTGGACTTTATTATTTTATTATATATTACATGTACACCGACTGATAATAATAGAAAATAATATTTAAAAAATCAAACAACATTATATTATATTAATCATATCATATCATATCATATCATATCATATCATATCATATCATTATTACACATTGAAATACACAATAGTGTACATTCCAAGTGATATTATATTATATTATATTATATTATATTATATTATATTATATTATATTATATTATATTATATTATATTATATTATATTATATTATATTATTACACATAGCAATACACAATAGTGTACATTCCAAGTTTCTACTTTCGTTTTGAAACTAGGCCACACAGGCACAAAGAGAATGTATACATGTCCTACATACAAACCTACATCACTAGAAACATACCCGTGTACATATAGCCAATTACTTTGAACGATGAGGAACATGTTTACATTCCATGTTAATATAGAGAACTAATCTAAACTGATATAATCTCACACAAACAATCAATTATTCAATGACAGTAGCAGTCGTTTCCGTGACACAGGTCACAATAAAAGTGTATGTACATCTTAACATTGACATTTACATTTGAAATTGACGTGTACATTTCATATCTTACGGATGACACCTGCCCGCCGAGCCCTGTGTGTGTGGACTCGCATTGTCTGCACGAGCTTCGTCGCCATATCCTCTGTCAAGATTGTGATTGGGTGATGAGACTTCGCGGGGGGGCGGAACCGGGTAAAACCTGAATCATTAATTAGTGAATTCTTATATTTCTTGGTGATATGTGTTGATTATGTACTGCCTCTTTAAGGATTATGGGAAAACGGTTTATAGTTCTCATGTTTTAGATATATATGACCCCGTTTATCCGCACGGTATCATTGCCAAGTGATATTATCCGGACGCACAAATTTCCTTATTGAATGAAGGGTACGTACAGAGTAATGTCCCTTTGTATTTTTATCAGCGCTCCCATTTGTGTTAACGGGCCAGGCAATGAACTGTTGGTGTTTACGAAATAACCACTGATCATTATGACAGAAACAATAAACGATAATTTGTATTATTTACACGACATGGCAATATCTTAATAGTGATAGTAGTACAGTAAATGTATGACATTTGTATAAAAAGACAATAATTATTTTAAAGCAACACGGCCGGACAAAAAACAATATTTGAATTATACAATATTTGAAGTGTTATAAGTTTCCAACATCTGAAAAGTTAACATTACGTCTGTAAATGTAACCTATTCAGCTGTGGACGTTAAGTTATGTGAAACATTTATTTTTAAAGTAAAACTTTTCAAAATATTATTGCGATCAACCTTTGTTGTACAACAAAGTGAAAAAGCTTACTGTTGCTTACTGGGTACATTCAACGGGAGCTGAATGTTGGATGTATGGTGTTTTACTATATTCAATATTCTAGCTATATGACGGCGGCCTATAAATGATCTAAACCAGACGAACCAATGGCTGACATTATTGGCGACGTCCAGTGGTTGACATTATGAGCAATGAATCTGGACTAGACGATCCAGTGATTCACATCGTAAACTCGATCTAAGCGACTGGGAAACGATGACCAAGCAAGGGAGTTAACTGACTATACAGTTTCCACCCTTGCCGAACTAGGCTGGAATTATGGAGTTATATTTGGCTGGACTAACGAGTCTATGCATATCCAATCAAAATTGCGTAACGAAATCGACATCCGGTTTGTAAACAGCCGTACAGATTTCGGTCGATTGCGGAATTTGCAAAGCATGTGTACGGTCAACTCGGCGTCAACAGATATGTTCCTAATCATTTCATGTTTTTAATCAAGGTGCTGGAGCGATCTAACGCACTTCGCAAGGTAGGACCCGTTTTAGTGATCTAACCTATCGGTCAGATAATTTGGCTTGAAGCAAATGCAAGTGATATGAGACGTGGAGTCTGACTGGTCAATAGGAGGGACACAGAAGGGACATTGCTCGTAATAGCCACTGGTGGCGCTACGATCGAGCCCAGAAATTTCAGCCTAGTTCGGCAAGGTTGGAAACTGGACTTTTATAGTCAGATAACTCCCTTGCCTCGGGAAGATGAACGATGACATGCATCAACCAAGTCAGCGAGCCTGACCACCCGATCCCGTTAGTCGCCTCTCACGTATGCTTCACTTGTTCAAAGCGACCGTTAACCTCACTCATTCCGTTGGGGTGTGGTGTGAAAGTGAATTGCGTTTTATGGATTTGAAATATACAATGTATCCGCCGTAGAATATCGGTTTTCTTCTATTATAAATTTATTCATCTTCAATTCACAACACGTGTCCGTCTGCAGGTTCACAACGTTTCATTGTTGGCTCTTCACGAGGGGCTCAGTGCTCAGCTCCCAGTTCCAGCTGCCCCGGGCGCGCTTGTTTACATGCATGGTTTACCTTCTAACAGTGTTGATCATATTCTAAATATGGTAACACGGCCAAACCACGTAGTACACCGTCCACAATGCACAAAACCCTTCCAAAATATATTTATCTCTTTGAATGGTGATTCGTTGGCATCGTCACAAAAAGGGAAACGCGTTTCAAGTGATCGATGCGCTCGTAAAATAGATAGCAAATATTATGTTTCTGTATCGCATTAATAATGTGCAACAAAACTAATTGTTTTAATGTTTCGGGCCTCCCATTCTATTAAACTCCCTGTCGAAACTGCAGCAGCAGATAAGGGACACGACTGGAAAACTGATCTTTCCTTTATATGGTGCTCCAGATAAGCTGCGTATCTGTAAAGTATAAATCGCTAGTAAACAATAATTACCCAATAATTCTGGAACATACAAATACGGATGAAAGGTTGATTTGGGAAAATACAATCGTACAACAACGTACGAAATTACCAACTTACGGTCAAGATATTTTCCTCTGTATTATTAAGTACCCTACCATGCACAAGTTTGTATCGCTACTCACAACAAATGACAACAGCATTTTATTCAAGCTAGCTCTTTATCTTGAACAAATGTTTAAACTTAGAAATTCCAAAACCAATATCAATTGAAGCATTCTTTCACAATATGCCAAAGAGTATCCCATAATCTGCACTATTGGCCCGATGGGGAGGTTTTTCGAAATAACCTCTGTTCTATCATTACCTAATTGAGTTCTGGGTGCTTATTGCTCGAAAAAAGCACCACATACACGAAGTCTACTGTTGTGAATGTGAACAATGAATAATGGCCATCCCCATATCTTTACATTAAGGACATTTTGTCTGCGTTTTGCCTACCATGATAACATGTTGATTTGGTTGATACAATATTCCTAAGCAATTATACGTTAAATAATCACGTTGTTACATAGATATACATTGTTCTCACAATTGTTTTCACAATGAAACCGGCAAAAGTCCGGACCTGTACACACATGCGCGCGCACACACTCACGCACACACGCACGAACGCACGCACGCACACACACAAACGTCGATGTATAAATACAATAATCTTGAAAACGACGAAAACCCCATCTCACCTACAATTACTGTCCGTATTTTATTGAGGGCAGACAACTCTCGTTTTACTTCCGCTGCTAATGACGCTTTAGCGACAGACGATGGAAATCCACTACTATGAAGGTTAGCGTTGTTTATTTCAAACAGATGCAGATAACTTTGATGTGCCACAGTTTATTGGTGTAATGATGTAGATATACAGTATACTGACAGCTAACACGATAAAGTGTTGTTTCTTCAACTGAACATTGAAGAGTCGAACAAATAAATCCGAAGTTGCTAACGTGTTGCTGGGCTTAATTGGTAAGACTGCCCCCCGTATCCCCCCTCAAAAATCGATTTAACTAAGGGATTGAGCGGCAATGCATACATATACAACTTTTGGAGAGGGGATACGGGCGGAAGTCTTTCCCACACAACACCATGATAGACACGATACCAGCTCTTTGACACAATAGAAAGTTTAAAAACAAATAAAAAATATCCCCATTGATTCACATTTATTAAATTGTTTTTTTCTTTCAGAATTTCTCATCCTTGTGCCAAAATGTAAAATCCCATAACCTGAGGACCCTCACTTAGCCATCTCAGCATGGATCTTATAGAAATAGAAAAGATCATTGACATAGCTGCCAAACGAGGAGACAAAATAGTCAATCTCAGTCATCGAGGATTAACAGTTGTATCAAGCAGCATCCAAAAACTACTGAATGTCCAAAAACTTTCCCTCAATGACAACAATCTCCTGATGCCCCCTTCAGAAATCACAACATTACTCCGACTTGAAGAACTAGTCTTGGACAACAATAAACTCACCATGCTGCCAACCGGAATCGGTAACCTGACAAACCTGAAGTATCTCAGTGTCTGCTTCAATCCACTCGGTGCTCTTCCTTCAGACATTGGACACATGTCGTCCCTCACCCAGCTGTGGGCTGTCGAGTGTCAGCTCATGAATCTGCCACCAGAAATCGGCAGATTGAGACACTTGGAAAAGTTTAGTGTAAGAGGCAATAATTTATCTGGTCTTCCTGCAGAAGTCACAAACCTGAGGAAACTTGTGTGGCTGTGTGTGGCCGAGAATCATCTTCGAGATCTTCCAGATGGGATCGAGGAGTTGAAGATGTTGTCTCACTTAGACTTGAATCACAACAAGTTTGATGCTATCCCAGATTGTGTGCTAAAGTTGTCAGTTCTTGCTAGCCTACACATGAAAGGAAATCGAATCAAATCTGTCTCAGATGACACCATTCTTTCCCTCTCGGACCTCACCAAGCTAGATTTGAGGGACAATGAGTTGTGTGTAAAGCCAAGTCACTGGAAGGTATGTGTGTTTAACGCTGCGTGTCCAAATTAAAATATTTCAATTTCATATTTTCACAAAAACAATTGAAAATAATGATTGAGCTGAACCGTTATTTTCTCCATTATTTGCATCTATAAACATGCGAAAAATGGAAAGTTTCAACATGTTTGCAATCTGTGCCGAAAACATCTTTGAGCTCAAAATTGTCTATTGGCATCATATTCTTAGATTTTATTGTTGCTATATGGACTATTACAAGGCATACTAGACCGAACAAAACTTTGCTAGACTTGGGATTTGGCCTCATGTCTGAAGATGCAGATGGATATTGGTAGGCCAAATTGGTCCAGTCGTCTTAGAATTTTGCAGGACAGAGTTGTGTCCCTTAGGGGTCTCATCATCCAGGGCTCGCATTTCGGTAAACCTACAATAACCCCTGGATCCATTCCCGTGGATCTCACAAAGTCTTAAATTACCTCCCCTTGATACTAGGTCTAACGGACCAATCAGAATGCAAGTTACAAACCAGCCTCAATGTTGGGTTGGTGATATCAACAACATGGCGGTCTGCTCCATTGAATATGAACGAGTTTGCGTGAAATTCAAAATTGAAAGACTGACTTTCATGCAGATTAAAACCCCTAAAAAATCTTTTTGATGGAAATGATGCCTTCACATAGGCGGATCAAGGGGGGGGGGGGGGGGGGGGGTTCATTTGTGAAATATCTGAAAGATATTGAACTGATTTTTTAATAATAAAAAACCCGATTTGGATCAGGTCTTTTTTAAGATACACCGTGGTAAACAAACAAAATAATTGGTGTCAGAGCTCCAGATAAGCTGCGTATCTGCGTAAAATACGCATCAGAAATGCAGAAATACGCCTATCAAGTACGCAACGAACATTACAGATACGCTACAAAAATAAAACTTGTGCGTATCATCAAAATATTGTGAAGTAACCCTGCATATTTCGATAAGCAAATCAGCAACTTATTTTGAAATTATAAACGTCAACCTTGCCAAACTCCACGATGACAGTTACATCATAATCATTTGCCATCACACTTTCTTGTTGAAGTATCGTGGTATTTTTGAGTCCTATAAAGCTCTTGAACCCACACGACACCAGTTTGCAGGGACTAGATGAATAGTGTTTTTAAATATTTAACTTAAATACCCACATGTGTAAAAACTAGTGGGTAACAGAAATTTGAATACCCAGATAGAATTACTGATACCCAATGATTTTAAAATGCATGGGTAAAATACCCACAACACCAAAAGCTTATCTGGAGCTCTGTGTGTACAAGATCCTCAACTTTATGACAGGCTTCACAAACATTGAAACTGAAGGGACACTAGTGGCCCAGTCGTCCCAGGCGCTGCAATCTCCTGTCCAGAGTTGTGTCCCTTGGGCATACACAAACCTATGATCATAGGTTCCAAGCCTGGTTTGTCCCGATTTTGTTTCCCTCAGCACCGTACCCGTGCTCGTCGGTTTCATGAAAGTGGTCAATCTCATTAAAATCAGACCTTACTTCTCGCTACCGCTAAACAAAGATCTGAAGACATCCCATTAGGGGTCATGTCGGAACGACCCTTCATCTGACCAATCAGAGCGTCACTTACCAGATTATGAAAGTGACAGTCGGAATGTGATTTCTACTCATGCAATTTCAAAAACTTTAACACGGGGTATTCCGAACGATAGTTACGGGTTTAACGACTGAATCCTTACAATCTAGACCATCTATTAGCCGTTACAGAATGTTCTTTTGTTTAGGTTTCAAATTTGTATTTGAGAATTTGTCAAAATATGTTTCGAAGCGTAGTCGCCAATTTGAAATTAGTGCCGTAAAGCACGAGAAAGCTTCTTTTATGATTGGTCATTCCATTGGTCGATCAAAGTTCGCGCAAGGTCGGCCTGACGTGACCCGTAATGGGATGTCCTCAGATCTTTGATTAGCGGTAGCGAGAACTAAGATCTGATTTTAATGAGATTGTGAAAGTGGTAAACATCTGAGACCTGCATCACTTTGGGCTTTCTTCCCACATAAAGCTGACACGCTGTGATATAACTGGAATACTGAACAATGCGGCGTTAAACCCAACTCACTCACTCACTTATATTCATATTCATATGCCTCAAATAACTAGTAGAGAAAAGCTAAATGTCATTATTTGTTTATTTTTTTCCCAGCAACTGACCAGGGTTTTTTCAAAATATAACTGTAAACCAAGGCATAAAATAAAAAAAAATCAGCCTAAACTTAGATATATATTTTTGTTTTATTCGAAAAACGGACTGGATTACATTAATCCTAAATAGAACATGAATTGTTTGATAGGCATTCCTTAGAAGTTGACGGATGACAAAGTACACACAATTTTATGGATAACAACTTCTTTCAGTATAGATCCTTGTACCATTGTCAAGAAAGACGGGTATAACAACAAGCAGTCTTGCATGACAACAGTGTAGATCTATACCAGAACATCGCCTTAACAGTAATTAAAGAAGTTGTTATCCATACATGGTGTCTTCCTTGTTTTACCTTATAAACAGCTGATCCGGAAGGAACATGGCCTCTTGTTCATTAGTCTCAGACAAGTGAAAATTTACATGGACTAGTGGTTTTCTCCCAGAATGTAGTTAATCTACACCAGCCACTGGTGAGAAATACGCAGCAGACATGTTGGCTATGACCGATGGCGACTACTTCAGCTGATGAGTGATCTTTTTGTTGTACATTTCAGGGATTGGAATACATTCTTGTTGGAGGCTCAGCTGCCCGACCTTCTGACAAGGATGACCCTGACCCTTCACCTTATACACAACTGCAGCACATCTTGGATGGAGCGAGTGAGGAAAGTGATGGAGAGATGGGGGGAGCTAAGGGGGAACCGTATGAGGCGCTGTCAGGGTGGAAAATTGACCCAAGTGATGAAGATCTACACAATAATGAAGGATAGATGAAATGTACAAGTTTTGAAATTGGCGACACTGTTTGACATGGTAGGGGTGGATGTGCTCCATGAATATAAAGATGTATGTTAAATGACCAGCGTTAATGAGTATGTATGTTATATGACCAGTAGATGTCAAACGTTTTAGCTCCCAATATATTGCAATGCAGATACCTGTACTGCCACACATTTGTTTGCCTATACAAAGCCCTTCTCACTTGACACCAATATCGCTCAAATATTATTGAAAACAGTGTTATCCAAACTCACATTTAAATATAAAAATATCTGCTTTTTTAGAGATGAACAAATGGACTTTTGTAATTGAGAAATGCAATTGACTGTCAAGGATGCCTTTAAATATTTTCATCTCCTCCTTTCTCAGTCAGACTCGGTGACCACTTTCCATTGCTGTAAAGTTTCATGTATGTGCTTGGTTATACATGTATAGAAGTGTTCCAATGCTGAATATTTGCTCACTTTAAAAGTGCCAAAACTGACAGAGCATTACATCAATCCTACTTGGATTTGGGTGAAAATGTGAAACCAAGAGTGAGGGAAAAGGCCGAGAGTGAGGGAAAAGGCCGAGAGTGGGGGAAAAGGCCGGGGGAATAGGCGGAGAGTGGGGGAAAAGGCCGAGAGTGAGGGAAAAGGCCGAGAGTGAGGGAAAAGGCCGAGAGTGGGGGAAAAAGGCCGAGAGTGGGGGAAAAGGCCGAGAGTGAGGGAAAAGGCCGTGAGTGGGGGGAAAAGGCTGAGAGTGAGGGAAAAGGCCGAGAGTGAGGGAAAAGGCCGAGAGTGAGGGAAAAGGCCGAGAGTGGGGGAAAAAGGCCGAGAGTGGGGGAAAAGGCCGAGAGTGAGGGAAAAGGCCGTGAGTGGGGGGAAAAGGCTGAGAGTGAGGGAAAAGGCCGAAAGTGAGGGAAAAGGCCGAGCGTGAGGAAAAGGCCAAGGGCTCAAATGACCTTTCCAGAACTACAAAAAGGAAATTTATTTTTCATTTGGAAACACAAAAAATGTTGTTCAGGTTCTTGCTGTTTTTCTATATGGTTACTATCAATTGTATTCTGTTAACATTGAATGAAGTCAATGTTGTTAGTTTAGACAAGAATGGAATTGTAGGTTTCAAAATGAAATGTGGTGTGATTAGCAGAGAGTCTTTTCACAGATGCATCACAATTTACACCTGACGATACAAGACATGATTTGTTAATCAACGTATGGATTAATGTTTTCGGTTTTCAAGAAGTAATAGTTTGGCAATAACGTAACTTCTCAGTCAAGCATTACCTTATCCCTTTCATGAAACTTTAAGCTGAATCTGATTGCATGATACCTTTACAACAGGGGCACAGGTGACCCAATCGTCTAAGTTGCCGCAATTCGCTGTGCAGGAAAGACACCTTGGGTTCGAATCCCGGTTCGTCCCGATAATGTTTCCAGGTTTGTCAGCACCATATCCCTGCTCGTGGGTTTCACCAAAGTGGTAAACGTCTAAGACCTGCATCACTTCGGGCTTTCCTCCCACATTCCTCCCTGCCGTGATGTATCTTGAAGTGTTCAAAGCGGCGTTAAACCCAACTCACTCACTCCCTCAGCCACTTTTAGAACAAGACTAAAGGAGCTAGTCAGGAGTGTAAACACAAAGTTGTTGATATCAACAAGAACAAATAGTATCACAATGTGTATGATGTCATGTCTCAAGATACGAGTGTATCTGTATGTGATGGAGGTGTATCCTGACAACCCCGGTGATTACACATTAAAATATATTTAAGTTATTAATATGAATTGCTTCATATTATTGGAAGTGAAAACACATTGAACACTAAAAAAGGAAGGCAATTCTTAAAACAGTTATGAAAATTTTATGAAGACTTCAACTTAGCATCCATCGTATCCCAATTGCATGGATCGATGCTCATGATGTCAATCCCTGGATTGTCTGGTCCAGACTCGATTATTCACAGACCGCTGTCATATAGCTGGAATATTGCTGAGTGAGGCATTAAGCAACAAACAAACAAAACAAAATCAACTTAGCCCCAATGATGAGGACAATGCATCAGACACTTACATCAGTATTACATACATTTACCTTCCTAACAGCATTACAATTTTTCCAAAGTTTTCTTATGGTTGGTAAGTATTATCTTCATGTTTCATGGTTATACAGTTTGTTGTTTGTTGTTAATCTGAATAAATACTTTTACTTGTGTAAAGTGATTTTTGTTTTGAGTCTTTCAGTCCATGGCCGTAATCCCGACTGAGTAATGTACGTATACAAAGTTTCATCAAGACATATTGAATGATTTATGCAACAAAAGAAATCAGTTCAGCACTCTCCTGGTGTGTTGCAAAGTTGCACGAAGAAATATAGGACAGTTTATGAGTTATGTTCGGAAACTGAAACTGTTACAGCAATATCACAGCAATAGGACAGACCTTTCACAGCAATAGGACAGACCTTTCACAGCAATAGGACAGACCTTTCACAGCAATAGGACAGACCTTTCACAGCAATAGGACAGACCTTTCACAGCAGTATTTAGAGAATAACCATTGAGATATGAGAATGGCGGATTATGTGGGGAGTCAATGAATGGTGTTAATCCTTAGCCTTTGTCAAGGGGAGTGAGTGAGTGAGTGAGTGAGTGAGTTGGGTTTAATGCCACCTATAACAGTATTCCAGTTGCTGCGTGTCAGCTTAATGTGGGAGGAAAGCCTGAAGTGATGCTTTGTCAGGGGACTTACTGCATTCATTCATGAGGGACATATAATCCGTAATTCTATATGCTACTCACTGTCATTTTAAGAGAGAGACTTCAGTGTAGAAGACAGCCTATTGTTCAGATGACTTCATGACCAATGGATGACATCTCATTATTTTCTCAACAATAAAGCACTGTGTGTCATGTGGCTTCAACTGACCAATCAGCAGTGAGAATTGCTAAAATATCACCTTTTAGCCCAATTCCAACAATATCATAGCAGGGGACAAGAAGAATGGGCATCACACATAGCACCCTTGTGTGCAGTCAAACTTGGGTTTGGCAGGACGAGCCGCCACTTTAACCAGTAGGCTACCCAACCACCTCAGAATGGTCAAGACATACTATTGACACTACATGGCAAAAACAACAAAACAAATGCCTACAATTTCACAAAACAAATTTATTGTTCTGCAGACTTTCATGGCTTGCATGTTAAGTACAAGAAAATATTATGTTGGACTTGTACATTTCAATGGCGATTGACAGATCATGAAATGAGAAGTCTTGCTTTGTACCTGAAGTTCTGTTGTGTCAACTTCAAACATATCAGATCACATACAGGAAAACTAACACGGGACAGTTTCATCATGGCCAATGACATTAAAATCAGATTTCTTATGCGGATACGATGTCTCCATGACTGAAGATCTGAGGACACCTCCACAGAAGGTCGTATCAGGTGGTCTTTCTATTCAACCAAGAAGTATAAAGTAAGTGTTGAGGCATCTAGCATCTCGGTATGAGTGAGCGAAGCATTCAGAATAGCATATATCTATTTTCTGTATCTCGAAAAAGAATATAATTGATGTAATCCGAATGAGAAAAATGGAATTGTTTAGCTATTACATTGTTGCAGACATTTTCTACAACCTGTCTTTTGTACTAGAGGGTATATTTGTGTTCTGTGATGCTTTTTTTTGGCGGAGATCAAGAAATCAAGGCGTGAAGAAATGAAGCAGAATTGTTTCAGTAAGATGACGTCTGATTGGTTCAAGAACGCGCGCAGTGTTCATTTTGATTTGGCGGTCATGTGATTTGCTGACCTATGGAGCTGTCCTCTGATCTGGACACAGAGTGATATCATTAAAGACCTGATCTTTACAAGATTTATATGTAGTTCATTCTAAAAGATAAATGGATTCAGGGTGTGTATGTCCTGTCTGGGGACTAGAATTGTAATGGTCAAAGTTAAATACATGTCCATCCCTCAAAATAAATTAGGTTTATGGTTAATAATTTGCAAGTGATACCATGGTATTTGATTCACCAGTCAAATTTGTTTTTCCAGAAACCTGAAAAAAAATAAGGCTAATAAGTCCACAAACAGACTTCTGTTTCTTCATTGGCTGATAATAGTGTCGGTGGATTTAGAGTTTGTTATTGCGCAGATCGATGTCAATGATTTCGTATCGTTGTCCATGTTTTTTTGGTTAAAATCACATACCGGTAAGCAGTTTGTGAAGTTATTCTTGTTGACTTATTTATCAGAAATGACTTCAATATTATTTTGCATATATGAAGTATAAACAAAACACAGGTTTACCTGTTTATACGTTCACATTGCAATAAATGCAAAACAATAATATAGTCTTAAATAAGTATGAACTGTAAATACGTCAGATACGTGTGCACAATCTTAAAATGACCCCGAAGAAAAATGACAGACAGACAGATACCGGATATATGTTGGTAGGTAAAATTATATTATATTTAATGGTGCAACTTTTCTTGGGATGATTTTTTCTTAGCAGGCTGTCAGCGATTTGATTGAAATTTCTGCTGAAACTGAAACGGTGGGTCGACTGGAATCACAGAAATCGTAGGTTTCTTGCCCATGGGATGCAACTCAGGACAGCCAATTGCGGCGCCTCAGATGACTAGACCAACCCTGTCCCCAGAGACAATAGTGGCAATTGGTGTTTGATTGTAAGGAAGGTAAAATAATGTCATAATTTTCTGATTTATGTGAATTCATCGTGTACACGCTAGTTTGTTACATCATTAATATTTTCACTCATTTCATTTTTGTGGTGACTTAAAAAATATGCCATATTTATACTTGGGACCCTCAAAAAACATTAAAAAAATCAAAAGTTGTATAAATGTAATCACTAACAAGATCAACATGATCATCGGTTTGAGGGTTAAGTGAGTGAATATTGTGCATTATCCTCAATTTTAATTGTTTTTATTTGTATGAAAACAAAATGCAGACTACATCACTATTCAGTCTCCATGGAGATAGATCTACATTTTGTTACAAAACAAAAACTCCATTTTCATAAAATTCATGCGACAGTCAATGTTGCATGTGAAACATTGTACAGAAAATGATTAGAAATTTTTGTATACAAGAAAACATATGCATGAAATCATAACAAATTGACATTTACATGGTCTGGATACTAATGTGACAAAACTTTAGATAGCAAAGAATATGTCCATCAAGGATTTCAATTCATAAGCTTGCTGGATGAAAATATGGAATTTCATTCAAATTCATTTTCTTGTCTGTGTGGTTTCATGGCGTTAACACATGAAATCTAGTTATGTAACTCCATCAACAAGACCGAGCTGTTCGTGATTCTTTCTTCAAATCTACAACCAGGTTATTATAAAGGTGAAGGTCAAGTCTAGCCCAGCTGTTCCGTTTCCCGGATCAGCCAGTCGAGAACTTTCAGCTTCCCTTGTTTCTTCAGCTCGGCTCCAATCACCTCTCGGCACCGCGTGTGGTACTCGTTTAACCAGTCGATCTAAACAGGAGAAAGAGTCTTGTCATGAATCATTATTTGTCCATCAGTATATCTTGTGTCGCCCATCTCTGGATGGTTCTAAACTATTACCCTCCTAAAAGATATACCGTATTCAACGTAATAAGCGCCCCGCTCTAATAAGCACCCACGGCCATATTTGCTAATATATTGGCTAATGAACAATCCCAATTAGCACCCCTTCCGATTGATCAATGTACACACGACTTATTTATTCGTGTATAATACGCACTCGTGTGTTATATGTCTCTTAATTATGGCCAATTAAATCCTGGAAAAATATATCTGTCGTATATAAACATTTCAGGCTGTCAGCATAAACAAAGAAATTTACGGTCTTTCAACTCTGTTTTGTTTCTTCACCAACGTCAAATACGGTAACAGTTTTTATTCAACCATTTGACAGCTTAAATATATATTCAGCCTCATCATTGAAGGGTCACCTAGGTATGTTGGGTGTCAAACATGAACATATGTCAACAAGTGTCAATAGGTCTGAGTATGTTGACATTGTCATTAACAGTTGAAGCACATGTTTACGGCTATGTCATGGATTGGAAGCTTTTATGAAATTGGAAAAATGGACGACATTTAAAAATAATGAAAAGTACAAGATTGAAGGTGATGGAAAGAGCTCCCCAAAACCAACGCATGAATGCAACCAGGGGTTTAGCCCATGCACACATGATGCACATGCACTACACGACAAGTAACAGCAATGTGGGTAAAAAACTGGTTCATTCCAGGAGCAAGTGATCAGTTTTTTCAATACTTTTATCTCTTATCATCTGCTGAGCCCTCAATAATGATATGTATATATTGGAAATACCAAAGTTTTGTTTGTTTGTTGTTTAACGTCGCACTCAGCAATATTCCAGCTATATGAAGGCGGACTGTAAATATTCAAGTCTGGATCAGACAATCCAGTGATTGACATCATGAGCATCAATCCACGTAATTGGGATTGATGACATGCATCAACCAAGTCAGCAAGCCTGACCACCCGATCCCGTTAGTTGCCTCTTACGACAATCAGGGTCACCTTTGACGACAAGCATGGGATGCTGAAGACCTATTCTACCCCGGATCAGAAATAATTCCTGAACAAATGATAATAAATAGATTAAAGGTCACTGTCCACAACTACAGAGGAGCCAGAAAAAGACCAGCTATTTGATGAAACATAGACCACACAAACAAGTGGTCAATAGAGCCAGCAACTTCACCACTGTCGTCAGGGTACAACATTGTCTGTCCCGGAGTTCACCCAACCAGGGACAACTAAAGAATTTATATTCAATATTACAAAGATTATTAAATTTGTCAATTCCATGCCATGAACAAGTCCCATTATGTTTTTGTTTTTTTGCATGATATCCTCGAGATCTTATTATATATTTTCACATTTATATTAAGTGTTTTATATTTTCTTTCTTTTACTGATATGAACAAATCTAAAAGCCACTGTGACATTACAAATCATACTTTTGTTCCATATTTATTAATTTTAAGGATTGCTTTTCACTTTCATAAAAATATAGATCTTTTTCATATTTAACACCATGAACAAATCTGATTCCCATAATTCCCAAAATCTTTACTACCCACTGAATTATGACAAGCACCCTGCAGCATTTGTTGGACAAATTGGCCAGGCGCTTTAATTTGAACATGTGCTTAATACAGCGATCAGGTAATCAAATGAATAACTTATATACAAATCCCAACTATGTCAATCAGGTTGTATTTTACTTGCCTCTTGTTCTGTCAGCAGTGACGGGTCAATCAACTTGGTCTGGATTGGGACTAGTGTAATGGGCTCAAAGGTCAGGTAACCTTTCTTCCGGAAATTGTACTGGAAATGTAAACATGTATTATCAAATATACCGCTTGAGATAATCCAGACATGTATTGGTTAAATATACTGCTTGAGATGAAACTAATCTTGACATGTATTGGTTAAATATACTGCTTGAGATGAAACTAATCTGGACATGTATTGGTTAAATAATCTAGACATGTATTGGTAAAATATACTACTTGAGATAATCTGGACATGTATTGGTTAAATATACTGCTTGAGATGAAACTAATCTTAACATGTATTGGTTAAATATACTGCTTGAGATGAAACTAATCTGGACATGTATTGGTTAAATATACTGCTTGAGATGAAACTAATCTGGACATGTATTGGTTAAATATACTGCTTGAGATGAAACTAATCTGGACATGTATTGGTTAAATATACTGCTTGAGATGAAACTAATCTGGACATGTATTGGTTAAATATACTGCTTGAGATGAAACTAATCTGGACATGTATTGGTTAAATATACTGCTTGAGATGAAACTAATCTAGACATGTATTGGTAAAATATACTACTTGAGATAATCTGGACATGTATTGGTTAAATATACTGCTTGAGATGAAACTAATCTTAACATGTATTGGTTAAATATACTGCTTGAGATGAAACTAATCTGGACATGTATTGGTTAAATATACTGCTTGAGATGAAACTAATCTGGACATGTATTGGTTAAATATACTGCTTGAGATGAAACTAATCTGGACATGTATTGGTTAAATATACTGCTTGAGATGAAACTAATCTGGACATGTAATGGTTAAATATACTGCTTGAGATGAAACTAATGCTTGCCCGCTTGTGGACGGACTTCAAAATACATTTATTTCAAAATATTATGTAAGTATGTGATGCCCCAAAAGAACAAGATCTGTAGACATTGAGAAATTAGGAACAGCTTTAGAAATCATTGTTAAAGTCCACAGTCACTTAAATATGGTCAATGAGAATAAACTTTGCTCTTTTGACACTATGTGACCCATGGACCAGACAATTCATTGACTGATATTATGAGCAACACCACGCTGTCGGGGTCAAAGACACGCAATCAACCAAGTCCCCACACCTGACCACCTGGTCCACTAAAACCCCTCTTACGACAAGCATGGGTTCAAGGGGAACTATTCCAACCAAGTCCCCGCACCGGACCACCTGGTCCACTAAAACCCCTCTTACGACAAGCATGGGTTCAAGGGGAACTATTCCAACCAAGTCCCCGCGAAGGACCACCTGGTCCACTAAAACCCCTCTTACGACAAGCATGGGTTGCAGGGGAACTATTCCAACCCAGAGCCCCCCAGGGTACACATTTCTATAATTACTATAAACTAGGGTGACCGCTAACTTCACTTCATTATAACCGTTGTATCTTAGAAGAATATATGCAGCAAATGGCCAGGACCAAAACATAAGTTTGTTATATCCATCAGTTTGTTAAAAGCGTGTTCATCATAAACGTAGTTGACTGTACATGCACAAGTCATTGAAAATACAATGCCATGCTCATGTTATTAGTTATAGTGTCTTTAGTTGCCATATACGGTGTTATATTATAGAGGTGTCAGCCGAGCCCAATATTTTTCTGCTAACCTAATATAAATGCCACCATATACGGCAACTAAAGACACCATAACGAACTATTATGCTGAAAAGTTTACACTATTTGGTATCCATATCGCAAATTTTGCCTTTTATCAGAGATTTCCTCATCGGTGCTACCAGGAAAGGGTTTGACAGCCATTGCTGATGTCAAAGGGAGACCACTCTTCAAACCTTACGGGCCAAACCTTGTTGAAATTTTGTAACTATAATCTTTATCAATAAAGTCACGAACGTGATCTAAAAAAACGATTAATGTCCTTGCACATCACAATTAATGATAGTAAAACATAAAACAGTGTCAAAAAACGAATTTCGGTGTAAGCATTTCTATGTGAATATGTGAGGTGGGTGTTGCAAAATTCAAGATGGCTGTTACTGACGGTATACGTATATGTTAGGTCAGTAACAACCATCTTGGATTTTTACTGACAGTATAGAGTCTCATGTGGGGTCAGTAGTTCTGCTCTCTGATTGGTCAATCTCACTTTGGCATAATAATAATATATATTACCATGGCATCGTAGGGATACCAGGTTAGAATGCAGATTTCCAGCAACCTATGGAGATAGAGGAACAATGTGCTCGTATTACCTGAGTGTCTGCCTTCACCACAAGCACCAGGCTCTCGATTCTCACTCCGAATTTACCATCTTCATAGTAGCCAGGTTCTGAAAACATGGAATCCTCATGATAGCAACAGCCTCACTGCCTTAGCAGGATATTCATGTTGGTAGTTACAGATATATATTGTGTGTGTTTGTGTGTGTTTGACGTCACACTCAACAATATTACAGTCATGACATGTACAATGGTCTAAAGACAATCGAGTCTGGACCAGACAATCAAGTGATTGATATCTTGAACAACAATTCATTCTGCGGGGGTACGATGACAGGCTATCAACCATGTTGCCAAGTCTGACCACCTGATCCAAGTTCCCACTTTTGCCAAGCATAGGTTGCTACTTGATCAGTTATGTTATTGAACCCGAGATGCGATAAGGTTTTTGTTTGTTGTTTAACGCCATTTCAGAAACATTCCAGCTATATGACGGCGGTCTGTAAATAATCGAGTCTGGACCAGACAATCCAGTGATTAATATCATGAGCATTGATCCACGCAATTGGGATCGATGACATGTATCAACCAAGTCAGCGAGCCTGACCACCCGAATCCCATTAGTTGCCTTTTACGACAAGCATAATCACCTTTCACGGCAAGCATAGGTTGCTGAAGACCTATTCTACCCCGGAATCTTCTGATGCAATAAGGCCATGATAAACTAACTTTTACCTGACACCATTGGGCGGCCATCACTTCATACTTAACAATAACTGCCTCTGTGGACTAGTGGATAGAGGGCCTTCCCAGAGTACAGAACATTCGTGACTGTGTCATATCAAACTAGAACTAAAAGATGGTATTTGATGTTACCTGGGTTGTGCTTGTCATTAAGGCAGAATTATGCCTTCTTCTAGGGGGATTTCTCTAGACCACGGAGGCGGTCCACTTAATAAAGGGTTATATCTCACCATCAGACAGGATCATGCCTTCTTCTAGGGGGATTTCTCTAGACCACGGAGGCGGTCCACTAAATAAAGGGGTTATATCTCACCATCAGAGAGAATCATGCCTTCTTCTAGGGGGATTTCTCTAGACCACGGAGGCGGTCCACTAAATAAAAGGGTTATATCTCACCATCAGAGAGAATCATGCCTTCTTCTAGGGGGATTTCTCTAGACCACGGAGGCGGTCCACTAAATAAAGGGTTATATCTCACCATCAGACAGGATCATGCCTTCTTCAAGGGGGATTTCTCTAGACCACGGAGGAGGTCCACTTAATAAAGGGTTATATCTCACCATCAGACAGGATCATGCCTTCTTCAAGGGGGATTTCTGACAGGGAGACTCTGGGGCTGATACCACACGGACCTGGAACAGATGCAGACATATGTAGGGAGTTAGTTTAATGCTGCTCTTAAATCAGCTTAATGTCAAAGCACAGCCTGCAGTGATGCAGGTCTTAGATGTTTTCCACTTTAATGAAACAAAAAGAGCCCAGATAAGGTTCTGACAGACCTAGAAACAAAAACAGGGATACAACTCATGATCATCAGATCCTGGCATGACTAAGGGATGTAACTCTGCATAGCAAAATGAAGCACAATAGATGACTGTTACACATGTTGAAATAAGTAGACAAATAAAACAAGAATCACACTCCAACAATACCAAAGTTTTCTCCAAAGATGTGTTCTTGAAATTTACTAAAGACCCCCCTCTAAAAACACAAAAGGATTTTCTCTCATATGTTTGGAACCAATATTAAAGAATTTGGTAAAAAAATCAGTGCAACATTTCACTATCATGTAATGGATGAAATAATAATTGTGTTTTTGGTAACATATTACCTAAAAAACGGTGTGTAGGAAGATAAAAACATATCTTTCTAATAAAACGTTTTCTTGACATCTAGCTACAGATGTGATACAAACTGATTTTTATCATGAAATGATGTTTACATGAAATATTATTATTTTCCAGCGTTACCATTATGATGATGATGTTTACGTTACAGAACCTACTCACCCTCATGCACATTAAGGAAAGCCCCAACGCCGTGTCCCGTGCCGTGCAGGTAGTCGAGCCCAGCTTCCCACAGCGACAACCGCGCCAGCGTGTCCAGATTGTGTCCTGGCACATGGAAACATGGGAGTAGGTCAAGTGAGATATAGTGAGTGAGTGAGTGAGTATGGTTTTACGCCGCTTTTAGCAATATCCCAGCAATATCACGGCGGGGAACACCAGAAATGGGTTTCACACATTGTACCCATGTCGGGAATCGAACCCTGGTCTTCGGCATGACGAGCGAACGCTTTAACCACTAGGCTACCCGACCGCCCCTTCAAGTGAGATAGAAAGAACATAGAAGCTACACAGTTACTTGACATTTATGGCAAAGAATGTCTCACTGCATATCCTCTGACAGCGGGAGGAGAGCGAAAGTGTAATCTCATTAAAATCAGACCTCAGATATTGCCGTAGGCATGTTTAATACGTCATGAGAAACAGACAACACAAGACAATGTACATGCACATATTCTTACAGTCAAAACAAAAAACTGCCATGATTTTTTTTTAAGTTGGCATCTTTATGTGTTTTATTTTTCATATCATGTTACCTTTCACATCATTGGGAAACACTGTCCTCGATAGATTGATATGTCCCTTTAAAACTCTTGTGAAACACTCCTGTAACATGAGATTAGTAGACATTATTTGTATGTGTGTGTGTTGTTTGATGCCACTGTCAGAAATACTCCAACTACTGGTATATGACGTCTGCCTGTAAATAATGAAGTCTTGACAATCCAGTGATTGATAGTATGAGCACCGATCCACACTGTTGGAGCACACAGCCAACCAAGTCACCAAATCTGAATACCCGATCATTTGGTCACCTCGAGCGAGCGAGCGAGTGAGTGAGTGAGTGAGTGAGTGAGTGAGTGAGTTAGTAAGTAAGTAAGTGAGTCTTACGGTCGGTCGGTCGGTCGGTCGGTCGGTCGGTCGGTCAGTCAGTGTGTGATTCAGTGTGTGATTCAGTGTGTGATTCAGTGTGTGATTCAGTGTGTGATTCAGTGAGAGAGTGGGAGAGGATGGGGAGAGGGAGTGAGTCAGTGAGTGAGTGAGTCAGTGAGTGAGTGCGTGAGTGTGTGAGTCAGTCAGGGAATAGATTCCTGAATCAACAAGTGAACAGAATACATATGAATATTTTAAAACTAACCTGTTCATATTTAGTGGGACTTCCAAAGTGAACTGTTCTTGTAATATCTGTGGTTCCGTCTCTGAAAGAAGAATAACAATATCTTTGATCTTATTTAGGAAACACGAATTTTCAACATTTTTGGGTATTTCCCTTTTATTCAAAATAGAAGAGGAAGGGAGAATTGCAGACAAGAGTAAATATTGTTTACACAACACTGTCAGCAAGTTCACATCAATGGAGCCAGGGTCACACCAACCAGTGGTCGATAGTGTGATGACACACAATCAGTCAGATCACATATTGTAACCATGGAAACAACCAAGCCCAAATTAATCACCTTTTAACACAAACATGGGAAAAGGGTCCATGTTCTGCCCAGGAATTGCCTAAAGGGAAAAAACATTGTGCTTAATTATTCTTATCTGGCCAGTCATACTGAATATCAGTGGTGGGACAATGCACTGATGCATCGGTGGATCGCGATATTTTACTTCCCGATACAAGTATCGATCTTAGTCGCACACTAAGTACAAAATATCGATTCTAACCTAAAATGTTTACTTAAATGGCTGTTACACCAAACACTAATTAGTAGTGAAAAATGGTAGTGAAAAAGTAAATATTTTCATCTGTTGCGTCATACTTGACACTGCAAACTGTAAATCGTTGGTGTGCCAGGTATTTGACTATCCTGTCTATGAAAAAGATGGCTTACACACCACAGATAAGAGCACTTACAAGTATAGTGATACATATCAGATACGTATCAGATCGCACAGTTGGTGTATCATCCTAGCCCAACTGAATATCGTTCTTTTATGATGAATATCCTGGAACCATTCATTGCAATAGCTTCATTTCTGAAGGATTTCCAAGGATTCAATACTAAAAATAGTCATCAAATCATATTACACTCATGTGCAATTCGTTTTGTTTGCTTGTTTGTTGTTTAAGGCCGCACTCCGCAAGACTCCACATGATACAGAAGACTCCTCATGACAAAGGTGAGGTGAAGTGAAATGGGGTTTAACGTCGCGTCCAAGATTATTGCACTTATATAGCGACGTTCATGACAAAGAAAACTCTTCATCATAGACTAGTAGTACAGAGGACCCATCTTTCACAATACCCAACTGGAGAAACATGTGTGAAGCATATTCACATTCCTCTCCATAATGACAGCGAGACTACTCCCTCCACACTCCATGTACACCTTCTCCACACTCCATGTACACCTTCTCTACACTCCCTCCACTCTCCTCCTACACTCCCCCTCCCTGCTCCTCCTCCTACACTCCCTCCACTCTCCTCCTACACTCCCTCCGGACTCCGTGTACACCTTCTCTACACTCCCTCCACTCTCCTCCTACACTCCCCCTCCCTGCTCCTCCTCCTACACTCCCTCCACTCTCCTCCTACACTCCCTCCGGACTCCGTGTACACCTTCTCTACACTCCCTCCACTCTCCTCCTACACTCCCCCTCCCTGCTCCTCCTCCTACACTCCCTCCACTCTCCTCCTACACTCCCTCCACTCTCCTCCTACACTCCCTCCACTCTCCGTGTACACCTTCTCTACACTCCCTCCACTCTCCTCCTACACTCCCTCCACTCTCCGTGTACACCTTCTCTACACTCCCTCCACTCTCCTCCTACACTCCCTCCACTCTCCGTGTACACCTTCTCTACACTCCCTCCACTCTCCTCCTACACTCCCTCCACTCTCCGTGTACACCTTCTCTACACTCCCTCCACTCTCCTCCTACACTCCCTCCACTCTCCGTGTACACCTTCTCTACACTCCCTCCACTCTCCTCCTACACTCCCTCCACACTCCGTGTACACCTTCTCTACACTCCCTCCACTCTCCTCCTACACTCCCTCCACTCTCCGTGTACACCTTCTCTACACTCCCTCCACTCTCCTCCTACACTCCCTCCACTCTCCGTGTACACCTTCTCTACACTCCCTCCACTCTCCTCCTACACTCCCTCCACTCTCCGTGTACACCTTCTCTACACTCCCTCCACTCTCCTCCTACACTCCCTCCACTCTCCGTGTACACCTTCTCTACACTCCCTCCACTCTCCTCCTACACTCCCTCCACTCTCCTCCTACACTCCCCCTCCCTGCTCCTACACTCCCTCCACTCTCCGTGTACACCTTCTCTACACTCCCTCCACTCTCCTCCTACACTCCCCCTCCCTGCTCCTCCTCCTACACTCCCTCCACACTCCGTGTACACCTTCTCTACGGTCCCTCCACTCTCCTCCTACACTCCCCCTCCCTGCTCCTCCTCCTACACTCCCTCCACTCTCCTCCTACACTCCCTCCACTCTCCTCCTACACTCCCTCCACTCTCCTCCTACACTCCCTCCACTCTCCTCCTACACTCCCTCCACGCTCCTCCTACACTCCCTCCACTCTCCTCCTACGCTCCCCCTCCCTGCTCCTCCTCCTACACTCCCTCCACGCTCCTCCTACACTCCCTCCACGCTCCTCCTACACTCCCTCCACTCTCCTCCTACACTCCCCCTCCCTGCTCCTCCTCCTACACTCCCTCCACGCTCCTCCTACACTCCCTCCACGCTCCTCCTACACTCCCTCCACTCTCCTCCTACACTCCCCCTCCCTGCTCCTCCTCCTACACTCCCTCCACGCTCCTCCTACACTCCCTCTACTCTCCCCCTCCATACTCATGTACCTCATACCTCATGTACTCACCTGTATTGTGCCCCGGAGTCACACAGGTATATTTGGTCAGAGGTGATCGGCTTGTTACTCTCTGCTGAAGGTCTGAAATGTAACAGGTATTTAATCTTAGTGCATTCTTACATTCAGCACTGGACCCTCCATGTCCAACCACGCAGACAATACCTACAATACCTACAAGTCTCCACCTAGAAGTAACCCTGTTGTAAACACAGGTCAATCTTCCAACTTACTTGTAGTGTATGATAGCTGCGTCAGTCCAACTTACTTGTAGTGTATGATAGCTGCGTCAGTCCCTCCAACTTACTTGTAGTGTATGATAGCTGCATCAGTCCCTCCAACTTCCTTGTAGTGTATGATAGCTGCATCAGTCCCTCCAACTTACTTGTAGTGTATGATAGATGTGTCAGTCCCTCCAACTTACTTGTAGTGTATGATAGCTGCGTCAGTCCCTCCAACTTACTTGTAGTGTATGATAGCTGTGTCAGTCCCTCCAACTTACTTGTAGTGTATGATAGCTGCATCAGTCCCTCCAACTTACTTGTAGTGTATGATAGCTGCGTCAGTCCCTCCAACTTACTTGTAGTGTATGATAGCTGTGTCAGTCCCTCCAACTTACTTGTAGTGTATGATAGCTGCGTCAGTCCCTCCAACTTCCTTGTAGTGTATAATAGCTGCGTCAGTCCCTCCAACTTACTTGTAGTGTATGATAGCTGCGTCAGTCCCTCCAACTTACTTGTAGTGTATGATAGCTGCGTCAGTCCCTCCAACTTACTTGTAGTGTATGATAGCTGCGTCAGTCCCTCCAACTTACTTGTAGTGTATGATAGCTGCATCAGTCCCTCCAACTTACTTGTAGTGTATGATAGCTGCGTCAGTCCCTCCAACTTACTTGTAGTGTATGATAGCTGTGTCAGTCCCTCCAACTTACTTGTAGTGTATGATAGCTGCGTCAGTCCCTCCAACTTCCTTGTAGTGTATAATAGCTGCGTCAGTCCCTCCAACTTACTTGTAGTGTATGATAGCTGCGTCAGTCCCTCCAACTTACTTGTAGTGTATGATAGCTGCGTCAGTCCCTCCAACTTACTTGTAGTGTATGATAGCTGCGTCAGTCCCTCCAACTTACTTGTAGTGCATGATAGCTGCATCAGTCCCTCCAACTTACTTGTAGTGTATGATAGCTGCGTCAGTCCCTCCAACTTACTTGTAGTGTATGATAGCTGCGTCAGTCCCTCCAACTTACTTGTAGTGTATGATAGCTGCGTCAGTCCCTCCAACTTACTTGTAGTGCATGATAGCTGCATCAGTCCCTCCAACTTACTTGTAGTGTATGATAGCTGCATCAGTCCCTCCAACTTACTTGTAGTGTATGATAGATGTGTCAGTCCCTCCAACTTACTTGTAGTGTATGATAGCTGTGTCAGTCCCTCCAACTTACTTGTAGTGTATGATAGCTGCGTCAGTCCCTTCAACTTACTTGTAGTGTATGATAGTTGCATCAGTCCCTACAACTTACTTGTAGTGTATGATAGCTGCGTCAGTCCCTCCAACTTACTTGTAGTGTATGATAGCTGCGTCAGTCCCTCCAACTTACTTGTAGTGTATGATAGTTGCATCAGTCCCTCCAACTTACTTGTAGTGTATGATAGCTGCATCAGTCCCTCCAACTTACTTGTAGTGTATGATAGCTGCATCAGTCCCTCCAACTTACTTGTAGTGTATGATAGATGTGTCAGTCCCTCCAACTTACTTGTAGTGTATGATAGCTGCGTCAGTCCCTCCAACTTACTTGTAGTGTATGATAGCTGCATCAGTCCCTCCAATTTACTTGTAGTGTATGATAGCTGCGTCAGTCCCTCCAACTTACTTGTAGTGTATGATAGATGTGTCAGTCCCTCCAACTTACTTGTAGTGTATGATAGCTGCGTCAGTCCCTCCAACTTACTTGTAGTGTATGATAGCTGCGTCAGTCCCTCCAACTTACTTGTAGTGTATGATAGCTGCATCAGTCCCTCCAACTTACTTGTAGTGTATGATAGCTGCGTCAGTCCCTCCAACTTACTTGTAGTGTATGATAGCTGCGTCAGTCCCTCCAACTTACTTGTAGTGTATGATAGCTGCATCAGTCCCTCCAACTTACTTGTAGTGTATGATAGCTGCGTCAGTCCCTCCAACTTACTTGTAGTGTATGATAGCTGCATCAGTCCCTCCAACATACTTGTAGTGTATAATAGCTGCATCAGTCCAACTTACTTGTAGTGTATGATAGCTGCATCAGTCCAACTTACTTGTAGTGTATGATAGCTGCGTCAGTCCCTCCAACTTACTTGTAGTGTATGATAGTTGCGTCAGTCCCTCTAACTTACTTGTAGTGTATGATAGCTGCATCAGTCCCTCCAACTTATTTGTAGTGTATGATAGCTGCATCAATCCCTCCAACTTACTTGTAGTGTATGATAGCTGCGTCAGTCCCTCCAACTTACTTGTAGTGTATGATAGTTGCATCAGTCCCTCCAACTTACTTGTAGTGTATGATAGCTGCGTCAGTCCCTCCAACTTACTTGTAGTGTATGATAGCTGTGTTAGTCCCTCCAACTTACTTGTAGTGTATGATAGCTGTGTTAGTCCCTCCAACTTACTTGTAGTGTATGATAGATGTGTCAGTCCCTCCAACTTACTTGTAGTGTATGATAGCTGTGTCAGTCCCTCCAACTTACTTGTAGTGTATGATAGCTGCGTCAGTCCCTCCAACTTACTTGTAGTGTATGATAGCTGCGTCAGTCCCTCCAACTTACTTGTAGTGTATGATAGCTGCATCAGTCCCTCCAACTTACTTGTAGTGTATGATAGCTGCGTCAGTCCCTCCAACTTACTTGTAGTGTATGATAGCTGCGTCAGTCCCTCCAACTTACTTGTAGTGTATGATAGCTGCGTCAGTCCCTCCAACTTACTTGTAGTGTATGATAGTTGCATCAGTCCCTCCAACTTACTTGTAGTGTATGATAGCTGCGTCAGTCCCTCCAACTTACTTGTAGTGTATGATAGCTGCATCAGTCCCTCCAACTTACTTGTAGTGTATGATAGCTGCGTCAGTCCCTCCAACTTACTTGTAGTGTATGATAGCTGCGTCAGTCCCTCCAACTTACTTGTAGTGTATGATAGCTGTGTTAGTCCCTCCAACTTACTTGTAGTGTATGATAGCTGCATCAGTCCCTCCAACTTACTTGTAGTGTATGATAGCTGCGTCAGTCCCTCCAACTTACTTGTAGTGTATAATAGCTGCGTCAGTCCCTCCAACTTACTTGTAGTGTATGATAGCTGCATCAGTCCCTCCAACTTACTTGTAGTGTATGATAGCTGCGTCAGTCCCTCCAACTTACTTGTAGTGTATGATAGCTGCGTCAGTCCCTCCAACTTACTTGTAGTGTATGATAGCTGCATCAGTCCCTCCAACTTACTTGTAGTGTATGATAGCTGTGTCAGTCCCTCCAACTTACTTGTAGTGTATGATAGCTGTGTCAGTCCCTCCAACTTACTTGTAGTGTATGATAGCTGCATCAGTCCCTCCAACTTACTTGTAGTGTATGATAGCTGCGTCAGCCCCTCCAACTTACTTGTAGTGTATGATAGCTGCGTCAGTCCCTCCAACTTACTTGTAGTGTATGATAGCTGCATCAGTCGCTCCAACTTACTTGTAGTGTATGATAGCTGCGTCAGTCCCTCCAACTTACTTGTAGTGTATGATAGCTGCATCAGTCCCTCCAACTTACTTGTAGTGTATGATAGCTGCGTCAGTCCCTCCAACTTACTTGTAGTGTATGATAGCTGCGTCAGTCCCTCCAACTTACTTTTAGTGTATGATAGCTGCATCAGTCGCTCCAACTTACTTGTAGTGTATGATAGCTGTGTTAGTCCCTCCAACTTCCTTGTAGTGTATGATAGCTGCGTCAGTCCCTCCAACTTCCTTGTAGTGTATAATAGCTGCATCAGTCCCTCCAACTTACTTGTAGTGTATGATAGCTGCATCAGTCCCTCCAACTTACTTGTAGTGTATGATAGCTGTGTCAGTCCCTCCAACTTACTTGTAGTGTATGATAGCTGCGGCAGTCCCTCCAACTTACTTGTAGTGTATGATAGCTGCATCAGTCCAACTTACTTGTAGTGTATGATAGCTGCGTCAGTCCCTCCAACTTACTTGAAGTGTATGATAGCTGCGTCAGTCCCTCCAACTTACTTGTAGTGTATGATAGCTGCGTCAGTCCCTCCAACTTACTTGTAGTGTATGATAGCTGCATCGGCTCCTATACTGGATATTGTATCAAAACTGAGACTGACGAAGTCCTCCTGCTGCCTGGAATAAAATAAAAAATAGTAGTTAGGCGAGTGAATGGAGTTATCCCCCTTGAGTGATTTTTCATGGATTCAAGGTATGTTTTTTCAGTGCTTAAGTTTGTTTAGGTTTTACTGCACCAAATCAGAATCAGTCGTTCGACAAGGAGTTTTCGTAGAGAGCCTTCAGTGCACACTGAATCATCTCGCAGCTGTGATTAGATGATTTTGTGTAAGAATATTATTTCTTTGAAATGTACATGTCTTTCTATATTTAGTGCTGACTTTTTCAACATGATGACGTATGCTGAATGGGACCACAGATATTTTCAAGCAAATGATTTGGTGCAGAACTGAGGGTGGTGTGTTTAGCTTCCTGTACACGGAAAAGTAGCTGGCTAAGCTAGTCATTTATTTTGTTTTTACTGCTGCCCTAAGGCCAAACTGTGCACACATATACAGGTCATAGCTGTTGAATGCTAAGTTATTTTTAAAAAGTTACAACGTTTCTATAGAAGCCTATGGGAAAACAATTGATTCTGTGTAACCGTTATGGATAACATTGTTGGTGTGAGTTATTTGGTATATCTGTTGGTGAAGTGCACTGTAAAAGGATACAAGCATTGGCATTTCTTAACATTAAACATATTTACTGAGGCTGAGGCGTATTTGTCCTCACTTAACTTTGTCAATACTTCTGAAAACAGTAACATGGTAAAGGAAGATAATAAAACTGCCCTAACTGTACTGCACTGACAGATCACAATAACAATAAGATCTATAACTTTGTCCAGTTCGTAGTTGTTGTTGAAAAAAACATTTTGATGGATTTTCATGATTATAATGCCATGATAGGAACATTTAGAAATACCTTGTTGTTTTAAGTTGATTCCTTATACAATTTGTGAAAAAAGGTGTGCTCCGAAAAGAAGGTAGTTGTTTGTTTGAAGTTATCTAAATTATTTCAACTGTATTACTTTTAATAAGTAATAATAATAATAGTCCATTTATATTGGTCTGTACTCCATGCATAAGCATGCTCTAAGCGCTTAGACATTATTACCCCAGTCATTGGATCAGTGTGCACTCAACAATCAATCTCAGCTCCCTGGGGAGTATACAACCCAAGCTGCCTGTTAGGCGCAAGAAGGTTAACAACCACATTGCCATCTCATCCTACCAGGTACCCATTCACTGCTGGGTGAACATTTCATAGTGAATCGTGCAAGGAGTCACCATGTGGTACATGTGCTTCAGTGTGGGGCAGGACCGAAGCCCTAGAAACTCTCAGGAACAAAGCTGCCGAACACGGTCACCCATCCAAGGACCCTCCGTAACCGACTTTGCTTAACTTGTGATTTACCTGATTTATGACCTGTGCGCTGTGCATGGGGCCACATGCCACCACTTTTCCAGCATTAAGAATTTACCTTCTGAATCCCTCCAACTTATCGGCCGCTGAAACCTCTGTGACTGTACCGTGGGAGACCTGAAACGATGTAGGTTAGTATAAGGTGTCACAGTTGTTGATCTACTATAATCCTGGGTAAGGAAAATACAACAGACAACATCCTCAATTACCCAGTGTATTATATCTCCCTTCTATTACAAATACTTATGCTCATGCAACCTTCGAAATTGATTAGTGGATCCTTGATCCAACAAGGGAAGCAACTCTGCACAGCATTGCTGAAGTGGGGGTCTAAACTTGATATGAGTGTTTATATACATAAAAAATAATAAGTCTCCCACCCAACATTTATTTAACTATGGATTGAAAATGAAATAAGTAATTTTATTGTGGCCATATCCAGCGTGATCATATCGTGTTTCAGTATGAAGATTATCTTATACTCACATCTTTCTCAAGCCAGTGGAAGAATTCACAGACTGCTACAGCATCCTTGATCTACAACCAACAGTATATAACATTCTGATACAATCAAACCTTTTTGATTGTAATCTCAGAATTAACATGACGAAACACACTGTGAGTTTTCCAGATCCTACACGATCCTAGTCGAGGCCATGTTTGTAATACAGGGCACCTGACATTGAGCTTGGACGTTGACAAGGTTTGACTCAGCTTAAGCCTTATTCAATTAGTTGATTTGGTTCTGCATGGCCAGAGATCGAAATATATATATAAATAGAACTGAACCTTTCAATTAATTTTAACAAATGTTAAAAACATAGGGTTGCACAGAGTAAGATTTCAAACAAAGTCATTTCCCAAAGAAGACACCACATGTGCTACATGTACTTCTAGTGTGGGGCCCTAGAAACTGTCACGAGTCAAGCTGCCCTACACCGTCCCCATCCAACTTCTCCCCCCAACATATTAGCAAATATCGTCATGGACGCTTATTAGAGCGGGGCGCTTATTACGTCGAATACAGTATTTCCTTTTTTTAATCATGAAACCTCTTACAAAGAGACCCAAACCTTCACAGAAGTATTAAATTGCATCCATTGATCCTCCACTGTAAACAGTATCTGCATTTATTGGTTCCTTCACCTTATCACAAACAGTTTACAGTTCAGTGATACATAGTTTAAATTTATTACCTACGAGGGCAAACACATCGGAGTTCATAAAAATCATATGTGCCCTAGGGACATATCACGTAACGAGACAACAGTGTATTGTATCCGTCATCCAGACTGCATTGTTGACGTCATTCGAATTTTATTGTGCGGCGAGGTCGGAATGATGTCAAACTAGAAACGACGTCACAGCTGAAGATTGTTGATGTCATTCAACAAATTGTGGTTCCGCTGCTGTTGCGACTTGCTGTCCTTATAGGTAAACACTAAAATTTGTCTCTGTATGTAGACGTCTTCTGCGGTAATAAATAGAACATTATAGTCGTGTTCATGTCATACTATGTTTAAGACACTCATGCCTAAATTCCGGCTATCACTCGAGAAATAACAGAAATTAGACACTCGTGTCGAAAACATAGTATGACATGAAGACTCATATAATATCCTCTATGTGTCGTGAACACAATGGAATATAAACTTTCAGATCTTTAAATTGTTTTGTCACCAAAAGGTAAAGCTTGAATACACCCATCTTGCCCTAATATCTCACAAATCTGGAGCTTCATCATTTTCAAACATTTCATTTCTTTATTGGGTTAGATGAGATTGAAAAGCAGTAAATGTGTCATGTTGGTCTAGTTTGTTAGTTCAAAATAAGTCAAAATGTAAAACCAAATCTTTAATATATCAATAATTTCCACACAACATCATATGCATCAATTCCACACACAAATATTGGTCAGTAAGCATCAAACACGCAAAACCATAGTGTGGGTTGAATTTTTGTTAAAAACTGCAACAGTTGGAGGGGTACAATTTCATGATCTGTAGATCCAGACCATCTGCTTCCTTTTTCCTCCAATAAACCCAATATTTATAATATTTTGATTATGACAGAATGATAGACTTCAATAATAATAACTTGGGCAGTACTTACATGTGCCCTCCTCATGCCCTGTATCTCCACGTCATTCTTGACAGCTTTGAAGGCAGCGACCGGTGAGGGGGACGTAAGGCGGTTCAGCTGCAACAGGAGGTTCACAGACTAGAGACTTGGCGTCATGACAGTCATAGCTCGTGTGTAAACATACTGGTCCCTGTTGTGAGTCAATTGAGAGTTCAACTCCATGCCTGGTTGGAAAGCATCTGGCACAGCGCAGAGTTGTGATAGTACACAGAGCTCCACAAATTGGCTATCACTGTAAGGAGCTTGGCTAGTTTAAAGGGGAGATAAGCCCAAATTGAACAGGTTGAAGACCACTGTCATTCAACCATGGTGAATAAGAGATACGGTGTCAATAGAAGTAATAAAGCCATGAGGCTCTGCATTCTCGATTATCCATTGTATTAAACCTCCCTCCAAATGACATGCTAAAAATCAACCTACTATACAAACATTCATGATCGAACAAGCTGTACTATAACCTGTACTCAACCCAACTTTGTCAAATACAACACCCCACAACGCCTTCTTGCAGGACTTCCATCCCCTATGTTGGAAAAACATCTTTTCCAGCTGAAGATTCATTGATGACAGTCTTCAGATTTGATTACATATTCTTAGGGTTAGTTCACATTAAGCTGTGGTTTTGAACGTAGACATGTGCTGAACTTGCCTTCAGAGTAGGCATTATGATTGGCTGCTGATTCCAAGCTCATGAGGGAGAGGATTTCCGAGGTAAGTTGGCGATAAGAGACTTGGAGCTGGTGACATCCCATTTCCTTACAAAGCTTATGTTTATAATATTTGTTTAACGTCGTACTCAGCAATATTCCAGCTACATGACGGAGATCTGTAAATAACAGTAATCGAGTCTGGACGAGACAATCCAGTGATTGATATCATGAGCACCAATCCTAGCAATCGGGATACGATGACATGCATCAACCAAGTCAGCGAGCCTGACCACCCGATCCCGTTAGTCGCCTTTTATAACAAGCAGGGGTTGCTGAAGACCGATCCTAACCCAGATCTTCACGGGTTGCAAAACTATTAAAATATGGGTGGTGGGTATATATCATAATAGACTGTAGAGGTAGAGGGTTTGTGTGTGTGCTCTGTATTCTCAAGTGCACACCATACCCAAGAAAATATGTTACATAATAGTACCAGTGAACTGAATTTGGCCAAAATAACAGTTGCCAATTCAGATCAGAACATTTAGAGACACTATTACTGTGATTATACAAGCAACGAACATCAAACAGAAACGTATGGTAATTCTTACCTTAGGAATAAGACTGACCAAGGCATAACTTGACTTTTCACTGATCTACAATCAAATATTCACACATTGTCAACAGTTACACCCAGAAACAAACCGTATACAGTGGTGTATGGAGTCTGTTCCGAAAACCTTTCCAATGCTTTCCAATATTTTTCCAATGAATACCAATATTTTTCAAATGCTTACCCATATTTTTCAAATGCGTACCCATATTTTTCAAATTATACCAATATTTTTCAAATACCTACCCATATATAGCTTATGCTCACCCATATTTTCCCAATGAATATCAATATTTTTTAAATGCTTACCCATATTTTCAAATGCTTACCCATATTTTTTAATGAATATCAATATTTTTCAAATGCTTACCCATATTATCTTATGCTCACCCACATTTTTCCAATGAATACCAATATTTTTCATATGCTTACCCATATTTTTCAAATGCTTACCCATATTTTTCCATCACAAGTCTCAGCCAGACAGGCAACAAAACTCTTCATATCTTCATACGGGTGTATCTCGACGCTGAGACTCCCATCTGAGTTGACCGCCCCCTTCAGCTCCAGGTGCTGAGTGACTGCTTTGTCCACCTTGCTCTCGTCAATAAATAAACTGCAGGCAGGAGAGACAAGGGATATTGTGTGAAAAGATTTCACATGGTTCATACACAACTTGAGGCAAAATAAGACCTTTTAATGCTTTTTCAAAGCAGTGATCACACTTTCTTAAACACCTTATATCCTAGTGCTAAAACATCTTAGTTCCTACAGAATCACCACATATGCAGGTGCAAAAACATCTTATATGCTAGCGCTAAATAACCAGATACCCTCATGCAAAAAGCACCTAAATCTCCTTAAATCCTGGTGCTGAAACACCTTCTATATCATAGTGCGAAAACCAATTTATGACCTAGTGCTAAAACCACCATACATCCAAGTGCTAAAACATCTTATAAGCCTAGTGCTAAAACACCTAATATCCTAGTGCTAAAACACCTTAAATATTAGTGCTAAAACCACCAAATATCCAAGTGCTAAAACACCATATATCCTAGTGCTAAAACCACCATATATCTTAGTGCTAAAACAACTTATATCCTAGTGCTAAAACACCATATATCCTAGTGCTAAAACCACCATTATCCTAGTGCTAAAATACCTTAAATTATAGTGCTAAAACACCTTATATCCTAGTGCTAAAACCACCATATATCTTAGTGCTAAAACACCTTATATCCTAGTGCTAAAACACCTTAAATTATAGTGCTAAAACCACCATATATCCTAGTGCTAAAACCACCATATATCCTTGTGCTAAAACACCTGATATCCTAGTGCTAAAACACCTTAAATTATAGTGCTAAAACAACAAAATATCCAAGTGCTAAAACATCATATATGCTAGTGCTAAAACCACCATATATCTTAGTGGTAAAACACCTTATATCCTAGTGCTAAAACACCATATATCCTAGTCCTAAAACCATCATATATCTTATTGCTAAAACACCTTATATCCTAGTGCTAAAACACCTTATATTCTAGTGCTAAAACCACCATATATCTTAGCGCTAAAACACCTTATATCCTAGTGCTAAAACACCTTAAATTATAGTGCTAAAACCACCATATATCCTGGTGCTAAAACCACCATATATCCTTGTGCTAAAACACCTTATATCCTAGTGCTTAAACACCTTATATCCTTGTGCTAAAACACCTTAAATTAAAGTGCTAAAACCACCAAATATCCAAGTACTAAAACACCTTATATCCTAGTGCTATAACCTCCTTATATCCTAGTGCTAAAACACGTTAAATTTTAGTGCTAAAACCACTTTATATCCTAGTGCTATAACCACCTTATATCCTAGTGCTAAAAACACCTATAAATTTTAGTGCTAAAATCACTCCAAGAGGTAAATCCCCTTATATCCTAGTGCTAGTCCTTAAATCAGTAAACAATCTGTGAACTTACTACACTCCATCGAAGGTTATGACTGAGTAGGAGAAGAACACTGGGTTGTACTGGATGTCGGATCCTCGGAGGTTGAACAGCCCTGTTGAGATATAACATGAGTGTGAAACACCGGGGGAAGACTACTGACGCAGTAGTTGTATCAGAAAGCATTTCTCCAAGACCGAGTGAGTGATTTGGGTTTCATGATGCTTTAATGACAATGTGTCAGCTTGATGGGGGTGAAATCCTAAGGTAGTGCATGTCGTACACATTCCCCCCTTTGGTACCACCCATGAGCATGGCGTTGATCAACCCTGGATCATAGCTGGGGCGAGTCCTCATGGTGCAAGACTTTCCAGTTCTAGTTGTGAGATATGGCACAAAAGGCGCACTCTCTTCATGAGATTTGAGTGGACAGCTATTGTTAGTATCAAGTCATTCGATCCAAACTCCAAACAAAGTATAATGGGAAATGGATCCAGGATATTATCATAATAGAGATATAGAGATACAGTGGTCCCTCGCTACAAAGCTACCAATGGGGTCCAAATAATTGGTGGGCATTATAGACGATGAGCCGTTTAACTGAGGCCGAGGTGGGGGAGCGCGCTCGGCCAATCTCACGATCTTCGCCTTGTCTCGCACATTGCAATGATACAAGTTGTTTACCGTTCATAGTGTAAAAATATAAATCCATTATGTTTTTGCTGTTTGTTATTATTTACAAGCCTTAACTGTCACATTCAATGTGAATGTAGTCTACTTACATGAAAATATCGATCGATAATGGTAGTAACAGACGCTACGAGTGAAGAGCCAATCACCATTCATTACACAAGTACAGAGTGTTTCAGTGGCATTGATTGGTCATGTTGCTTAAAATACGGAAAACAAGAGTTTTGACCAGCACTATCCGCATTCAAACACATTCATACAAATATAAGATACTCATTCAAGCCAGATTAATTGGTTTGATACGGTTACTTGATCCGAATCAAAAGGAATGACCGCCGTGTTGTGATATATAGAGATGGGGAGATAATACCCTGGATACGGGAGGATGGTGTACTAGCAGCTGATGGAGAAGAACCACCTCAGGCTACAGTCACATATATATCTAAAAAAACCTCAAATCATCACTTATGATGTGCTGCAAAAACTCTTTATCATGTACAATCATGTGTTATAGTCATATACAAGGTACATGGTACATTCATAAAAAGCATGACACCCATTTCTCATTATAATATACATAATGCTGAGTGAGCAAATGTAGTTTAACGCTGCAGTCTGCACTCTTCAAGCCTGTAAATCATTGAATCTGGACAAGCCCAACCAGTGACTGAAAGCATGAGCATGGATCTACGCCATTAGGGTACGATGACATGCTATCATCCAGAGGCGTGTTCAGGAGGTCGGGTGCTCGGGATATTACGCGAGCGCGCGCTGTTAAACACAGCTAACTACGCGAGCGCACGCATGCACTCGCCATCGAGCCTGAGAGGTAGTTCGCCTCGTAATCCAAGATGGCGTTGCACATTGAACAAATGTTTGCCTTTGACGAGAATGGAACCGATGTCAATAGAACAATCTCTAAGACTACATCTACCATCAAAAAGTTATTTTTGCATTTTCAATATATTGACCCGTGATGATCAGGGAAGACAATAGGTCTTCCGCAACCCATATGTTTGCCGTAAGGATCGAGTGATAAGACTCGCTGACTTGGGTCATGCATGTCATCGTATCCCCATTTCACAGACCGATGCTCATGTCGATTGCTGGATTGTCTGGTCCAGCACAGGGACATGTAACTAATAATAAAAATAAACACTTTGTTATCATGAACATCAAAGTATGAACCTATCAAACTTGTGATGAAATTAAATGTGTGAACCTATGACACTTGAGGACAGGGCTGTTTGGATCCCCGACGACGCCATTTTGGATGCTGTGCCATCAGAGCGAGTACGCACCTCCCGTTCAGAAAGGCGTGATACTGCCTCACTGTACTCTCGTGCGGTCCCTCGCCCTCCTGAACACGCCTCAGCTCACGAAACATGCCCACCCACCTCCACTTCAATAGACTCATTCGATAAGCATGTGGTACTAAGGACATATTCTGACTTGGAAACCTGCAAGTTATTTTATACAAGGAAAGAGACTAAAATTCAGAACATATTGACCCAAATAGGAGACAAGATGGTGGTACCCACATGCGATCTCGTCGAGGGCTGTGATTGCGATGGCGGTGGCCTGCTTGCTGTGGAGCTTCTCCCTCACCCGCTTCACCTTCTCCTGCCACGTCTGACCTGCAACAGCGTTAACGTTAACACTCAGTGTAGTCTCTAAACAACAGCTTCTTGTATATTCCTGAGCGAGCACCAGAAGGGGGTTGTTTGGGGTTGGGGGTGGGTTTGTGGGGTCCCTATATAACATTTACCTGTATATTCCTGAGCCAGCACCAGGAGAGGGTTGTTGGGTGTAGGGGTTGGGGGTTGGGGCCTCTATACGGTGTTGGGGCAGGGGGTGGGGGTCGCTATACAACAGTTACCTGTATATTCCTGCGCCAGCACCAGGAGAGGGTTGTTTGGGGGTGGGTGTGGGGGATGGGGTCTCTACAACAGCTTTCTGTATATTCCTGAGCCAGCACCAGGAGGGGGTTGTTGGGGGTGAGGGTGGGGTCTCTATACAACAGCTTCCTGTATATTCCTGAGCCAGCATCAGGAGGGGGTTGTTGGGGGGGTTGGGGTCTCTATACAACAGTTACCTGTATATTCCTGAGCCAGCACCAGGAGGGGGTTGTTGGGGGTGAGGGTGGGGTCTCTATACAACAGCTTCCTGTATATTCCTGAGCCAGCACCAGGAGGGGGTTGTTGGGGGGGGTTGGTGGTTGGGGTCTCTATACGGTGTTGGGGTGGGGGTGGGGGGTCTCTATACTACAGTTACCTGTATATTCCTGCGCCAGCACCAGGAGGGGGTTGTTGGGGGGTGGGGGTCTCTATACAACAGTTACCTGTATATTCCTGCGCCAGCACCAGGAGGGGGTTGTTGGGGGGTGGGGGTCTATCTTCCCACACCATGTCCACCAAGTTCTGTGACACCTGCACCAGGCTGTGACCATTAGACTTCAACTCTTTTGCCAATGGCTTCCACTGCTCTGAAATAACACAAGACAAGTGACATTTCCAGATCATGTTTGCACTTCAGGAATATGCCACTCTCTGAAGGAGCATTACCCTTGGGAAGTTGACAGTCCAAGAAAGTAGGATTCAACAGTCAAATACCAAAGGATAATACTTGCTTTAATTCAGAGTTTCACAAGAGGTGAGGTGAGGAGAGGTTTAGTGTTGCATTCAAGATTATTGCATTTATATAGCGATGTGTATGTGTGTCAATTCTTACCTTAAATGTATTCTTTAATAAATGTTACACCAAACACTAATTATTAGTGAAAATGAGTAGTGAAAACATAAATATTTTCATCCACTGTGCCATACTTGACACTGCATACTATAAATTGTTAGTGTGCCAGGTATTTGACCATCCTGTCTATGAAAAAGATGGCTTTCGTACCACTGATAAGAGCACATGATAGGTATCGGATCGTGTGCAAGCAATCATGATATGTATCAGATAGCACGGTTGGAGTATCTTCGCAGCCCTAGATACCATGTCACAGTTTAAAATGAATACCCCACTCAGACACAGTATACTGACTCTGAGCAAACCAGTCTTTGTTTTATTCCCTTAATGCCGAGCGCCAGGCAGGGTAACAACAAGTGCCATCTTTTAACGTCTCTTGGTATCAGTTGGCCAGGGTTCGAACTCCCAACCGTCAGCTTTCCAGGCAAACACTCTATCCACTAGGCCACGGAGGCAGTACACAGGTGACCAGCCACACACTGTAAATACTTACCTACAGAAAACAGAAAGGGGTCGACACCAACTCTCCCTTCAGTCGGCAGCTCCTGAACGAGAATGGATGATGCAGCACAAGTTAAATGAGTGAGAATTTGCTTTGCAGATTCAATTATCATTGAAATATTTGCCATCATTAATTGTTCCATGACATCATAGTATTTCATTGATGTCTGCAGCTGTTTGAGAAAGAGTGAGTGACTTGGGTTTAACACCGCTTTTAAGAGTATTATCAGTTAAATCGCGGCGTGTCAGCTTAATGTGGGAGGAAAGCCCGAAGTGATGCAGGTCTCAGATGTTTACCACTTCGGTGAAACCCACAAGCATGGGTATGGTGCTGACAAACCTAGAAACATAATCGGGGCGAACCGGGATTCGAACCCACAATCATAGGTGCCTGGCATGCAACTCTGCACAGTGAATCGCGGCGCCTTAGATGACTGGGCCACCCGTGCCCCCATTAGTGAAAGACAGTGCCATGGAAAAGTACAAAGAATATAAAAAATGTTGATAAACCTTATTTGTTTTTTCAGATGAGTGCGTCTTATCAAGAACACACAATGTTTATGGTTCACACAAGTGGCATCTTAGCTTCGGCATCTTAGCGTCTCCATGGCTGCACCCTCATGATGATTTATATCACAAAACTTGATAATATCTGATAATGTTATAGATTACACATTACCAAGATAACATGTAAATGCAGAGCTCCAGATAAGCTTTTGGTGTTGTGGGTATTTTACCCATGCGTTTTAAAATCATTGGGTATCACTAATTCTATCTGGGTATTCAAATTTCTGTTACCCACTAGTTTTTACACATGTGGGTATTTAAGTTAAATATTTAAAAACACTATTCATCTAGTCCCTACAAACTGGTGTCGTGTGGGTTCGAGAGCTTTACAGGACTCAAAAATACCACGATACTTATACAAGAAAGTGTGATTGCAAATGATCATGATGTAACTGTCATCGTGGAGTTTGACATTGCCATAAAAGGCGACTAACGGGATCGGGTGGTCAGACTCACTGACTTGGTTGATGCATGTCATCGTAGCCCAATTGCGTGGATCAATGCTCATGATGCCAATCACTGGATTCTCTGGTCCACACTCGATTATTTACAGACTGCTGTCATATAGTTGGAATATTGCTGAGTGCAGCGTTAAACAACAAACAAACAGATCCATTTTATATAGCATAATAATCATAAGAAGGGTAACTTCATCCTTTCATCTATTGATGTCTTTACCTTAACTAACCATTCTGCTTGAGTGGGTGTGTCCTTCAAACCTATTGAAACAAAACAGGGATTTTGATATTAGATACATTTAAATCATCACATACCATTTACCATATTGATCATATCATAGCCCTTATAACTGATACCAAACAACACATGCCAAATCCCTTATAACTTATACCATACAACACATGCCATATCCCTTATAACTCATACCATACAACACATGCCATATCCCTTATAACTCATACCATACAACACATGCCATATCCCTTATAACTCATACCATACAACACATGCCATATCCCTTATAACTCATACCATACAACACGTGCCATATCCCTTATAACTCATACCATACAACACATGCCATATCCCTTATAACTCATACCATACAACACATGTCATATCCCTTATAACTCTTACCATACAACACATGCCATATCCCTTATAACTCATACCATACAACACCTGCCATATCCCTTATAACTCATACCATACAACACATGCCATATCCCTTATAACTCATACCATACAACACATGCCATATCCCTTATAACTCATACCATACAACACATGCCATATCCCTTATAACTCATACCATACAACACATGCCATATCCCTTATAACTCATACCATACAACACATGCCATATCCCTTATAACGCATACCATACAACACATGCCATATCCCTTATAACTCATACCATACAACACATGCCATATCCCTTATAACTCATACCATACAACACATGCCATATCCCTTATAACTCATACCATACAACACATGCCATATCCCTTATAACGCATACCATACAACACATGCCATATCCCTTATAACTCATACCATACAACACATGCCATATCCCTTATAACTCATACCATACAACACATGCCATATCCCTTATAACTCATACCATACAACACGTGCCATATCCCTTATAACTCATACCATACAACACATGCCATATCCCTTATAACTCATACCATACAACACATGCCATATCCCTTATAACTCATACCATACAACACATGCCATATCCCTTATAACTCATACCATACAACACATGCCATATCCCTTATAACTCTTACCATACAACACATGCCATATCCCTTATAACTCTTACCATACAACACGTGCCATATCCCTTATAACTCTTACCATACAACACATGCCATATCCCTTATAACTCATACCATAAAACACATGCCATATCCCTTATAACTCATACCATACAACACATGCCATATCCCTTATAACTCATACCATACAACACATGCCATTCCCTTATAACTCATACCATACAACACCTGCCATATCCCTTATAACTCATACCATACAACACATGCCATTCCCTTATAACTCATACCATACAACACATGTCATATCCCTTCAGTTAAATTCACCGATGTCTGTGTAGAAACTTTATGTTTTTAGAATGGTCAATAAAGATTCTTTATCTTGTCTTGTTTGCATTATTATCATCGCCTTGATATTCCACAGATGTGGATGAACCTTGTTTGTGGTGGAAGGTGACACTAGGTCTGTGTAGTACGAGGTCAGCTGGATTACGTCACTCAAGACCGTTAATGCCTAACACAACGGTTATGTGTGATCGCTTACACAAACCATACATGAGAAAACATACAACTTTATGAGAACAACTTATGGATATAGTGCATTTCAATGTAGATTCTTACACCGTTATCATGCTGGATAACGGTGTAAGAATCTACATCAAAACATCGCTATATGCAATAAACCAGAAGTTGTTATCCATTAAGTTGTACGTTACTTACTCACCAACTTTTAGAATGCCAGTTGCCACCAAACAGTTACAAACCACACATGTTTACAAATATGGTGAAAACAACAACCAGGGTCTGGTGCTGAGGATCCTAATCAAGATGAATCTAGGATTCAAACCCATGCACTAAATCTCCATAGGCAACACCTTAGCCCGCAGCACCACCCTGGCCCTACACGAGTGCAACAGAGACTTGTGTGTGCACCATGTATCGGTCACCTGTTTTCATGAGTGTCCAGTTACTGTCCAGCTGTTTCTCGGCCTGGAGGAAATACCGGCCATCAGTCCACAGAGCTGCCTTTGACTCGGTTACTATCGCAGTGCCTGTGCACAACAGAAATGTGTCCTTGTCACAAGTTCCTAAATAGTGATCATAGAGTTTCATTTGCAACCTCGTATTAATCTGTGGATCCAACTCCATATGCAGTTATCACCTGACTTCCTTAAACATGTTAAAACATGCAAAATACTGGTGAAACAATATTATATTCCTGCACTGCCTTTTTTTAATCTTTATACTGGTATTGGCAAATATCATGATCATGATGATCATGATGATACATCAATGAATGATGATAATAACAATAAAAACAATAATAATAATAATAATATAAAAAAAAACTAAAAAAAAAACTGATGCCAAAATATTTTAAATGAATAAATCACCATAAAATATTATGAAGTAACTGAGCATGGCACCTATTATTTAGTCATAAACATGATGTGATATTAGCAGATCTCACGGCAAGTCAAAATACAGCATGATATACATGATGTGATACAGATTTTAAAAAGACATCAAAGAACTTAGAATTCACTTCATCACTACTTGACATTAAATTGTAAAACAGCACTATTAGTGTAATAAGCATTTGCAGACCTGCTCAGGGGCCGATTTTCAGCCCTATGTCCGCAGCAAATATCAGGACAAATTCCCAAATTGGAATTACAAATTCTCCAATTCATGTCATATATTATTAACTAATGTCATGACTTTGTAGAAGTGAGTTGTATTTCACTGAGCAGTTTGAGCAAAATAAAGATTTGTTTTCAAAACTGCCTGCCAAGGGCACTTAGTTTGGAAGGCTTTGGTTCCCTTTCATAGCAGTCAAAATCCTGTAGTATTGATATGCCTTTCTGTATCACAGGGAAAGATAAAAATAAGACAAGATTTATTTAGGACATCTAAGAGGTAGAGGTTTAGCCAATCTGTAGCAAATATCAGTAAACATTACATCATCATAAAAACAAAATATAAATTATATCACATAATATATATCTTTAAATGTTATGGCTGTGTAGTGGTGATAATAGGACCAGAAAAGGCATTTTAAGTCTTAGTTTTACATTATTGCAAAGAATGCAATGATTAACACACATCTTAAATTAAGAAAGTAGCTTTTGAACAAATAATTTTATTTTTCAAAATTGCCTGCCAAAGGCACTTAGCATGGAACCCAAAATAAAATCCTACAAGCAAGTAAGAAAGTAAGCGCCCAGTATGTAGAATCATCACATAAATGTAGTTTTGTCAGGACTTCCAAATTCCACATGTCTATCATGATGTACATATACATGAATAACGTACCTGCAGATCCTGTAAAACCAGAAATATAGGCCCGCCTTGTGTCACAGTCAGCAACATACTCACTCTGTTAACATAAAGTAGGATTCTTCCAATAGTGGTTACATTAGAGCAGTATAATTCAAACAAGCAGCTTGTGAAATGAACTTTTAGTCTACAAAAGCACTGTCCCTCTGCAAGAAACGTTGACTATTTCAGTAAATATTATAAATTGACACAATCTTATCACGATCTATTCCAATGAATACTCCACCATCATGATCATTCTTTTATGAAGTTTAACGATTATTACATTCACATGTTTGAGGGTATGTCACATATTGGCCAGTATTTTCCATCAAATCAACAGTAAACTTAATAACAAAACTTTTACCAATGTGAGCATCATTTCACCACCAGATATTTACACACCTGATGAGCATCACCAGTAGGTATAATGTATGCATGAATGGGTTCATTCACATAACTTATGTTCTTCATCAAAGCTCGAAGCTTTGACAAAATTGCTGTTGTAGTTTTAACAGTCATGATGAAGGACGATACAGTTCAGTCCCTGCAAAGAAATGACAATAATAGTGTTATTAACAATGGCCTCAACTTATGCATGAACACTACAGCAGCTGTTCAGGGATGTGATAATAATTCGTCAAAAATAACCTTTTCAACTATCAATAAAATACTAGCTATTTTTTAAGCTTGTAGGTTTTTCAACTGTTGCGTAATGCACACTGCATATTTATGCAAGCTGATTATGTCAACGGCTACTTGTGAATTCACTCGCTTCAAGCAACAGGTTGGTTTACTATGTATTATTTATCTGGCAGGATGAAAGATCATGTTGGTCTGACATAGCGAGTGTGACCTCTGACCTGTCAAAGCAGGATACGACTGAGCGCTGAGCGACAAGTCAACGGAGAAAATGTCGATCTACTCAGTTCCGTTTCCAATTATTAAATCACTGCTTGACAGACATTAAATCTTGTTTGGAGTGAAACTTGGTTTCGTAGACATTAGCCTACCTGTCGCAAACTTAATGAATTCTATATGCAATTAAAGTAGTTGCGATTATAAATAACAAAGCACATGCCTGACGCCTTGCAAAGCCGGAAGTAGTTTTCACCGGTGAGACAGGAATTTCCAATCCTCCATACATTGTTCTTAGGCTTCGCTGAGAGCACGTGGGTCAACAAATGCAGCGCTACAGAGCTTTCGACATCCTTGACCTTCCCATGAGAGACCGACACAGAGGTTCATTGCTGTTGGTTATGTTTAAATTTCCTGGATAAGTTCTAAATGAACGTGAAGGTATTTATCTGCGTATAGTTATGCGATACCACGTATTCGTATGATCACAAATACGCACAAAAGTAGCCACCGTGTGGGTAGTTCGAGGCGAAACATTAACAGACATTGAAATTCAGGTCAGTGGGCGTGTCACATGATCTCATTGAAACTTAGATTTTACAATGGAACTTGCTCCAAGTGTCGTGGAGAACCTTTCTCTTGCTGGCGATAGTGCCCGAATCCCAGACAAATGTTTCAAAACACTTGTAAGCAAAGCGTGTCAAGGTGTTCTTGACCAAAGACTGAGGGATGCTATCTCTGGTCACCCTGATATGAAAGACGTGGACAAGACTTCATTAAAAGCCGCCTACTCGGGCCTCGTGACTCTCATAATTGAGGCAGCAAAGCAAGACTCCGAGAGTGAGACAATTGGTTCTATACTTGAAGATTGTAAATTTTCAACAGAGAGAATAAACAGCTTCAATACTACATTCCTTGCACAGAAACCTTCGCTTCAAATCTTACTTGGAAGTGTAGGAAATTCCCATCCTCACATCGTTGATATTGACTGGAGGTTGGACTACTACATCAAGAACAATCATCTTGACAAGGTGAATGAGCCAGTGTACCTCATCAGCTTAAAAACTGAACAACCTGGGGACAGTGAATTACAAGAAGTCCAGTTTTCCTGCTCTCTTGAACAACTGCAGGACTTAGTAGGAAAGCTTAAAGATGCAACGAAGTGTTTGGAAAAACTAAGTCAGATATAACCAGCAAGTTTGTGTACGTGGAAACTGAAACATTTAGCACTTGAATGATTACAGGAAGTCTAGTTTCCTTTCAAATTTCAAAATGGAAAAAAGTGAATTAAGGCAAGCTCCATGCTTATGTCAGTGTCTACAAGCCGGGGGTGAACCAGGGTTGAAATATCACTTGACAAATCTCTTGTAAACATTAATCAGGACCAACAAAGTTTACCTTTGAGCAAGTCATACTGACTAGTACTAGAAAATACTAGTACATTTGATGAAATGTCCATCTTTTTGCAGTCGACTGAAAGAAAGTATGGGAAGCGGGTGTTTGCAATATTATGGTATAGAAACCTGTTTGGAAGGCGTGATTTGCTTTTGTAAAACACTGTTCTTGTGAGACAGTAATTCTTCTCATCATGTTTATCATGCTGTAGCAATATCCCCTGTTGACTTCCTGAAAATAGTTTTTTTGTGAATCCCAGAACTTGCTACGTAGCAAAGGGAGAGATGTGAAAGCCAATAGATTAATATTCAATTATTCATACTATGCTTTGTATGCGTCAGAAGTGATTGGGGGTAAGAGTGGGGAGCATGGGTAACACGGTTGTAACACAATTTGCTGCGCAGTGTTGTCTCCCTTGGACGCCCCAGAAACGTATGATCATGGGTTTCACCAAAGTGGTAAACATTTCCAGCATGCATCACTTCGGCTTGCCTCACACCATGATATAACCGGAATACTGTCATACGGTCTTAAACCCAACTCACTCATTCTGAGGTTATTAACGCCGCGATATGACTGGAATACTGTTAAAAGCGGCATTGAACCCAAGTCACTCATTCTGAGGCAATCGTCTGTGGTCACATTGTTCGATACTATTCTAATTGGCACTAAAAATGTTATTGTAAAAATTGTTAACTGAAGAGAAGTTTAAAAATAGCATTGATTTTATTGCATTTTGATTAGATGTACAATTGCATCAAATTATGTTAATGATATACAAATAAATGATCATATACATTGTGATTCTGTAAGTGTGTTGATGTTTTGTGTGTTTTGTTGACCCAATCATTCATGGGCTACTTAACAGTGATTGTGCTTATATTAAGACAAGAGATTTGTAATTGACTTGATCGATAAAGAATTATTGTTCTGCATTCTGATTTTGTTTAATCGCAGTGTGTACTTTTATAGTATGTTATGTAAGGGATTTAATATTGGTACTTTAATACTTTTAATATAAGGGTTATAACAGGACCACTTGACTGTGATGCTCAAGTTCGAACACTGCAACAGGTTTGGGTTGATAGTGTGGGATAGTGATACATAATTTCAGCACATAGGACTTTCCTCACAGATCAAGTTTTCCGGTACATGGACCAGAGTGATTTAAGAGAAATATACCACTCTACTGTTTATAGGGATATTTTTATCTTCCATGATACACAGTATTTATTCTCATATGTCAAGTATACATGTACATTTATCTGACATAGCTGATTATCCCTGTTAAACTTTGAGTACCCATCAGTACCCATCAGTACCCATCAGTATACATCAGCCCATCTTGCACGCTGTTAGACTTTGAGTAGTATACATCAGCCCATCTTGCACACTGTTAGACTTTGAGTAGTATACATCAGCCCATCTTGCACACTGTTAGACTTTGAGTAGTATACATCAGCCCATCTTGCACACTGTTAGACTTTGAGTAGTATACATCAGCCCATCTTGCACACTGTTAGACTTTGAGTAGTATACATCAGCCCATCTTGCACGCTGTTAGACTTTGAGTAGTATACATCAGCCCATCTTGCACACTGTTAGACTGAGTCTAAACAGTTATTATCTTGTCAGGTGACATGGGTTGCCCAGTCGTCTAAACGCCACAATTAGTGCATCCCTCACACGTTCCAGAAACCTTTGATCCCCCAGTGGTTCGAATCTCAGTTTGACCTGAAAAAGTTTGAGACCGCTCCGTGGTCTAGTGGTAGAGCGTCCGCCCGGAGAGCAGAAGGTCGGGAGTTCGATCTCTGCCCCCGCCATACCAAAAGACGTTAAAAGATGGTTGTTACCCTGTCTAGCGCTCGGCATTAAGGGGCTAAAACAAGGACTGGTCGGCTCGGAGGCAGTAGACTGTGTCTGAGTGGGGTATTGTAACCTTAAGAGTCGGGTACAATGCCCTTCTCCCTTGGTCACTTGTTCTGATCAACCACTCCTTGGTTCCGGGGTGATGTAGCTCCAAAGTACAAGTCAGCTTGGTTGCTCAATTTATTTATGATGGAGGTTTTCATAAATATACACACAAGATCCTCAGATAGTTTCTTGTAGCCTTACTTACTTATTTACAACACATACCTAATGTATGTATCGAAGAGCCTGATAGTATTTCTGATCCACTCTTAACTCTAATACTTTTTCTGATCCGAATTTCCAATATACAGAGAAAACCTCTCTGTTCAGCTGTGAGTTTCCGAATCCCCGCACCTCTCCCGGACAACTAACAAAATAATATTGATGATAATTTTAGCTCCTCCCACCGAATTAATGTTTAAAGTCATACCGAAATGACTCGTACACTTATTTTAATAGAAGCTAATTTCCAATCCCCAAATGGCAAATTCAGTTTTTGCTATCAAACTCTTCTTGTCTAAAATAACTCAGTTAACTATCTAAATTCATCAGTCAAGCAAACATACCGTATTCGACGTAATAAGCGCACAGGGCGCTCTCAAAATTAGAAATAGGGGGCTCTTATCAGAATATTATTTTGGTGGAAAAAACAGAGTTGAAAGATACATTTCATGGTTGATGTTGACAGCCTGAAATGTTTATACACGACAGATATATTTTTTCAGAAATTAATTGCCCATAATTAAGGGTGCATATAACACACGAGTGCGTATTTTAAGCGAATAAATAAGTCTTGTGTACATTGATCAATCGGAAGGGGTGCTAATTGGAATTGTTCACTAGCCAATATATGAGCAATTATCGCCGTGGGCGCTTATTAGAGCGGGGCGCTTATTACGTCGAATACGGTAGTTCATGAACCTAGGATGAAACCCAGATACTATGTCAAAATGGCATTTACCAAGAGATCCTAAATCAGATTCCGATCAAGCAACAATTCATACAGTCAAGCAGTTCATACAATATTTAGTCACTACAAGACTGATTATCTGTAACATCTTTTCATTTGTTCTCTTGTACTTATATTACAAGACCAGATCCTGCTAATTCCCTTTAGCTGATGAGAAGTTGTCACCAAGAGAAATAGAATCAATAACCTTTTTGGCCTGGTAGGTCGAGGCCTCCTCCCAATACATTCACCCGTCCCATGTCCATTTCATACTTTAACCTATAACTTTATATAATTTCATAAACGACATAATACATTAACATTTAAACCTTTTTTTCTAAAATACCCTGGTTATAGTATTCATGCTAAACCACAGCATGGTATCTCCGTGGGCTAGCACTATAAATCGGCATCTGTCGGACTGGTACAAGCAGCCGCACATACATGCATGCACGTCACTGTATAAGTGCAATACACTTGGGCCGACATTAAACCCCATTTCACCTCTCCCGAAGAAGAGGGCCTTTAGTTGGTGTTATTTTCCCTCAGTGAAATCGACTTAAGCGGTTGCAGTGGTGTTCGTCGATTACGTCATGAGTGGCTTCTCCAACGATGGCGTACGTTGAATCTGCTTTAGTGACGAATCCCGTTTCCTTCTTTAAAGGGGATATGCGCGGAGCCGTGTGTATGGAGTAAGAATTCGCGTTAACAGAATTTGCGTTAAAGAAGTCAACAGATTCGAGCGTCATGATGTGGGGAGCCATCTTATGGTCGAAGAGTGAATGAGTTGTGTTTAACGCAGCTTTTAACAGTATTACAGTTATATCACAGCGTGTCAGCTTAATGTGTGAGGAAAGCCCGAAGTGATGCAGGTCTCAGACCCTTACCACTTCGGTAAAACCCACGAGCACGGGTAGAGATGACAAACCTAGAAACATAATCGGGCCGAACCGGGATTCGAACCTACAATCATAGGTTTCTGGCGTACCCAAGGGACGCAACTCTGCACAGCGAATGTCGGCGCCGACTGGGACACCCGTGCTCCCTATGGTCGAAGAACAGATATTCTTAATATCCATGGGTGCGTTATCGAGATTGTACGTCCTTACGGTTCGGCCATTTTCTTTCCATGACAATGCTCGTTCCCACATAGCGCGTTTGTACTCACCTCACTGGTGTATCTGTGAGATGAGTGAGTGAGTTGGGTTTAACACCGCTTTTAACAGTATTACAGTTAAATCTCGGCGTGTCAGCTTAATGTGGGAGGAAAGCCCGTAGGGGTGCAGGTGTCAGACGTTTGCCACTTCCGTGAAACCCATGAGCACGGGTGTAGTGCTGACAAACCTAGAAACACATAATCGGGGCAAACCGTGATTCGAAACCACAATCATAGGTTTCTGGCGTGCTAAAGGGACGCAACTCTGCACAGCGAATCGCGGCGCCATCGACGACTGGGCCACCCGTGCCCCTACCTGTGGGCTGACAAACGATTACGTCAACGTCAACCAAGGCCACATAAACTGAAGCAATATCAGCAGTTCAGCAGGAATGGGCTGCCATTCCACAAGGTGTCACCGCAGTGTTCTAGGGTCCATGGGCAGGTGTTGTCATGCAGTCATTCCAGCCAATGGTGAACACACACAGTACTTGGCTTTACGACAGCTCTGCTTGACATAGAGACTTGCAAAGACTCTCCGTTTCCCCCAAACACACATGTCCCACGTATCGCTTGTAAAGCGACCCGTGAAGACGCGGGTTAGGCTTGATCCGCAACCCACTCTTGTCATAAGACACGACGGGGCGGTTGGGTAGCCTCGTGGTTAAAGCGTTCGCTCGTCACGCCGAAGACCCGGGTTCGATTCCCGACATGGGTACAATACGTGAAGCCATTTCTGGTGTCCCCCACCGTGATATTGCTGGAATATTGCAAAAAAGCGCTGTAAAACCATACTCACACACCCACTCATAAGAGAACGGGATCGGGTGATTTGGCTCGGTGCCTCGGTTGATGAATGTCATCGTATACCAATTACATAAATCGATCTCATAGTGATAGTGTACTGCACAAGCATATGCCGTGACAAGTGTGAGTTTATGATCCCGGCAGTGCATTGTCACATTGTGAAAGAATTGACAGAAACACCCATAAAATATTGCACAACGGCCAGCCTTTAGCCATCAATGCCTGTCAATTGCACCTTCGCGTGTAACGTGATTAGATACCCCATATCGGTATATGTTCTCTGTTGTGAATAATTCACACATACTTTATTATAAGTGCTCAATTCCCTTTCTTTTCTTTTTTTTCTTTTTTTTTTTTGGGGGGGGGGGGGGTCGACGTCTGTATACTGTAAACCTATACACATGTTAAGGTACTGATCACCTATTAAACACTCAAATTGTTACACTTTATAAACAACGTAAAAGTGTTCTAAAACCAAAAAGCATTTGAGCGTGTTTATCGTATTGTTTATTAGGTAATTACCTGATAGGCATTTCTTAGGAATTAAGAACACCTGGTGTCATAACTGATTGCCAGTGGTCTATTCACAGCTATTTTGCCATTTACGCCAAATGGAATCTGTTTCGGCGGATATTCAAGACTGGTTATTCACTGGCGGTGGGGTAGCTTAGTGGTTGAAGCGTCCGCTCGTCACGCCGAAGACTCGGGTTCGATTCCCAACATGGGTGCAATGGATAAGCCCATTTCTGGTGTCCCACCAACTGTGATGTTGCTGGAATTTTGTTAAAGCGGCGTAAAACCATACTCACTCACTCCTGCATTGTCATTATATATTTTGCAGTTGACGGATGACAAAGTAGACACAATTTATGGATAGCATTTGGTTGGTTTGCTGTTTTACGCCACACGAGGCTAGAATCACATGAGATTAAAACTTTCGATTTACTTTGATAATTCACCATATTAAATATGTACATATCTGATATGTATCAAACTGCTTAGTCTTGCATACTACAGATGTACATGTAGTTTATTGTCGTTTGTTTGTTTGTTTGTTTCTTTCTTTGTTGGTTAACGCCGCACTCAGCAATATTCCAGCTATATGACGGCGG